TTTCAACAACGAGAATAGTCCTCCCAAGTTCGTGTCTATCTATATTCATGGATTACTTTGTTTTTTTTTTTGCGATACTCTCATATATTCTGCTGGGTATTGATTATAGACTTTATTTTATAAAGTTTTCAACAAGTAGCTCTACAAGCAGTGGCCGGAAATCTAAAAAAAAAAATATTTATAAAACTAATTTCATTGAATGTGCGTAAGTTATTGAAAATAACAAAATAGCTACCTTAAAAGAAATTTAAAAATTCTTAGAAACTTAAAAAAACCAAAAAAAGGGTTTTCCTTCTTTCTAAGCTACTTATGGAATGTGATGTGCTCTCGATATTCATGTTGAGATAATGTTCAGAAACCAAATCTGTTTCATGATAACAACTTACTGAATAATCATTAGCTACTACTACAACTACAAAACAACATTAAACTTTCTTTGAATAACATAAAAACTTAACACATTTTAGTAAAAAATACTGTGATTAAACATATAACACTATAGAATCTGAACAGTATAAATATGTTATGAGTCATTTGATTATTGGATAGACGCAATGCACTTTAGTCATAGTAAAGAGTTAAAGTTAATATATTTTAAAGAAGTACTCTATGAATGTTGATTAATTTAAGAAACGTCTTTCTATTCGACTTAACAGAAACTAGGCCAACATATCCCATCACTCATACCTATATCGTTGCTGTTATTTGAATTTGCGCTTAAGTTCTGTGTGGATGTCCATGTACGCGAGGAGGGCCTGTGGAAGAATTAAATAAATGTCATAGCTGATCGATAAGATATCGATATCGATGGTGATATCTTGTAGCGATTGTTGTCTACCGTGAACTCTGCGCATCTGAAAGATTTGGCGAGGATGCGGCCACCTCCTCGCCTGCTCGCCGGGCTCCATGTTCCTTGTAGTCGCGAAAGCAGCGTTTGCATCTGGTTGGATAACGCGTCTGTGGGTGAAAGCCGAGCGGGCAGAGCTGATCGCCTTTCAGCGATGGGTACAGATGATGCATCTGTGTCTATATAAATTGTCAGCTTTGCCTTTTCTGTCAATCATAAGGAAAGTAATCAATTAGACCAAATTTATATATGTGAGCAAGTGTTATACAATTGAAACTGTTATACTGTTATAGTATACTTATGGTAAGTTGGAGAACTGAATAAAAAGTAAACAGTAAGTTGGCTGCTTCTCATGGATGGATGCCACTGTTATGCACTAGATCTGTTATACAATATAACACTCTGTACGCGAATCTATCTCTAGTAGGTAATATGGAAAAATGATCATATCTAACCTTCATGTGGGAACTCTTGGTATATGTACTGTTATACTGCTAAGCTGTCATACAATTTATAACACTGCGAGTGATTGAGCTGTCTATAAAAAATCATCAAACTTTTCTGCAATTCAAAGAAATACTCGTTACCACTGTTATACACTGTTATACGGTTCTACTATTTAAGACACTGGCATTCGAATACTTTTTAAAGTTGAAAACTTAAGTTATTTCGTAAACTGTTATACTATAAATTCTCGTTTGAAGGTAAAGGTAACCATAGTATTTTTACTGATCTCGCTTAATTATAACAGTTTGTTTCTCTGTTATAATACTCATGAAATATCTTTAAATTTGAGATGCATAAGGTATATATCATCATAATATATATCCGCAATTGATTTGATTTGAAAAATTGCAACAAAGCACTGAAATAATATTGTCTATAATTTTCTCTGTACGTCATCCATATACATGCGTCATATTTTCTCACCTGCTTGTTGGAGCTGCTGGTACTTATTGTATAGTATGCACCCTCTATCTGCAGTGGACACTATCATATGCAGGGCATCAACTAAATTTAAACGCTTTCATTGGAATTTTGGCATTGATCCAAGCAAGCTGAAGAATGTTGTACGAAATGTTCTAAATTTGATGGCAAAGAGAGATGTTCGTTTGTTCGTCTGTCTATTTGCCTGTTCTGTAATTCTGTAACGCAATCAACCGATCTACACACAATTTCTTTTGTCTTTCGCATTACAAAAGATCTTAAGTTTTTCTTTATTTTCAATGTTGACATAGATCAATAAACCTTGAATCAGTTTGTCTACATTTGAGAACATCTAAAGAAAACGTTTGAGTAAATCAAAGTCATAATCAAAATAATTATGGAGCACGTGAACCAATTCTGAATACTGAACAGTGAATTTTTAATTTTTAGAAAATAAGGTATTTTGTATAGTATATGAAATAAATCTCCAAAGAACTTGCATTGGTCTCAGCACTACAAAAACGAAATTTCCATTATAAAATTGGAACTCAAGGCAGAAGGAGACGTACATATATACGTATATACTCTATCAAGATCAACAGACGAGTTGATTTAGCAAAATCAGTCTATTTGAGCTAGAAAAGTTGGATTTTTGAGATTGCTTAAAGTCGATAGCAACCTTTATTTATTGCAGAATACCTCAAGCATTTCAAGTGCTAAAGCAACCTATATTCTAGGAAGCACAATATTCAGGGAAGCACAAATCCTAACAGCTGTGAAGTTCTAAGTTCTAATGTTATATGTTCAAAAAATATTTAAAAAAAAAAACCTAAAAAGCACTTAATTAAATCGAAAACAATTTGAATTAACATCGAATATGCAAATTTGCGCTCCGATGATACTTTTATAGTCCAGCAAAATATTCTAATCAACATTTGAAGAAATGTGCATAAATTAAACGCAAAAATGGAAGAGGTAGAAATTTACGAGCTGCTTGATTTGAAATATCCGAATCAAGAAACTATTGAATTATTCAAATTGAAGCAATTGAAACGCTTCGGTCGGGTGCAATCGACTGCATAATGCCTGTTAGTGGAATAAAATATGTATAAAATTTGTAAAATATCAATGTTGTCGAAGTTGTCATAATTTGTAGGTCACTCTGTAGAGCAGGTTAACAATGATTCGACTACGACTAAGGACAATACTAACTGACTGCTAGAAATACTTAGAGTTTACAGTTTATATACGAATCCGATCAAATGAACGTAGCTGTATAAATGTTATATATAAATATATATCTTGCATTGGAGTACCCGACTCAAAGTCTGGAAGTCAATTAGGACAGGAAGGACAGGAAGTTGAGCATTGTTCAAAGCCAATATACTCTTTGTACTTCATGAACGGGCATAAGAAAAAGAAATTGCCCCGTTGTTTATATAGACAAACATCAGTTTATTTGTAAATATAAACAATAACAAATGTTTACACTGCCTTCTATATATATTTAGATGCGCACAGAGACAGAGAGAGAGAGAGAGAGAGAGATAGTTTTAAAGAGAATTTACGATCGCTTTACAGGTGGGCAACGCGCAGACAGAAATCACAGGTTTGCGCATGTTTTTTGGGTAATTAAAATAAAAGAGATAAACGATGAGACTCTATAGACAATGAGTGATAAATCTAGCACACTCAAGAGAGACTGAGAGAGAGAGAGTGTGTGTGTTTGGAAAGCTGCGTGAGACAGAAACGTACTCTTGCCAAAGGAGGGCTACAACATTGCAAATCCCTAGCACGTTAAAAATAATTATCAACATTTTTCAACTAAGTACATATATATATAAATATATGTATGTATTTATAAGTGTATAGCGAATTGCAAATTTAGAACTCACACAAGAAGATTCCGCATTTAGATGAATTTGAAGCTGGGCAAGTTGGGAATGGGGCCACAGCTACAGCTGCTGCTGCATTTGCTCCTGATCGTACGCAAATCGTGCGAAACTTTTCATTTACCAAATGTTTAATTGCGTAACCGCAAGAAATTTTATTTTTATTGGCAGGCAACGAGACTTTTTAACTGCTTTTAAATTGCATTTGGAAATAGATGTAATTTAAATTCAATTCACTTGCAGCATTTCAATTGCGTAAAGCTTTTCTTTATTTTCTTTTCAATATTTTCTTTGACGTTTGTTTGTTTCAGCTATTTTTTTATTATTTTTTTTGATATATTCACTTTATCGAAAATTTACGGCCGAAAAATTAGCTGTGTTTTATAAATAGCATAGAATTTTTCGTAAATGGCAGCGCACTCTCCACATACATATATCCCATTCAAAAAGAATTCAAATGCAAAACCGTTTTCGAAACTTATCTTTGAATATTATGGAAATGATTTGTTTTTCTTTTCAATTTACAATATTTCCAAATTTCGATTTTCCTTTATCGAGTTTTCACGGCGAACGAAACTTTTTCAATTCGGAATTTTCACTTGACTCGCACACACATACATATATGCAGCTATATATACATACATATGCTATGGGATCTTTTATTTTTCTTTTTCTTTTTTTGATATAACATCGATCGCTTGAGCACTCGAAATATACTTATAGAGATCGTTGCATCTCTTTCCCACCAATTGCACAGGGCAAACCGTTTTCCGGGCCGACGCGTTTTCCGTAGACTTAACGTTGCGAACGTTTTGAAAATCGACGAGAAACTAAATTTAAATCAATTCGAAAAGCTCAAACTAGCCACAGAGAATGCAACAGATGCTGCCCATATCCATCCATTTTCACTCTCTACATCTTTTCTCTCTCTCTCCGGGATGCCAACTCACATCTTTTTGCGCGCACCCAAAGAGTTTGATTGACGCACGATACCCTGTTACAATTCACCTAAGTATAGCTTTGTCTGATTAAAAAAGGTACCAAAAAACCCATAGCACTCTAAATAAATATAAACAAAAAGAATTGGCTCTTGGCAATTTACATAGTTTACAGTTTACTTAGTCATCAAATTTTATAAAAGCTTAAAAATAAAAAATATTTTAGATATGTTGGCATTCAATAGAGTTTGTTTTCCACGGTTTATTCAAAATGTAGTCGCTTGTCTTATTATATAGATCTATTATACATTTCATTAAAGTCTAATGTTGAAAGGCCAAAACTACTTGCATAGATCTATTTAAATTCCACTCAAATGTTTTAATAATTGATCAAAGACAATTTATGGACTATTATGGTATTTATTAAGAAATCATAAGTCGATAGAGTACAACGTGGATTAGTGTGAGTGTGTATTAGATCTGTAATGAGCTTTCTGTTGCACTTGGCACAGACGTTAAATTGTATGCATGTATAAATTACTTAGAGATTATTAGTTGCTATGAACTAATGCAGAATAAAATGTGTGTGACGTGAAATATGAACGTGTATTTGTGTGTGTTTGAATTTGTTGTTAATAGAGTGCTGATGAGTGCGTTGCGCCGGAAATCAAAGATGTGCTTGTTAAGCTAATAAAAATTAACAATGATTGACTGGAGACGATGACGATAGATGACAATGCAATCCAGACAATGCTGTACAATCAGCACCTATCATGTTGCGTTGGCACCAACTACAACAACAGCACCACCCACAACTGGCAGCGTGTGCTCCTCTTCAACATCGCTCGGTGTCGTCGCCGATGTTGATGCTGTTGACGTCGCCGATGTTTGCTTGCCTGGCGTTTCTGGCATGTCGTGTACAGCAGGTCCATTGTTATTCTCATTGACATTTGTATATTCCACTGTAGTCACTCCAGCAGCAGCAGCAGCATCGACATTGTCACCAACTGTGTTGGTTTGCTGAGCTGGGCTGAGTGCATTTACTGAGGCAGTGTTTGCTGAATTATTGCTGGTATTGCTGTTGCTGATCGCCGATTCGGGACTACTGTACATTTGTATGACTGAGTTGTTATTCATGTTTTCCACCGAAGCTCCCGATATGGACAGATCGTCAGCAGAGTCATCCGCCTGATTATCCGTTTGCACCGCCTTCTCCTCAAGCAGATGATCGCCTTCGCGTATTGGCCGCTGCGCTGAGCCATACTGCTTGGAGATTTGCAATAGTTCGCGCAGCGTTTCGTTTTCCATGCGCAGCTGTGATATTGTTTGCAGTTCCCGCTGCACATTCTCATCATCCGCAGTGGCCGCTCGATGCATGACTGCCGCCATTTCGTTGATCTTTTCACGCTGTTCGCGTATCACCTGCCAAAGGCGTTCGTTGTAGAGCTCCTTGAAGTTAAATTTGCTGTCCAGCACCTTGGTCACTGTGTGTTCCCGATACTTTTGCATCATCAGTTCCATGGCTCGCTCATAGTCCTCAATGCAGATTTTAAGCTCGCGATTCTCTTTAAGTATCTCAGAGCTGTTAACATTCTGTTGCTGTATGCGATTGACCATGTCCGCATTCGTTTTGTTATTTGCAACCCGATTAAGAGACTCAATATCCTCCTGATATTGACGCAAGCTTTCAACAAGACGATTGTTGGTCTCAGCCTCTTCCAACAGAGCTGTGCCCAGCGCATCCAAATCTTTGACACGACTGGCCATACGCTGTGCGTCCATTATCATCTGTCCCACTGATAGGTTCGACATTTTGCCGATCCTTTAACTACAATCTACCTTTCTCTTAAGTTTCCCAATTCCTATTTTCCTTTTTGTTTGCAGCGGGTCTCGCTACCTGTAACAAAGAACATCTTTAACTTTTGCTTTGTACACTGCTTTTCATTTTTTAATTACGTTGCACAAGTTTTGTGACTTATTTATTGATCCTATTTGTCTTGTGCACTCTGTTTGCCAATCATTAGAATTTTTAAAATAAAATTAAACCATCGAAAATATTACTATTAGAAATTTTGGTACGACCCAATTATTATAGGTGGTTTGACAGCTGACAGCTGAGAAGGTTGCCATCGTTTTTTTCGAACAGCAATGTATTTAAAAATTTATCGAACGCAATTTATCAATTTATCGACAGTCTATCGTTGAGGTATTTAATTTGAAATTTTAACAGTTTGACTAGTTTACGTGGCTTACACAAAAAAAAGAAAACTGTTTCAACAATAAATATCTAAAAGTAATATTTCCTATGTATGAATGTATGATATACTTACCTTAATTAATTCATATGTACAACAGCTGTTAGAATATGCGATGACGCACAACCATTTTTGTAAAGAAAGTTTTTGTTACAAGCTATCAATATGGAAATCTGAGTCATAATGTTTGCGTCTTATTACTTATAGGGTTATTAAAACAGAAGCAATTTAAAGGAAATAAAAAATAAAATTGGCAGTCAATAAAGTTTAAACTAGTTTAGCATTCTAATGCCTTTTTTTTTGAATTTTTGACCTTTAGATTTAGATTTGTCGAAAAGTTAGCTTAGAGAATTAATTAAGAATTCTAATGGTTCCAATTTGTTTTCGAAGCTTCGGCATTTATAAATGTATATGCTTTTTTTTTCAGAGAATTAGCAAATTTTTATTGTCATTTTTGTATTCGTTTTTTTTTTTTGTATAAAATTATGAAGCTATCAGTACAGAATTTGAACTTATATCAAGAGGTGGAAGACTAACTATATAAGTAGGTAAATACTAGACTATAAAATGCACACATGAGCTATATAGGCCCTTATATAGGTAATAAATTTTAGAACACTAATTAAGTACTTAACAGCTAATACATTTTTATATATAAGTACAAAGTGTTTAAGTAAATGTCATTTGAAGGTTTGAAAAGTTATAAAACAGAGGTAGAGGAATAGTATATATCCTATATACGAACATAGACTAAAGATCACGAGTTTAGACGCCAACGCTGTTTAGGCTGCCCGATGAGAGATTCTCGGAGCGGCTGGATAAGCGTGCACGCTTAAGAATAACACGTCCCGGCTTGTTTGACGCCTGCAGGCGTGGGCTGTCCAGAGATGCTGCCAGTGAGGCATCCGTTGCTTGGTTAAGATTGTTGTTGTTGCCACCAGAGCCACCACCAGCAGCGGCACGTTCCAGCGTGCGCTGTGAGCGTCGCAGCGAAGAGGAAGACATGCGCGCAAGACCATTGAAGCCCAACGCTTCGGCATCGTAGACAACGGGTTGGCGCTGGAAGTAGCCCAAATCGTTATCTTGCGAGTCTTTCTCATCATGTTGCTGCTGCTGCAGCTGCTGTTGCTGCTGCTGTGCCAGAGGATTCAGTGTAATGTGTATATGTCGCGTGCGCGGCTTGTTTGGCGAACAGGTGTTCAGCGGCACAAAATCCTCGCGTAGCTCTGCCAGGCGTGGCTTGTTCTGTGAGTTGTTGCCGCGTGAGTTGCGACGGCGACACAGGCAGAGGCAGGCACTGATCACGAGCAGGATTAGCAAGGCGCCGCCACCAATGGTGCCCGTAAGCAGCGGATTCATATTGAACGTTTCGTTGTGGCTAGGTGTCGTGGTGTCCAAGGTATGCATCGTCGGCTGTGCTGTTGTGCTGCTCCTGGGTCGTTGAGTTCGTCCCTGCTTGAGCGCACTGAACTCGGATGCGGACATGGCGCTAAAAGATTGCAATTTAAATTCGTAAATGGTGCCCGGCTCGAGTGCAGAGATCTGAAAGCTACGCGTCTTGGCACCATCTATGGTCGCCTTCAGGTACTCGCCGGCCGAAGCCGAGGGGCGATAGTAGGCATAGTAGCCGGATATCGATTGCTCGTCTGCATCGCTGGGCAAATGCCAGTAAAGCACGACCGCCGTTTGCGAATACTCCTTAATGTCCAACAGCTCGGGCACAGGCAACGGAGCCAGAGTAGCGCCACGCTGCAAATAGAATTTGCCAGAAGTATTACTCTCCTTGTTGTCGTTGTTGGAGTAGACGGCCATGATTCGAAACCGATAGCTACGGTCTGGTCGCAAACCCGTTACTGATGACGTGAAATTCCTAACCGCCGCATCCGAATCGTGTCGCTGCTTGCCGTAGGGTATGTTGTCGTTGGTGGTCTGCCAGGTCTTCCGTTTGCCACTGTCGGTAAGCATGCGGTATTGAACCTTGAAAAACTGAATGTGCAATCCATCGTTGCGCACTACATGCCAGCGCAGCATCACAGACTCATCCGATAGTCGGGTAACATTGGGTGCAGATGGCGGTACCATTTGCTTTTGTTTGCGGTTGTGTGTGGGCCGAGAGGATGATGACCTGCCGCCCATGCCTGTGCCGTTGCCCTCGCCGGCTTGTATCTGTGTAGGATTGACTTGGAGTAGGGTGCCAGCGCTGTGTTCGCCGAGCACATTTCTGGCAAAGCACTGCACATAGCCGGCATGTCGCTTCAGCACTCTGCGCAGGATTAGAGAGCCATTGGTTGGCAGCTCCGCCTCGGTATCGTAGACGCTGTGCTCGCCATTGAGCAGCCAGTAGATTTTCGGCGTAGGCGTGCCCGTGGCCGCACACTCCAGCTCCATGAATTCACCCTCGTTGGTCAGATTGGCGCTGGGCGGACGCACTATGCGTGGTGCCTGCTGCACCACCAGTTGAATGAAATGCTCCAAGGCTGGTCGTATCCCATTGTCCAGGTAGCAAATGTAGGTGCCCCCATCCTTTGGTTGCAGTCCGGAAATCTGCAGTCCATAGGGCAGCACTCGTGTGCGGTTGTTGTACACAGCTCCAGGTACATTGGGGCTGCTCCAAACGGCCGTGGGCGGAGGATAACCCACGCCTGGGCACAGCAACAGCACAGTTTCGCCTATTCGAGCCAACACTTCTGTTCGCACTCCTTGTCCGTGTAGCAGAGCTGGCGCTGCGCTCGGCAATGCTGCAGCCGGCACCTGTAACTCCAAGCGACTGTGCATTACCAGGCGCTGGCTCGAGGCTGTGTTGGTGGCCGCGCAGCTGTATGTGCCGCTGCTGGCCGTGGACACATGTGGCAGCAACAGTGTACCATTGGAGTCGCTCAGCGTTGAGACAGCTGGCATCTCGATGTCATTATAATAGAAGCTCCAAGTGGGCGCCGGATTGGACATCACCTGGCCACAGTGCCAGAGCACAGTGTTGCCTGCCGCTACACGCCAATGAGCACGATTGGCCATGTTGTCGCCGCTGATGGTGGCCAGCTCTAGACGGGCTGTGGTGGAGGTGACAGCCAGTGGTCCGAACCAGGCCACACAACGATACTCACCCAGAGTTTCGGTTCGTACAATGACACGGAGCTTGGATATGTCATTGTCATGAGTTATGGTTATATTCGAATTGTTTTTGGCGCTGCTCGACTTCAAATACTTAAAGCGCGGCGCTTGGCTGCGGGTCGAGGCGTAACTCCATTCGAAATGGTCCGGCGGCAAACTGGTCTCACACACAAACACCACCTCGTCGCCAGAGGGCGCCACTGTAGATTCGGGCGGGCGCAGTATTCGCACGCCTGGCCCAGCCGACGGCGAGCTGGCCTGTAAAACCGGAATTGCTGCAAGCAACGACGTCAGCACCGACACCAACAGCAGCAGCGGCGGCGGCGACGGCGGTGGCGTTGATTTGTAGCGTCGCGTCACCGACATTTGGAGGCGCTGCTGCAAAAGGTAAAACTAATTACAAATGCCAAATCTGTGCAAATTTAACGACTTGAAATAAAAACAAAAAAAATCAAAGCGTATATTGTGTATTAGATTTGCTGGCAGCGGGCAACAGGTACTGCGCATGCTTACCTGCTTAAGGTTCCGTCGTGTTCCTTTTGTTCGGTTCTCGACTTAGCTAGCCGACGCGTTTGCGCAGAGTCTGGAAGCAGGTTTTTCTTCTTTCAATTTTACACAGTCGTACGTTCGCTCATTATATGCTCGTTATATTGTTAACTGGGAAACGAGTTAATTGTTTCGTTTGCAAGTTACCGACATGTAAATAAATATATGCACTTAACAACTTGTAGGAATAAACAATAACATTTTATTATTTGCCATCGAATTGGATGCTGCAACACGACAGCGACGCCAGTTCAAGACTACTGGTTCATTCAGCTGAAAAATATCTTTGACTAGTTCAATGGTTCATTAGGCATAACTCGCGTGTGACTGTGTGTGTAAGTGCATGTGAATGCCAGTGTTTATGTCAGAAGAAGAGAGCGAGAGAAAGAGAGCGAAAGAAAACAACGAAGCCCAGTTGGAAATAAGATGCATAATTTAAAGAATAAGTTAAAAATTTTTCACTGGCCGAACCTGCAAGCACGTTAACTAAATATGTACTAATATAAAATATTTAAAGCGGTTTCGCAACCAAAGAAATTTTCTAACGAAAAACAACGGTGCTGCTCTAGCACATTTTACAATGAATAAAAAATTATCAATACATTTTTTCAACGAATATTTGTTAGGAATCAATTAACTTCTAAAAGAAATACTCATTTTTTATACAACTTAGTTTATTATATTTACTTAAAAATAGTATTTTCACAATTTTCGTTTCTAGGCAGGCGGTTTTTGGACTTTAGCTAGTTCCGCCTTGAATTTAACAATTGTCTCACGTGCCAACTTAAGTTTATCCTTAAGACTTACGATCTCGCCTTTGACTTTTTGCTTCACATTGACAATGTTGTCTAAGGTTTTGCCTTTCTTTTCCTCAACTGAAATGGTAAAGATCAATATTAACCGTATTATATAGCTAGCACTATATATGCATTTACTTACAATCTGTATCATGGTTAAGCAATCCATTTGCACTCTGTTCGGAGAGCGTAAGATAATGCTGCATTATCTGGGTGGGCTCTTGGAAAACAATTTCTTCGTATGATTCGGATACTAATCCTTTTTTGGTATCCATTGTCGTGGAGGAGGTCAGCTCGCCATCCACGACGGGCGATTGGAACAGCTTCAATATGTGATAGCAGGTTACAGGCCGTTCGGATGGGTCGTTAAAGTAAATCTTGATAACAACTTCGAATTCACCCCAGCCGGTTTCAGTAATTTCGTATGGCGGTTTGACAACAATGCGATTTGGATTCGCATAGCTTTCGTGCAGTTTGAAGTGTACTTTCTTGACATAAATCGACATATCCTCATCATAATAGGGCTTCAGATAAACTTGCCATTGATGCGTGTGTCCATCCTCCTCTCGCTTTTTGCCAAAAGAGCGTGCTTTATTGCCATACACAATTGGCTTAACAATTGTGACGCCTTTTAAGCGTCCTCCAGATTCCGCACTAAATTCAGTCATATTGAATGTCTTATATTCAGTTTTTAATTTTTCATATTTTATTTTGATCAAAACCAAAACAGACGCTGCTTCTTTTAGTCTTGCGGTGAACTATCGATACTCTTATTCGATAGTATTGAAAGCAACTTTTTCGCCGCAGTAAAACATAAACAAATGCTGTATCTCTTTCTTTCGCCGTAAATATCGATATATGCTGCGTAAGTATTAGTGGCTTTTCGTCGCCATCCCTGGTTGTTGTTTTCCTAGACGCTAATACGCTACTTCGACCACAAAAACATTGTAAAAATAATTTTTTATTAATAAAGAGCCGAATTAATAAACCAACATGATGGCGCGCCGCGGTGGAAAGCGTATACGTATGGATGATCCGCCTCCGGCACCAGAATACGATGAATTGCACAGGTAAAATAAGAGCAAGCGCGAGCTAATTGCAATTTTTTGATGAGAAACTGTTTTTCAACAGCGATGCTTTAAATGAAAGTACATCTGATGCAGATAGTCCCACTAAGCGAATGACGCGACTGCGAGCACGCGGTGGCGTCCGTGACAAACCACCAATCATTGATGACGATGAGGATGAGTTCTTTGCGCCAGTTTCGCGCAAACGGAAGACGCCACAAACACGCAAACCCCCAGCGGAGCGAAAGGAGCGAATTGAGCGACCGCGCAAAGAGCCAGTGGAGAAGGCGCATCACGAACGCATCGACAACGAGCGTGAAATTACAACCGACGAGAATAGTTTATACTATATTGTGCGACACTCAAAGAATCCAATTGCGGTAAATATGAATACATCAGAAATGCTTTTGAATGTTTATATGTGGGTGTATATGAGCGTGTGGAAGAGTGAAAGAGAGAAATGTCACATATTTGGGTCGTTTGACCACGAGAGAAATTATAAGTTGAACAGTTGAAATATCCCTCAACTATATTTAATAACCAAGAAATCTATTCGTAACGCAGAGCATTGTTGATCAATGGATTGGACAGTACAAAGCGAATAGGGAAACAGCGCTAGTCGCCTTGATGCAGTTCTTTATAAATGCTAGCGGCTGCAAAGGCAAAATATCAGAGGATATACAATATCCCGTTGATCATACGGCTATCATACGTCGCATGACAGAAGAATTTGATGAGGTAAGTAGGATTTTTTTATGACCAGACAAGAACACTACTAAAATTTAAATTTTTCTGTAGGAAAGCGGCGAGTATCCATTAATTATGACCGGTACACAGTGGAAGAAGTTCAAAAATAACTTTTGTGACTTTGTGCAAACGCTTGTTAAACAATGCCAGTATTCCATTATTTATGATCAGTTCCTAATGGATAACGTGATCTCGCTATTGACTGGTCTGTCCGATTCGCAGGTGCGTGCCTTTCGTCATACAGCAACATTAGCTGCTATGAAGTTAATGACGGCACTAGTAGATGTTGCGCTTCTAGTATCGAATAATTTCGAAAATGCAGCCAAGCAATTTGAAGCTGAGCGCGTGAAGGTAAGAAGAGTTAAATATAAATTAATCTATCACCTGCAATAATTATTGAATATTTAAGTCACGTGATCGTCGCGCATCGGATCGCTTGGACTCGTTGATGACAAAACGCTCAGAGCTGGAGGAGAATATGGATGAGATCAAAAGCATGTTAACTTACATGTTTAAGTCGGTATTTGTACATCGTTACAGAGATACCCTGCCAGATATACGAGCCATTTGTATGGCTGAGATAGGCATCTGGATGGAAAATTATCCACAAAATTTCCTTGACGATTCGTATTTGAAATATATTGGTTGGACGTTGCACGATAAAATTGGAGAAGTGCGTCTCCGCTGTCTTCAATCGCTACTGCCCCTCTATGACAAGGAAGAGCTTAAAGGCAAACTAGAGCTGTTCACGTCCAAATTTAAAGACAGAATTGTAGCGATGACTCTGGACAAGGAATTCGAGGTGTCCGTTCACGCTGTTAAGCTGGTTATCAGCATACTAAAGTGAGTTTTAAAATGAAACAGAAATATGTATATATAAACGAATGGATTTGTTTTAGAATACATCCGGAGATTTTGGCTGATAAAGATTGCGAGATTGTCTATGAGCTGGTCTACTCCTCACATCGAGGAGTTGCTCAGGCCGCTGCAGAGTTTCTCAATGTGCGATTGTTTCACTTAACCGCCGACATGGAAGAAACTAAGACAAAGCGTGGTAAATTGCGTCTACCCAATACACCACTAATTCGCGATCTCGTGCAATTCTTCATTGAATCAGAGCTGCACGAGCACGGTGCATATTTGGTAGATTCCTTTATAGATAGCAATGATATGGTGCGCGATTGGGAGTGCATGACTGATCTACTGCTGGAGGAGCCAGGTCCGAATGAGGAGGTGCTCGACAACAAGCAGGAATCCACATTGATCGAAATCATGGTGAGCAGCGTTAAGCAATCTGCATCGGGTGAGGTGCCCGTGGGGCGTGCCAGCAATCGCAAGTTTACGCTGAGCTCCAAGGAACTGAAAGCTATACAGGATGAGAAAGTGAAGTTAACAGAGCATTTCATTGTGACGTTGCCTGCTCTGTTGGAAAAGTACCAGGCTGACAGCGAAAAGTTGGCCAATTTACTAGCAGTACCGCAGTACTTTGACCTAAATCTGTACACCACCAACCGGCAGGAGGGCAACTTGCAGGCACTACTGGACAAGATAAGTCAAGTAATGTGTATGCACACTGGCCGCGACGTACTCGAGACCTGTGCCAAGACCCTGGAATGCCTCTGCGCCGAAGGCAGCGCCACATACACTCGCTGCAACATTGCTCGCTCCAACATCATCGAAAGTGCGGTCAACAAATACAAGGATACCATCGTCGAATGGCGCAATCTTATTTTAGGTGAGCACTTAATTTACTTTGTAGAAAAATAGCTATTTGATAGTTACCCGAAACCAAAGCCTAATTTCTTTTTAGTGTTTAAATACTTATTTATCACTTATTTATTAATATTAATGTTATTATTAATGCAGGCGAGGAGACACCCAACGAGGATGATATTTACAATATAACCATAACGCTAAAAGTGTTGTCTATTTTGTATTCGTCGCACAATCTGAATCCATGGGATCTGTTTAAATCTCTGTTCCGTGACGTCGAGGAGGCTCAGTGCAAAGACAATGTTGAACGTTGTCTACCCAATGAGGCACTGGCGTATTGCATTGAGGCCTGCTACTTCTCGATTAGCTGGGGTCTCTACTACGTTGAGAATGATTGCGAAGCGTTGAATGTGGCCCAGGTTGTTGCCGAGCTACGCGGCAATTTAGACAGCTTTATGTCCGCCTGCTTTGAGCTGACACGTGACGGACCCACAGTCCAAATTCAAGAAGCTGTGCGTATGAAACCACTTGTTTTATAAGTTGTTTTTAAAAAACAGTTTTATTCTTCGACAGGCTTACCAGTCCATTTGTGATCTGCTTATCATTTATTCTGATCAGCTGGCGCGCAGCGAGAGTGAGCATATACGCAGCTTGGAATACAAGTCGCGCATGGACGAGCATCTCATATTGGACAATTTTGTGCAGCACTACGTGTTCTCATTGAAACAGGTTGTTGCCCAGGATGAAACCCGCATCGAGGAGTTGCACAAAAAACGAAACTTTTTGGCCTGCTATTGTAAGCTAATTGTCTACAACATAATTCCCACAATGCGAGCAGCCAGTATATTCAAATATTATGTCAAGGTAAGTCAAATTTGATAATTTCATATTAAAAAGTAAAAGTTTCATATTAATTTAAATTACCTTATCCACTCACTTACAGTGTTATAACGAGTATGGCGACATTATTAAGGCTACGCTAGGAAAGGCACGTGAAATCAATAAGGTAAACTTCGCCATGACGCTGCTGTTAAGTTTAATCACCGTGTTTAAAAGCCTACAAGAGCAAAGTGATGATGGTATTGTGTCAAAGAGCTCACAGGAGTTTATAGATCTGAAAGAGTTAGCTAAACGTTTTGCGCTTACTTTTGGCTTCGATGCCCTTAAGAATCGCGACTCGGTTGCTTCCATACATCGTGGCGGTATTTACTTTGCTGCCAACAAGCAACCTGATGATCCAGTTCGTGCACCTACTAGAATTCTATTTCTGGAGGTGCTCAATGAATTCAACTACAAATTGCTGAAGCAAGATAAAAAGGTAATCATGGCCTTTTTAGACAAGGTGATACCGCCGGGAATGCCGTCAAGTCGTGCCGAGGAGTGGCAGCCCCTCATACTGTATCGTAATTCCCTGCTGCACGGCGAAACGGACCAAGCGCCGGTGGCCACACGTCGAGCGTACACGAGAAAGCGCAGAGATCATGGTAAGCAGTAAGACGTTAATTGAATTTTGCTTTAAAATAAAACACATTTGTTATTTAGATGAAGATGACGAGGAGGAGGAAGACGAAGACGAACACAATGATCCCGACTATAGAGGCTGAGATCATCTAAGGCAATTAAATACATATTAGATTAAGGATCTATTCATTTAGCATTAAGAATAAAGTGTATTTGTGTAACTTCAATAAGAGCGTATTTGTAATTATTGATATATTGCTTTTATATACTTAACTTCATTATAAATCAGTGTATACAGTCTAGAAAATATGAGGTGAGTTGGTCGATTAATTCAGTTGAGAATACCGGTTCGAATGACATGTCTGGTACTAAATTGAATAGATTTGCACGGTTTATAAATATCAAATTTTGCGTTAAAATTCCATTTAATTTATATTTTTAAAAATGACATTTCTCACTTTTCAAATACTTATTCTTCTTACAATCTAACGAATTCTCCGATAATTTCTGAGCAAATGCTAGTTTATCGCTGAACATTCTTTGAGTCGAAAGCCTTCATGTTCATAACAATCTTGTATCGTCCATTTAAAGGCAACCCGGTGAAATCAAGAAGAATTTCAATATCAAACGGTTCGAAAATCATTTCAGTCTGCAAGAAGGACACCACATTTTGTTTATATGAATATGATATATATATATATTTGATAAACCTACGCCAGGGTAAAAGCATTTGTCTTTTACATCATCCACGTTAATTACGTGATTTAAAAAATTCTTGTACCAATACTGAGGCTTGTCATACATAATTGGACAAATGTTAGGTACAGTCATACCAAATGGAGTCTGCAGCCAGGTTATACGGTCAAACCGAAATAACTGATAGCTAATCTAAATTATAATTAAATGAAAAATATAATTTAGTTGAAACATTTAAATGAAAGTTACCTCAATCCGATCCCCATATTGAATATTCCATATGTAAGTAACATTGCCAAAATCCAATATCTGATCGCCATCGGGTACAAGCGCCAAGTTAGAACTATCATACAGAGCTGTAATGTCAAGAACACTATCTGGTTGATTGGGACAAACGTCGAATACGTCAGAGTTGTCAGGAATAAACTTATATTTCAAGCCCCACAATTGCTTCGCGAACAAAGTCACGATTAATATGGCGTATTGACACTTTAGTACAATGCACATTGTTGCCGTTTTACTTTTCAAATCACTTTCGAATTGATTTTTGAGCTTCAGAAACTGGGCTATTTATACGCTAAATTTAATTATATAACAATGATGACCGCAATATAATTTACTACACGTGGTTGTCTGATATCGCCCAATTAGAAAGGGGTGGTCCTGGTATCAGCCTAGATATATATAACAAGTTTATATAATATCCATTGTGAATACTCTGTTCTATGGTTAGGAGCAGCAACATTAACGGAGGATCATTTTATCCCGTAATAACAGATTTTTCAGTCGCCATTTAATATCCCGTATAAGATCGAGAAATTAATCAATCCATGTCAAGACTGCTTTAAATATCTCATTTGTCGGTCCTTTGCCTGGAGACCTAATCTGTGGTGTTATTTCAATGCAAACATCTAATCTCTACAGACTGAGTTTTACGAAGTGTAGCCTAACGACAAGGTAATAGTAGTTTACAGCAAAAATATAAGAGCTATTAAAGAACATAAAGTAATCTACATTTACAATAAAGATTCCCACAGACAGACGGATAGACAGGATGTCAGAAATGCGAACATACGAAAAATGCAATATCAACTTTGGCTATGTTTCTGATCACGAATATATAAGCATTTAAAATAATTATCTTATATTTATTCAGTGTTAAAAACAAGCTTAATACATAGTTAGTTACAATTTATTTAAGAGTTAAGATAACAAAAAAGGATTATATTTGGGGGTGCCCGACTAGCCGTATCTCCTAGTAGTTCCGAGCAAAACACTGTTAACTTTTTAATTTAGCCTTTCAAATTGACCCTCTACTTCAATACATATGTTAGTTTTCCGCATTACATTTTTCGCGCTGAAGGGTTTCACTGTGACAATATTTTTATACCGGCCATTTAAAGGTAATCCAGTAAGTTCGAATACCAAATTTAACTCAAACGGTTTATGAATAAGTTGAGTCTGGGAGACGAAGATAAAAATGGTTAATTACAAAATATTTTATATTTGATAAACGTACTCCAGGGGAAACGCATTTGTCCTTCACGTCTTCCTTATTGATTATATTTTTTGTCCAATATTTATACCAGTACTGCGGCTCGTCATACAGTATTGGACAAATGTTAAAAACCGTCATACTGAATGGTGTTTGAAACCAACCTATCCGATCAAACCGAAATAACTGGAAGCTCACCTTAACAGAAATGCAATTGTAATGTTGTTAAGATTTTATTTTTCTCAATGAATTAATATACCTGAATGCGATCCCCTGGATGAATCTGCCATATCACGGTGCTATTGCCGGACATTTGAATCACACCATCCTTCTGCATAATTGTGAAGTTAGACATATCAAATAATCCATTGATGTTAAGGACATTATCTGGTTGCTTCGAACAATCGCTAAAGAACTCATCATTCTCAGGAACAAAAAGGTATTTCAAGGCACTCGATTGCCTTACGAGCAAAATGATAAAAAACACAGCGTAAGGATACATCGATCGTGCGATATTCGCTTCAATTAAAAATTGATTTTTGTGCCTTGGGGATTGGAGTATTTATACACAGAAGAGCTAGTTGTAAAACACTGATACTTATCAATAATTACATAGATTGCACTTAATTTGAGAGTGGAGAACTTCGGTATAAATCGAGGCTAAACACATTAATTGTATCTAACAACTTTTAATGTATATAATTAATTATATATATATATATTATATTTCGACATATTTGTCTACCTTAGAAATACTCTTCCATACATATATTGAGGGTATAATGGTTAGTGAATTGGCGTAGAAGACCCTTGGTCAGAACGACGAGCTGAATTGGTATAGCCATGCCCTTTAGTAGTGTCATAAGGCACTAAAACTAATTCAAATTTTTAACTTATATATCATCCGCAAATGTCATATCATAAGTTTTCAATACCGCATCGTATTTTTTTTAATAAATACATTTATTTTTTAGACAACAATAAAAAATGAATAAAAAAAACAATATTTTATAGGTATGCCAATATCTCAGCTGTTTGTGGAGCGGAAATGACTGTTACATCGAAAATATAAACATTCATTAATTTACTTTAGTCAATTAAGTTGCAGACAAACCTTGTTAGATATAATTCGATTTCCAGGACCTCCTCTTTCAAATTAATCGCAATCTAAGTATCGTGTATATGTAATTATTATGCAAAGTTTCAGTTGCTGGTTAAAGTATAAAAGCTGAAATCCCCAAGCCACACAAATCTATTTTAAATTGAAGGGAATAATGTATCTTTACGCTGTGTTTTTTATCATTTTGCTCGTAAGGCAATCGAGTGCCTTGAAATACCTATTTGTTCCTGAGAATGATGAGTTCTTTAACGATTGTTCGAAGCAACCAGATAATGCCCTTAACATCAATGGAATATTTGATATGTCTAACTTCACAATTATGCAAAAGGATGATGTGATTCAAATGTCCGGCAATATCACCGTGATATGGCAGATTCATCCAGGGGATCGCATTCAGGTATATTAATTCATTGAGAAAAATAAAATCTTTACAACATTACAATTGCATTTCTGTTAAGATGAGCTTCCAGTTATTTCGGTTTGATCGGATAGGTTGGGTGCAAACACCATACAGTATGACGGTTTTTAACATTTGTCCAATACTGTATGACGAGCCGCAGTACTGGTATAAATATTGGACAAAAAATATAATCAATAAGGAAGACGTGAAGGACAAATGCTTTTACTCTGGAGTACGTTTATCAAATATAAAATATTTTGTAATTAACCATTTTTATCTTCGTCTTCCAGACTCAACTTATTCATAAACCATTTGAGTTAAATTTGGTATTCGAACTTACTGGATTACCTTTAAATGGCCGGTATAAAAGTATTGTCACAGTTCAGGCCTTCAGCACGAAAAATGTAAAGCGGGAAACTAGCATCTGTGTTGAAGTAGAGGGACACTTTGAAAGACTAAATTAAAAATAAAGAATGTTATACTGGGACAACGAGAGTGCTGTATGATGAAATGATAATACATTATATTGTACACATTGTACTCTCACTTGTAAATTGCAAATAAATTTATATATATATAATTACTGTACAGTACAACATATATATGTATGTACGTATATTGTCCAGACATTTGGTACATATCAAAGGATTCATTAATTTTATACGATTCCTTTTCTGTATTTGCTATACGCTGTACAAGCATATTTGCGGATTAAAATAACGAGCTGGGTCGATCTATCCATATTGTCTTCATTATATATTTATTTTATTTTTTATTTTATATTAAAAATGTATCTTTAATAATTATTTTATAGTATGCTTATTCCATTTTAAGAAATAATCTGCAAATAAACTTCTTTGGAAAATTAGTTTATAGTTGACTTTGAAAACAGCTTAAGAATTGTAGGCTACCCATGAAGTTAGGGTCGCAAAATCCTATAGATCCTACAACACCGAAACAAGTAAAACACCAAAAAGCCAGACAAATATAAAATATAGTCTGAACATCTTATTTATATCTGCTTATACACCACACTAAATAAGCTGTCAGGGGTTGGAGTGGAGATGCATGAGGAGATGATCTTCACTCTTTAAGACTTCAAATTCCATTATACTTTATCTGTATATAAAGCTGAATATGCCTACACATTATATATATATTTCCGATAAACATATTTCTTTCAGTTTATCCTTTCGAATTCTCCAAATACTTCTATACATATGCTAGTGTCGCGCTGCACATTTTTTTGGTCAAATGCCTTAAATGTTGTGACAATTTTGTATCGTCCACTTAGAGGCAATCCAGTAAACTGCATTACCACGTTTACGTCGAAGGGCTCATGAATCAATTTCGTCTGCAAGTCGAAGACACAAACTATTAATTAGCTATTAATAGCTGAGTGCAGCTGGCATTTACGTACTCCGGGGTAGAAACATTTGTCCTTTATGTCTTCTGCATTGATTATATGTCGTGTCCAATACTTATACCAGTACTGCGGCTTATCATAGAGAAGTGGACAGCTGTCGGGCACTGTCATACTGAAGGGCGTTTGCAGCCATTTGCCACGGACAAACTGATACAATTTACCAACCATCTGAATAATAGTGCATTTGTTAAGAAATTCTTCCACTTAAGTAATGTTCATCGAAATTACCTCAATGCGATCGCCCGGCTTAATATTCCAGATCATGGTAGAATTACCCGAAATAGATATTTTTCCGTTATTACGCGCTAAGGTTAGCTTCGACATGTCAGCCATTCCGTGAACATTTAGAACATTACTCGATGATTTTGGGCAGTCAGCAAAGAAATCATCATCCTCAGGCACGAAAAGGTATTTCAGGGCACTCGCTTGCCTTGCGAACAGGATCAGAAATAAAAATGCGCCTCGGGACTCGAGCTCGAACCACATCGTTTGACTATTCGCGTTTCAATTTCGAATCACTTTGGAATTGATTTGGCTGCTCTCTGCATTGGAGCTTTTATACGCTAGAAATCGAATTATATAACACTCAAGAGTAACACGTGTTAGTCAGATTAACTGGATAAAGATTGTGAAGGCTTAGGTTCAATGTCATATAGTTATCTAATGACTGTATTTAATATAACTGGTTATAGGTAGATGTGACAAACTATATTTCAGTTATATAAACATGACATAGGCCCATCAAAAGAGTAACGAATTGTCGTGATGGATTGGTTTCATGTCATGTTATCAAAATTAAAATGTTCTCTTGGATTGAGACTCGAGGATGAATGCTAGAAATTAAATAGATTTCTTAAATTGCAGGATAAGTTACAAATAATTGGAAACAGTCGATAAATTAACAAACTTAAATATTTTTTGATTATGAAGGAGTACTGAAATATAAGAGAGAGGCTGACCTACATATGGGACTTTCTGAACTTATGAAGTCTCTAGTCTGTGCCAAGACCAAGAACAGATTCGCCTACTGTAGCTCAGATTGTAGCCAAGCTCATTTCGACCCATTGAAAAGTATTGCGTAGATTGGAAGAGCTTGACTTGATTCAGTCAGGCTTTTCAGATAGATATGCTATACAATCTTAGGGCTTAAGGTATCTCCTCTATGTAACTATTATATATATGTGGTAGTACGGTATACTATCTACGTATGTAACCCTTGTTTGTTGGTTTATCGCTCGATCATAGAGCGGATGTTTTTACTGTAATTAGTTTTTGCTGTTAGTAATTAAACATTGTTGAGTGTAACTTATCATAATTAGACAGGATCACGTTTGTGTACCCTGAATCTATTAGATATCCAAGCTCAGGGTGACCTAGCTCCATTAAAAGAGCTAGTTTACCGCATAAATTATTTATATACATATTCCTTATCAGTATCAACAATCGACTCAGTCTAGAGCTAGCCGTATATTTGTCAATCCGTTTCTTTGTGTGAAAAAATCGAAAGTTAAATCTATAAAAGATGGGGCTTAGGGTAATTTTTAGTCGGACACTCCCGACTTGAATACATAATCAAATTAGGGGCAATTTAAAATAGATTTTTAATTATTTCATTATGATTTGTCTCGTATATTTCAATTTTTGGCGTATAAAACCCCCAGCTCGAAAGAGACAAGACTCAATACCAAAATAAGTCGAATAATCAAACGATGTCTCTCCAAGCTAAGTTTCAATGCGCAGTTTTATTCGTGATTTTGTTTCCAAGGCAATCGCGTGCCTTGCGATACATATTCGATCCCGAATTTGATGACTTCTTTGACGATTGCCATAACTCAGCAAGTAATGTTATTAACATTCATGAACTATGTGACTTATCGGAGTTAACCTTTATGCGAGAAGATGATAAAATGTCAGTTGTGGGCAATGTTACAATTAAATGGAATATTCAGCTAGGGGATCGCATTGAGGTATTTGGAGGATTTAGAACATGCAACGAGTAAAATAACATAACTGTAATTCACTTTCCATTTAGGCGAGCTTTCAGCTCTTTCGGTTTGATCGTATAAACTGGCAGCAAACGCCATTTGGTATGACTGTGCATAACTTCTGTCCCATTCTGTTTGACGAGCCGCAGTACTGGTATAAATATTGGACAAAATATATAATCAACAAGGAAGAAGTCAAGGAAAAGTGTTTTTACTCGGGAGTACGTTTAGTAAATATAATAATATATTTCATAAAAATTTTTGAATTTGTCTTTCAGAGTAAATTAATTCACGAGCCGTTTACCATAAGTATGATATTCGATTTCACTGGATTACCTTTACATGGGCGATATAAAATAGTGACCACAGTCAAGGCCTTTAACTCAGAAAATGTGGAGCGGGAAATTAGCGCGTGTTTCGAAGTAGAAGGAAAGTTTAACAGGCTAAATTAGAAAAGTAAGAGTGCTCTAGTCGGAAGTGCCCGACAGGCATATACCCGGACTCCTGTGTAGATATATTGTTTTGTTATTATGCTTGGGTGCTTCTTCAGAGTGCAAATCACTGTGTGTGTGGGGCCGTTGGCACTCGAGGTATCTGCTTGTCGGCCACTCCCAACTAAAGCAGGTTTATTGCTATCCTTATTATGACTATCTATCTAGTTATCTTTAAAGTAAGCTGTTCCTTTAAATGTAAAGCAAAATCAAATATTAAACTTAATTTGAGAACTGAAACCGTTGAACATAGATCAATGAATAAAATATAATTGTGTGGAAATTTCATTACCATCAGAGGAAAGTATCTCAAACCACAGTAGGTGTCTGATTTTATTAGAATGTTTGTTTTATTACAATTTGGGCGTGGCTTACCTCAAAAGAATATATATTCTTACCACGTACATCTGGCTGAACGAAACGATCTCGTAAACAACATAAGTTGGAGACTTGAAATTTCAAAATTTTCCTGTATGCGCAGTATGACTATTATTTTTATCGATAACTCATCTTATTTCCTTATTATCGATAACTATCAATATTTTTCGCGTCTTAAGCGTAGTTTGATTCCTTCTTTGAAAACAGACACTTTGTATATATGGAATATTTTGTCGTTGAGGAACTCTCTCTTAATATCTTAAAATAGTGTCTCCTAGTCCCACCCATCAGGCCTCAGACAGTCAGTAAAATAAGATGTTCTGATCTGATAAACAAACAGTTCTTAGCTTATCTAAGCGAAGCCAACTGCAGCAATGGAAGCCATCAACGAAGTTTCGTAAAGTTGTATTGATGAACCAAGGAATGACTCTTTATCTGACAATCTGCTCACACTAATCCCTCTTAGCTTGACTGCATCCACATCGTAGCATCCTCAATCTGTTGCTATAATAATCATTTTTAAACGGGTTTTCGCCTATCCATAGAGCGGAAATGCTTATAACAACGGATATGTAAACATTAATTAACTATGGTAGTTATTTTAATTAGTCAATCAAGTTGAACATAAACCTTGTTGGATATAATAAGTGGGCTGTAACGCGATTAATACCAGGACGTCCTCTTTCAAATTAGGTGCAGTTTAAGTATCGTGTATATGCAATTATTGATAAGTATCAGTATTATGCAACTAGCTCTTTAGTGTATAAAAACTCCAATGCCTACAGCACAAAAATCCATTTAAAATTGAAGCGAATAATCACACGATGCTGCTCCAGTCAAAGTATCTTTACGTTGTGTATTTCATCAGTTTGCTCGTAAGGCAGTCGAGTGCCTTGAAGTATCTATTTGTTCCTGAAAATGACGAATTATATGGCGACTGCCAAAATCAACCAAATAATGTTCTTAATGTTCATGAAATGAGTGACTTATCTGAGCTAAGCTTTACACGAGAAGACGATAAAATATTAGTTTTTGGCAATTGTACCTTCAAGTGGAATATTCAACACGGGGATCGCATTGCGGTATTTTATTTCATTCCAACATATTAAAATATATTTAAAATTGACTTTCCATTTAGGCGAGCTTTCAGCTCTTTCGGTTTGATCGTATAAACTGGCAGCAAACGCCATTTGGTATGACTGTTCATAACTTCTGTCCCATTCTGTTTGACGAGCCTCAGACCTGGTATAAATATTGGACAAAATACGTAACCAATAAGGAACAAGTGAAGAATGAATGCCTTTACCCCGGAGTATGTTTAGCAATTATAAAAATATATTTTATAAGTATCAATTTCTATCTTCGTCTTTCAGACAAAGTTTATTCACATGCCGTTTGCCATAAATATGATAATCGATCTCACTGGATTACCTTTAAACGGACGTTATAAAATCGTGGTCACATTCAAAGCCTTTAGCCCTAAAAATGTTGAACGGACAACTAGCGTCTGCATCGAGATAGAGGGAGCATTTGAAAGACTAAATTAGAAAAGTAAGAGTGTTATTGTCGGAAGTGCACGACAGGCATATACCCGGACTCTTGGGCAGATCTGCTTTTTCATTGGGACTCTAGGATTTTTCTATACTTCATGCGCAGATTGCATTTAGTAAATAAATCGATATGTACATGAGGTTTTTTGGTTGCCTTAAATTGGAATGAAATAGGGGTATCTGATAGTCGATCACTCCTAACTAGAGCAGTTTTTTTATTGTATCTATTGTAGCTATCCATCTATTTGTGTTTAAAATATGTAGACCTCAATATGTTTAACTAAATGTAATAGATAAAAAGGCTTTTCATGGGTTTCAAGGGTGTATAATATAAAATAAACTAAGACATTATACATTAAACTTAATTTGATAGCTGAAGAATTTGAACTTGGATAAACGAATAAAAAATAATTGTGTGGAAATTCACTCTCACTACTGTTCATCAGATATTTATATATAAAACTGTATATACGTTTCGATAAAGACTCCAATTTTCCGGATTCTTCAGGAATGGAAAAGCTTATATTGATTTCATGCATGTCCGTCCGTCAAAATAGAAGTTGACATTTCAAACACAGACTCCTTGGTCCGTGTGTTGAGTGTTGAGATTTTGCCGACATTGCCACTAGAGGCGTGGCTAATGTAAGCATTTATCAATTATATTACACTAATTAGTCAATTAAAATGAACATAAACCTTGCTAGATATAATTAGCTCGATTGATACTGAAGTCCTCCTCTTTCAAATTAGATGTAATCTAAGTTACGTGTGTATAGATTTATTGATATGTATCAGTGTTATGCAACCAGCTATTGAGTGTATAAAAACTCAAGACCGTAAAGCAGCAGAATCCATTCCTAATTAAACCGAATAATCACACGATGTTGCTCCAATGAAATTATTTTTGTAATACCGATTTCGGGCAATGCTACTTTAATCTGCAATATTCAGCCAGGCGATCGCATTGAGGTAATTTCGATGAGCATTATTTGTAAATATTTGGAATAATATTTCATTATTATTCAGATAAGTACAACGTATATGGGTGAGATCGTATAACCTGGATGCAAACGCCATTCCAATATCTCTCCAATTATATGTTGAGAACCTCAGTATTGGCATAAATATTGAACAAAATTTGTATAAGGAAGACGTCAGCGCAATATTGGATTTTAAGTTAATTCTGCCTTAAATGAACGATACTCAGTTAGTAGCACAGTAAAGGTCCTTAGCTCGAAAAATGTGGAACGGGCAACTAACAACTGCTGCAGATCATTAGAGAATATTATAGACTGTGGATTATAGATTATAGCTTAAAGATACAGATTATACAATTATTCACATATCAAGACACTATTACTTAAGAATATAAAATAATACTGGATATTTGGTTAAGCAAAATTTGTGTATAAGAGCCACGCCTTGTTGTGGGAAATCGTAGCTGCCTAGATAAGAAATGGGAAACGAGAAACAACAAATTATTTCTAATTTCCTATCTATGCAACCATAAATATATATATCTATATAGACATATGTGCATATAAATATATATATATGTAATTCAGACGGCTTTTGATGACATTTGCTTGCTAGATCTTCAGCGGTCGATTGCCTATGAATTAACATTTGTTCTATCTGCTCCGGAGTTAGATGGTAACTGAATGTAACAAATAAGTCTGAATGTAGACTGCTAACTACGGAACAACATTGTATTATCCTCATACTGGCTAGGAGTCTTTTCTTCAAAGCTTAGTTTGCCCTGAGTTAAAGGGAAGAATAGCAATTGATTCATTTTAACTTCAGCAATTGAATTGTCCCTGTTTAGAATGTAACTAAATACTAAAACAGCGGTAGCAACGGAGAGCTTCCATTGATCATGACGGCGATGGCGAACGATATGAGGAGGTTCCTTCAATGACTATTGCCATTGATTCCATTACATTGAGTATCTCCGGGCAGGTTCTCCAGTGGGTGATTGGTCTGAGTGCTGTGGAATCTGGGGGGTATCACATCAATTGCAGATACAGAATCATCTCTATCATCACCGATAAAGCACACTTGAAGCAATTCTGGGACTGAGATTCTCCTGATGCTCGATAGGAGGCAGCTTCGATTCAGCATTAGATCCAGCAATTATCATTTTCTATGCAATTTTATTAGAAGATTCAGTTCTATTGTTCTTTGGGGATGTATTTCAACTACTCTCGCACTCTTCCATGCGTTCCGTTCACTGCTGATTTCGATGTGAATGGAGTTCAGTTGGTGCTATGAATGGGGATTACTACGACCAACATGTATTTCGCGAGGTATTCATACAACTGCATGGAAACACTAATGGTACAAAGGACAGAATCCGAGATCTTGCAAGTCACGACTCTAGTAAACTGAATATAATACCAAAATGCATGCGCCATGAATTCATTCCCATTATCGCTCGCTTATAATATAATTACCATTAATTATATATATTACACTAATAAGGTACTCAAATAAATGGAACCTTGTTAAAAATATATCTCGAATGATACCAGAACCTCCCTTTTCAAATAAGATGCAATCTAACAAACGCGAACAGTTAATTATTGAAAACTTATCAGTGGAAAAAAATGTAGTTTTGAAGGTATAAAACGCTCCGGCTGTGTGATACAGAAATCAATTCGAAATCAATTCGAAATCAAAAGATGTTGTGCCGAGTTAAGCTTCAATATTCAGTTTTATTTGTGATCTTGGTCGCAAGGCTATCGATTGCCTTGAAATACCTATTCGTTCCGGAGTATCAAAACATCTTTGACGATTGCCAAGCAGCAGCAAGTAATGTTCTCAACATTGAAGGACTCTTCGATATGTCCGAGTTAACCTTGACGTCTAATGACGACACCGTTTTAATTTCGGGCAACCTAACCTACGTTTGGAATATTCAACCGGGCGATCGAGTCGAAGTATTTTTGTTGAACCTTCTGAGAGTTGAGCAATATCTTAAGCTTTGCTTTGTTATTTAGCTTCGAATAAACATTTATCGCTTTGATCGTATAAAATGGGTGCAGACACCTTTCGGTTTGACTGTTCCTAACATGTGTTCAGTTATGTATAAGGAATCTGACTACTGGTATCAATATTGGACAAGATTTGTAACTAACAAAGAAGACGTGAAGAACGAATGCTTTTACCCTGGAGTATGTCTTTCAAATGTAGCTATAAATCTTCGTGAGGAATAATACTTATCTGCGTCTTACAGACTAAACTGATTTACGAACCGTTCAACCTAAGCGTCACAATGGATTTTACTGGAATCCCCTTAAACGGACGATACAATGTTATCGCAACAATCAAGGCGTTTAGCTTGAAAAATGTCGAGCGGGACACTAGCATCTGCTTCGGAATCGAAGGAGAATTTAACAGGCTGTAAATTATAGCAGCAACTTAAAAGATACTACTGTTTATACATAATTGTATAAATATAAAAATAATATGCATCAAAGATTGCTTCGTACTCATTGAAACTACGTATCTCAATAGATAGTGGGCTTAAAGAAGAGCACAATGTCCAGGAAATGCTGTCGAATATCGTTTAGAATTTTTCGGTTTTTGTATGCTTAACCACATATTTTTCGCCTGTATTAATTACTAATCTTTATTTAATGTGTAATTAAATAATAATAAATAAATGTATAACAATCCCCATTGGGATAATACACTATTAATTATAGCTAACGTCTCAAAAATGTTTTCACAAAACAATAAATTTGAAATAACTTCGATTAAGTGTCATTTAAATAAATACTTATTTGATAAGATCGGTTGCATTGAAATTATAAAACTAGTCTTGCTCTAGAGTTGTTAAGTTAGCTTTGATAAATAATATTTTGGAAACATTTTCGGGGCAGAGACCCAATTGCATATCACTATATAGACTCTTAGATATATTGAATAGGCGCTCGCTGGCAATGCTAGCGGCGGGGGTGGATAGATATCGCTTAACAATGGGAAACAAAGCGCTATATTTACTATTAGATCGCCACCAAGTTATTGGATCGCTTTGCCGTTCCACTCTTGGTTCTGAATTGTACAAATACAATAGATTCTTTAATTGCGATTGCGATTGCGAATGCAATGATGTGGATGCTTCCGGACTACTGTTGGATAGTGTGAGCATATTGTCAAGAAAAGAATCAATTTTTGATTCGTTTTTAGCATTCGAGGCCACTTTGACAATCTTCATTGGCGGCTGCCATTGCTGAAGCCCGGTTCGGCAGAGCTGTGCCAAGACTTCCTCAGTTACCAGCTGTGCTTCCTGATGGGTAAAAAAAGCCTGCTTGTAACGCGGATCTAAATACGTGGCCATCAGATACTTGATATCCGACGTAATTGTCGAGCATCTCGACTCTAGCTCCTCGAGCAACTTTCGAGCAAACGAGCAAATGGTCTGTAAGAGATTTGGAAATAGAATCAATTTTCCTTGCCTCACGAAAATTTCTATTTACCACTGAAGACACAAAGTTGTGGACGTCGGTGCGTAGGGAATCACGCAGTGCGGCTATTAGTGGTATAACAGAGGATGCCGTCGCAGAGGTGCCACTCCAAATATTGACAATTTCCTCAATTGGTTGTATGACTCGTTGACCCAAATCAATATCCAGCCATTCATCTGGATAAATCTTTACCATGTTATACTCCTCGGCATAAATAGAGAGAGCATCCTTAAGCTTTAGCAGGCGTCCTTTCAAGCGGAAGATCGCGCTCCAATCCAAGTGGTTGTCATTGTGTTCCATCAATTGCAATGGCTCGCGATTCAATTGCTTCTCATGAATATATTTCAAGTGATTGTATGCTATGTGAGATTGCTGAAAGTGTTTTGAGATCTGAAGGCATTTGGCATCTAATTGTTTTAGATGTTCATTCGATTCGAGGGCATATTTCACACAAATCTTCAGTAGATGAACGTTGCACTCTATTATGGCACCCTGTATGCAAGTGCCCTCATCTCTGATAATACAGTTAATCTTCTCCTTGGGCAGCTGTAGCTCCTGGCAGACATTGGCAATGTTTACACGAATGCGACAAGCGACGTCGTCTGTGTGTCGTCCGTCGAGGGCTTCACATTTCAAGTGGAACTGTTTGGATTGGAAGTCGTTGGAAATTCCGTGGCAGCTTAAGCTCAGCAAGCCTTGGCCACCAGTTCCCCACGAGATGCTTGTGGCCAGCGAAACAGAATCCAACATGACGAGTTGTTGCTTCAGTTGCGTTTGCATTCGTCGATATATGTCTTGGCATAACATATTCTCATAATAACTAACAGTATTAATTGCATATCGCGGCTGCAGAACTTTAATAAAGTTCACGAAGCCAGCGCTATTTAGCAAGCTAAAGGAATAATCATGCTGGGCTATCATTAAAGCCAATTTCTCATCGCTAGCATAAGTTTCGTCCGAGTCGCTTAGCCTTTGAACTTCCAATGGATCAGCATCCTGAAATAAATAAATAAAATAAATGAAATATGTGAACTCTGTGTGAAGTATATCCTTTATTTTACGTGTAATTGCAGGTTCGTGTGAACGGATGCGTTATCATTTATTTCCGTTTTCACCATGTACTTGATGTCGTTTTCGGATAATGTTAAAAATTCGGCAGGATGCTTGCTCTTTAGATGATTTCGCAGACATGTTGTGCCGCGTCCCTTACGTGAATAATTTTTATGGCACAGGCAACAAATTGCGACAATATCGCTTTCTTTATAGAAAAAGTTCCAAACGCGACTCTTTTTGCTCATTATTTCTTTTGCGGATACTCCGCTTTACATCCGTTTCATCGCAGCCCTACAACACAACTTACGATAATTCAAAAGACGATGACGATAACGGCTCGATAGCATACAATTAGAGTGACCATCTTGCTATAAACTTCTATCGTGTTTCTTCCATCAGTAACATTGTAATTTGGCGCGCACGAGACTCGGAAACAATAATTATTTGTTTATGTGCGCGATGCCTTGCAACATGGAACTACCTAGCTCCCCAGAAGAGCTGACAGCACAAGACAATGAAAATTGGAAAGAGTTACTAAACGATTCCACAAAATGGCACTCTATTCCGCTGCTAAATCACACACCTTTGCACAAATTGAAAGATCAGGGGCTGGTACGTTTTCGTGGCATGGTGCAGGACATGATGGATCCAGAAATCTACTTGGAGCGATATGAGGTAAAATTAGCTGACGGCAGTGCACGTACACAGCCAGGCAAATATCGGGATTGTCTGCGACTGGGCAAAGATGAACTACTGGACTACCATGCCGACAGCAATGTGCATGGCGAGCGACGCACATTATTTGTGGTCTCAGTACCTGGTCTCAATGACTGGGCTAAAGAGCACGAAAAGCAATGTAACCCGCAGTCACAACAGTTGCCAAGTGTTGGAAGTGGTGTCAAACGCGCATTGGATGAACAAGAAGATATGGAAGTGGACAAAACAGATGAATCTAACATTAGCTCAGCCAAAAAGCAATGTGTAAATGTTGAGAGCAAAGCAGAAACGAAGGGCTGCAGCTCTGCAGTACTTGGCTCAGACTATCTGCTCAACTCGCCGTTGCCCAGTCGTCCAAGCATGGCCTGCATGGTGAAGGTCTACGAGGAATTCGATAAATACACCTTAAATTCGCTAATGGATTTTGTGGGCTTTCTGTCTGTGGATCCAGCATTGGACGCATCCACGCTGGACGTTGAGGCCATGAAGGATGTGGAAAGCCTAGCCGAGCTGCAGGCACAGAATCCGTCGCCATTTCTAATACCGCGCCTGCATGCCTTTGCCGTCAAGTCTTTGTGCCATGCCAATCCGCTGCTAGACGAAAGTCTTCAGCAACCTGCTGCAATTGAGGCACCACATGCACCACAATCTTTGGAAAGCATACACAAGGATTTGCGCATGCTGCTCAAACTTTGCCTGTTCGAGGACGAACTGGCTGCCGAATATCTTCTTTGTCATCTAATTTCTACAGTTTATAGCCGTTCTGAGATGCAGAGCATTGGCAAATTCGCATTGAACATCTGTAACCTGCCCAAAGAGTGTCTGCAGCAATATACAACAAAGCTATATGAGGTACTCGAGCTCTTGTTGCCTGCTAGCCACTACCTGCCAATAACCCTAGAAACCATGAACACAGCAGCCTTTACACCAAAGTAAGTCAGACCTACATTAATTCGTGATGGGTAACATTAAAACATTTACTTTCTACAGAAAGGACTATGAGACGAACAAGCTGGTCTCTGGGTTGCTGCAGCTGGCGCCCCATACACATCTGGTACTCGACGAGACGCACATGCAGCAGGGCAAGCTGGAAGCGAATGGTGTGCATGCCATACAGCATCTAGCGAACCTTATTAACAATCAGCAGCTGAAGTGCGACTTTCAGTATTATCAAATAGATTACAATGTGGATATTCCGGTGCTGGTGCTCAGCGAGGGACGCAGCATGCTGCCGGTATGGAATTGAAATAGGTATAATTATAGCATATTTCTAATGGACGTACTTTATTTGCAGAGCGACTTTGTGATGCCAATTAAGGCAGATGAAAAAGCTGTTCAGATTTACGAGGAATCTTTGAAAGCTGCTTTGCACTATCTACAGCCGGGGCGCCTGCAGCAGTTCCGCAACTATTTGACCATGTCGCGGATTGCTCAATTCAGCGTTAGCGAAGAGCACACGGAAATGATACAGCAGGAATTTGTGGATATGCGCAAGGCGAATGTGAAGAGCAATGCTGATGATCTGCACTGTCTGTTGGTCTTATCGCGCCTACTAGGCATTGCGCGCGGCAATGCTACGCTAGATAAGGAAACCTGGCACTTAGCCACAGAGTTCGAGTCAAAGCGTCGTCAGCGATTGCAAGCAATGCCCAAGTCAAGCACTTCAATGCGAAATTAAATTGAATATAAATCGTTTTACAAGGAAAAAACATGTTTTATTGTTCGCCAGATTTTCTTGTTTTCTGAAATTTTTTTAAATTGATCAATCGATCTCGTCTCAGCTTCTGAAAGGCACGAAATTTATTGCGTCCGTTTATATAGCACAACGACTCCTGATACGTAGTTGGCAAGACCTCTTGAACATTTCTCTCAGCCTTATAGATGAGAAACAACGAATTAGTTGTTGTATGTGTCGTGCTGTTCTCATGCAAGACTTCCACGATTGTCAACAATTGTATATACCTTTTATATGTGTATACCACGTAGGCAGTTAATTTGATAAATGAGTTCACCTTCAATGGACTATAGAATGCAACATCCGAGATGCATTCGATCAGTGGGCGACCGCCAGCATATATGCAGGCGGTAATCGAACTGATTTCCACAGCTGTCCGCAGTACGAATCCACCAAAAATATGATTGTGCACGTTGCGATTGTCGGGAAAAGCGCGCAGAAGGGTACTATGATTCGATTCGGACATCCATCTGCAATTTGATGGCAGTTCAAGATTGTACATATTTTGAGGCTTTGTGCCTTGGGTTCGCTTGAAGATCTCGAACATTAGCTTCTCGTCTTCGATTGTGGGTCGTGTGTATAGTACGGTCCTTGATTGTTTGGCCTTGCGAGCCTTGTACCTCTTAACCGAATCCTTATAGCATGATTCCTCCTTCTCGTTGGCCGGACTCAGTGGATTAATTGGAGCAGCTGCTGTATTTGTTGCATTGCGTGCGACCATCACAAAGATGGCTTTCAGAACGGTTCGAAAGTTCTGCTGCATATAAATGGTTATCTCCATGGAGGTCATGCCAGTCCATGAGACATGGCCACACAAAGAAAGGTCTTCATATGCCAAGATATTATTACAATTAGAAAACTCCACGCTCTCGACCAACACTGTGACAAATATATAGGGCAGCGGTATACCTTTGGGCAATGTCGGCACATTCGTATGACGGTGACAGATCCACACTAAGGGCCTGGCTTAGTTAAGCGTCGCGTAGTCGTTGCCAACACATCCATTTACTTACCGGCAAACAGGTCCAGTTCCTCCATCAGACGTCCCATGCGCACTCGACGCAAATGGTTGACATAACGTTCCCGATACGAACTCGAACTCAATGGCAATATCGCCGTAGTGAAAGAGTCAGTCATGCTACGACTGGGCAAATCCTCTCGCTTTGGCGTATACTTGAGCAGATTTGCACGGCACTTGGGTATCGTATAGTATCCCGGATCCAGTCCAATTTGCTTCTGTATATTTTCACTAACTAGGAAAGAGTGTGCTAAAAATTGTATCAGAACAGACGCAGATACTGCCTCAGTTACCATTCGACATTGTACCCGAACAATGGCCAGACTGAAAGGCATCAAATTCACAAGTTTCATGCCAATCATGTCGACTGGCGGACTGATGTATGTTCTTTGAACAGGCAACACATGTTTTACATTGAGATGTAAGAATATCGGACACAGTTAACACAGATATAGGTGTTCTTAGCAACCTGACCATCCTGATGAATCATTCAATAATTTTGAACAATATTCCAAACAAAATTTTTTTTTTTTGACATATTTTTTTTGATTAGTGTTGTCGGGAAAAAGGAAATAAAAATGGTCAAATCATGGTTGGGATCGGGATGGATTTTACTGGAAAGAACAAAAACAAATATAGTATTATAAATATTCTCGCAATAACTTATATAAAACTATTAAAAGTTAGAAAATTTAGACAATTTCAAAATTGACTTACCTAAATTTCCCCCATTAGGTCAGAGATATTTCTAATAGAACTATATTATCAGTATAAACCTGGTTTTCATATTTGAATATAAAAATAAATATGTAGTTTCATGCCTGGGCTCATAAAAATCATCATAAAATCAATGAACCTTAAGACGGATATACATATGTATTTGTTTTTTTTTTATTCGTGTTTGTACACAATAGAACCTCGGTTAGCAAGTACAAACAACGCTTTGTATTATTTATAATTCCATTTTTTTTTCATTTTACGCGATGGTCAATTGAAAACATAATAGAACAAATAGATAGGGGAAGAAAATTAATTTGCAATCGCTATACGTTTTCGACCTTAATATACCCTGTACCCTCTGTACTAGATCAAATTAAAATATGAGATAATATTAAAAATAAAATTGTAATTGAATAAGTAAACAAACAATAGTCCAAATAAATAATTAAAGTTAGTTTTTGTGTAGTAATGCGATACAATTCAATCATATAACGTGTCGTTACCACATTAATATGATTGGTTACATGATAAGAAAATGATTTTTTGTTTGGTAAAGCTATAAAGTTAGCCTCAATTAGAGTCAAAATATGCCTTCTAATCGTGTGTGAGCAGATGGAGACGTAGCCCTTACAAATTTCAACACAAACCAGAATTTTCTCTGCCAGGGTATGAATATGCGATCTCATCGTTATGCGATTCTTTTTAACACTTGAAAGCTTAGCACAGTTATGATCCACACATGCGGTCCACAAACATATAAATATATAAGGCTCATCAGCTGCGAACGGCTTTCAGTCAATTGCTCGCACTGATGCGATTACATCTATAGAAAAATGCCAAAGGTCGTGCTATATGGTATTGACATGTCCCCGCCAGTGCGGGCTTGTTTAGTAACACTCAAAGCACTGGAGGTTCCGTTCGAGTATAAAGTGGTTAATTTGGGTACAGCCGAGAACCGCTCGCCAGAATACTTGAAGATGAATCCACAAGGCACGGTGCCAGTGTTGGATGACAACGGTACAATCGTAACGGACTCGCATGCCATATGCATATATCTATGCGAGAAGTATGCCAAGACAGATGCACTTTATCCCAAGGATCTGTTGAAGCGCACAGAAGTCAATCAGCGCTTGTTCTTCGATGCCAGCGTCATCTATAAGGCGCTGTGGAATGTGAGCAGTGTCTTCTGGATGCGGGGCATCACAGAGGTGACCAAGGAACGGACAGACAACGTTCATGGAGCCCTCCGTTTGACAGAAGTTCTTCTGGAAAAACCGTACATTGCTGGCGATGCATTGACCATTGCTGATTTCTGCTGTGCTGCCACTGTCTCATCCATGCCAGCAGTTTTTGACATTGATCCACAGAAATATCCGAAGATCACCGCTTGGCTTGCGCGTCTCAGCAAGTTGCCTTACTTTGAGGAATTCAACAATAAGGGTGCCAAGGAGTATTCAACATTCATGAGAAGCCAGTGGACCAAAGTGGAGCTCTAAACTAACTTATAAGAATATCTATATGGGAATAACTATCGTTTTTAGTAATAAAAAAATTATGTATATTAAATATTCGCTTAGGATCCACATATACATATATATATACAAATGTAACTAAGCTTTAGGCGAAGTATACGAAGTACTTTATTTGCTGGCCTGTTTGTCTCCGTCATCGAAATTTATAGAATAAGCAGATTCATTAAAAACTTGTAGTTTCATTTTATTGCAGTGGCGCTAAATAATTGAGGTGCATACCGGACGCGAAGATTCTTATCGATATAAATATCTATTATCGATAGGGTAAGCTCATCGATTTTTCAGCGAGCTGGACAGCGAAAGATAGTATAAACAAAATGAGTAAAAATAACAAAGTGGTTTGGACCGATGAAATTTTACTTTTTATTATAAAACATGTGAAAGCAGCGCCATTCGTTTGGGATCATTCGCATCCACAATTCGCATATAAATCAAAAAAGGCGAAATTCTGGTCGCTTCTTGCAGAAAAAGTTAACGCCTATGGTGGATTTTTTTCAGCCACACCAATTACGAAAGGTAAAATAGATAAATTGAAGCTACAATTATCATATTAAAGTAAAAATATTATGGTTCTAGAGGCATTGCAAAAGAAATGGACAAATATGAAGACATACTATTTGTTCGAGGAAAGCAAATCGAGACGAATCGGTGCAGATGCAGAAAACTTTAGTACGACCTGGAAATTTCGGCTAACTTTATCATTCTTGAGTTCAGCTCTGGACACACCAACACGAGCACAGCAAAACTCATCGGCAGAAAACGCATGTAGCACAACATTACCACCGACTGCAAGTAATAGTAGTTTTGATCTATCAGAAGACGATCCGCTTGCCACTCAAGAATGCCAGCCACCAATTACAATAAAAACGGAAGAACCATCAGTTGATGATTCGCCAGCATTTAATGAGCCTGCTGAAGAAGAAGCTCCTTTTCCACCCATAAGAAAAAGACCAAAAGAGTCGCCAATCTTAGAAGTTCGCAGCCCCAGAAAAGCACACAAATCGTATTTTTATCATTATGGTATGACTATTGCCCAAGATTTGGATCAACTGGATGAGGACTATAAGATAGATGCTAAATTGGAAATAATGCAAATTATTGCCAAATATAAGAGAGAACAGTACTTAAATCAATCCGATAGCTAAGAAAATAAAATTCAAACTAATAAATTTCTAATTTTCGGTGATTTTATTGATCAGCTTGCTCTCAGTTTGATTCTTTTGTTGAGAATGCTTACACAAAACATAACAGAATTTGCCAACCACAACAAAAGACAAGAAAAAATAATTGTCAAATTTAACAGCACTGCAAATAGACTGCAAAGCTTTACAAAATATCGATAACCACATATGAACAGCTGTGGTTAACAGCAGTGCAAGCAGCAACCTTCAAAGGAAACTGCCTTCTCTGCATAGTGTAGTGTAATTGTTCTTGGTATAAGAGTGTATAAGAGGCGAGCATAATGTCAAATAGACATTTTTTGTGACAATTTTAGATGTGTAAAATAATTATTTTTTATGTAACAAAAAGGAAAACGATAGATAAAGACGGGAAAACAGCGACAAACGCCGCGCAAAAGTGCCTCTGTGCACAAACGCAAGCCGCAAAAGCTGTGCGCGAAATCAATTTACAGCGCACACAAACGTAACGTGAAAATCGATTTCAGTTTTCGTCTGCTGTTGCCAGCAGTCTGCTGTGCACTTTCTATTAATGTACAATTGTACAATTAATTTTATTCCACCGCCACCACACAGCAAGTGCAAGATGCACGCTTACTCAGCCCAGGCGAGGCCACTGCTGAATCGCCGCTGCTGCCACTGCAGCTGGAATAGCTCTGCACTGCGTCTGCTCGCGCTGTGTACCCTCATCGCTGGCTGCACTGCAGCCGATACGGACATTACGCTCGACGCCAGAGCGACGCTCAATCATCGCATTCAAAGCCTCGACTTGTTGGTATTCGTATTTCTGCTAGCCCTAACTGTATTGACCATTTGGTTATTCAAACATCACCGCGTTTCGTGGCTACATGAGACCGGATTGGCTGTCATTTATGGTAAGTGAGCGAATCGTTAGCTAACTTCGCTTTGGGTTACCTACATACACATGCTAATTGTTCGCTTTATATTATTATTATTATCGTATATTCCTTTTATCACTTCTCTATGCCCTTCTTCTTCGATCATTGTCACCTGCAGCTTTCATTGTCGCCCCTTTGTGCTTCTAATATGCGCAATACACCTCACATATAGATAGTTATATATAATATATAAATATATTTAAATACGTTTATGCGCATCGGTCATTACGTATTTTTACACTTTTCGCGCACATTCCCAAACTAAAACATATACAAAACCCAAATTGGCCTTTGTAATCGGAACTGCAATGCTTTTAAGTCCCGCATTTTATACGAATGAACATTTCGTTGATATACGAACCTGTTATTAAAAACCCTGTCTACACATGCCAACACAAAAATTCGTTTTCTCCTATCTTTGTTTTCTACAATTCTTCTCCGAAATTTGCAATTCAGCGACATTTTTGTTATTATAGAATGAGCATGTTTTGATTACAGTGAATATTCGCTAACGTCAGCTAAATCAAATCTAAGTTTTATATCAATTTATAGCGCAATAAAATTGTAAATCCAGATTTATTTTATCTTCATATTTGAAGTGCACTTTAAGTAAGAAGAAATGCAACAACAATAGATAACACTTTTTTATACACATTTATATTAAACTACAAAAATATTAGATACTTATATATTTTATGTTATTTGCCTTTTTCAAATGTTCTTCATACCACACAAATATTGACTTGGCTTTGCTCTAATTATTTGTTTAGAATAATTTAAATCATTATATTCATAGTTTACTTCTTTAAAAACAGACGTCCATTTGATCTTGGCTATGAATTTAATTACACATGCTGTTTTTTTCTTTTCCTTGATAGCAAACAGAACCAAAGTATTGGTCATTTATTATATCGAGTCGCATATGTGTTTTTAAATTTGTTGTTTTGCTTTGGGTTTTCCCATAAACGTTTTTGCGTTTGTATTTATGACTTTTTTAAATAAATCAAGTCTGCTATCGGTACCAGTTGGGAATCAAATACATGATATATACATACGTCATGCAGAAGAGGAGAATTACGACTAGTTTGACAACACGTGATTTATATATATGTATATATATATATATATATATATATATATATATATATATGTATATATATATATGTGTGTGTGTGTGTGTTTACAAATAACTTTTGCTAATTTTTTTTGTACATTTATGGAATGACGGTGCGTCTGGTATGTCTAACTTATCTAGGTATATATATCTTGGTGAAGACGACAAGCAGAATCTATCTATCTATCTATTATGTCAGCTAGAAAGCTGAGATTTGAAATTCTATTAGCTTGTGATCTGTTGAAATCGATATTTTATCGATATTGAATTCCATTACAATGAAAATCGATTTGTTGACATGGCTTTTGGATTACAACTTAAAGCTGGAAAAATTCCGTAATTGTTAAAAAGACTCTCGATAATAAAATTCACAAATTATTTAACATGAACGTAATGGTTATGTCCTGAGATCGGACATATAGAAAAGTTATTTGCAATAGTTTAAATCTTGTTTTACTTCAGGAAATAACTTCAAATACTAGAAAGAGCACTTTGATGTCAGGGCATTTTCTAGTCGGATAAGCCCATATCGAACTCTAATATTTATTTTTCCTTTTAATATGGTAATTAGACAGTCGTATCTCAGCCATAACACAAGATTTGATTAGCAATGAAATATTATTATAATAAAAATATATAAACATGAACCAGCTGCTGATAAGACGACGACTTTTTGGCAGTGCGCAAACCGTTTAGGCTGATAAGCGTGCTCTTGCTTTGACTGTGAAGTGAGTCAACAACTTGAGTATTTATGTTCCATATTTGTTCTACACGATCTTATCAATACACACAATAACACATTCAACCGGCAACTGCTCTCTATTCATTAGTCACATTTTCAAAACGAGCTTTGTGATAGGTCAGGCAATAATAAAGTGAGCTTACGACTAAAGCAGCAAAAAACCTCTTTGAACCGATTCAGTTTGTCTTTTTGAATCTGCTTGCATTTATATTTTATTTACTTAAAGTGCTTTTAATTTAAAATTATTGCTTAGAAGAGCAGTCGCAGTCATAGCGCTCTGTGTTTGCCCCTAGTTCAAGGCCTGACTCATAGTCAGGCATTTCCCAAAGGACCTATAGATTAGTTGACATGAATGTATATGAATAGGGTTGAAGAACTGACTCATATAGAGTTTTTACCAATATTTAAATATGCTAGACTTTACATCAGCTTAGAAATACATTTCGGATCAAGATATATAATTTGCTTTCCCAAGGACCTATATATCAGTTGAGAATTAAGATAATGAAATAAGGGCGTTATCCATCCACTTTTTCTGTAAATGGTTTTCTTTTAATATTATGTACTTAAAACAGTTCTAAATTGATTTTAATTAAAAGTAAAAGTCTTTTAAATAAAACACATCATGTGATTAACTTGAATTGCTTCATTATCCAATTGCAGGCTTAATTGTGGGTGCCATCATACGATATGCTGGCACAAACACCACCCTGGTGCACATGCAGGTGGAGCCGCAGGGCGTACCCACCTACAATGATAAATTGCCACCGGACACATTGTGGTTCAACGTGCGTAGCGCAGCTCAACACGTTTGCTTATGCAATTAGAGTCTATTGTCATTTAATTTGTTTTGTTTCTGTTTCTGCTGCTGTTCAGTATCCGGTTAACCAGACAAATGCCGAGGGTGTGAAGACGACATATGCGTACGTGTTTCGTGGACAGGTGTACGATATCGAGGAGAATGAAATCGATTTGAAGGCCACATTCGATCCGGAGGTCTTCTTCAATATCATACTGCCGCCCATTATATTTTACGCTGGCTACAGCCTGAAGAAGGTATGAACATATGAATGTATGTATGTGATATGATCGTAACTGATGTACGTTTCCATTTGCAGAAATACTTCTTTCGCAATTTGGGCGCAATTTTGACGTTTGCCATTGTGGGCACCACCTTATCGGCGTTCCTAATCGGTGGCCTGATGTACGGCTGTGTGAAACTGATGCCAAAATACTTGAGCAGCAGTTGCACATTTCTGGACACGCTGTATTTTGGGGCGCTGATATCGCCCACAGATCCGCTCACCATACTGGCCATATTCAACGATCTCCATGTCGATGTAAATCTCTATGCGCTTGTGTTGGGCGAATCTGTGTTGAACGATGCCGTTGCCATTGTGTTAAGCGGGTAAGCTGAGCGTGTACACTTAATCTCACATGATAAGAACATTATTTCTAGAATGCTATGTGCATATAGAGTCTATAGAATATTTCCAGCTTTACACTACTATTATATATATATATGCTGTAGAAACTATCTGCTTAAGAGCTAATTTGAATTTGTATAATGTATCTTTAAGATGAAATGCTTCATCTCTCCTTAAGTAATATGAATTTTAGGCGAATCAGGCATATCGATAGGAACAACAGTCAGTCAATCTGTCTTAACAGTTTTAATACGCAAATGTTTTTCCGGAATTTCCTGCAATGAAAATTCCCCGAAAAACAGCTTAACTTATTATTTTGCCTTATCAGCTTTAGCCAGTCATAAAGCCAAATAGAAAAACAGCTCCCGACATATTTCAAATATAATATTTCTAATTAATGAATGTTTACAGGGCCATTCAGAACTACGGCGAACATTATTCAAACACGGGAGAATTTGAGACTACGGCATTTCTTCGTTCGCTGAGCGACTTCTTCTCTATCTTCTTCTTGTCGCTGATGATTGGCGCTGTGATGGGCTGTTTCACGGCATTGATATCCTTTTTTAAACAACACAAACCATATATTATTGATTTTTTGACACATTTAGCCCATTTGTCTCCTTAACTCCTGCCACACTTGACCAAGTTTACGCGTGTTCGTGACTTTCCGCTGTTGGAGTCGGCGCTGTTTGTGCTCATGAGCTACAGCACGTTTCTGTTGGCCGAGGCAACGGAGCTGACCGGCGTGGTAGCTGTGCTATTTTGCGGCATATGCCAGGCGCATTACACGTACAACAATTTGTCCGAGGACTCGCGACAGCGCACCAAACAGATCTTTGAGCTGCTCAACTTTTTGGCCGAGAACTTCATATTCTCCTACATTGGCGTCTCGATGTTCACCTTTCCCAAACATCATTTCGATGCAGGCTTCATAACAACAGCTTTCGTGAGTTATCTATTTAAATATAAATTAACTTTTATCAAGGAACTTCTATTTGTTCTCACAGATTTGCGCGGCGTTGGGACGTGCTGTCAACGTCTATCCTTTGTCCTGGCTGTTAAACATTAAACGCAAACCAAAAATCTCATCAAATTTCCAGCACATGCTTTTCTTTGCTGGTATTTACGAGCAATCAAATTGTAATGTTAATTTCTGCAGTAAAAACCGTTTTATTTAGGTTTACGTGGTGCTATGTCCTTCGCCTTGGCCATCAGAAACACCGTGTCCGAAGCACGTCAAACTATGCTAACGGCCACATCGCTGATTGTCATCTTTACGGTCATTATTCAGGGCGGTGCGGCTAACTTTTTCCTCAACTGGTTGAAAATACCGTGAGTTGTGTCTGTATTCCTATCACTTCACCTTAGGCTAATAGTAAATTCCCATTTGCAGCGTTGGCGTCGATGAGGAGACTGAGCAACTAAATAATTATCAGGTACACAGTGTGAGTATCAACTCGTTAAAATCAGCTCATTCATTTTTTCTTATGCTACATTTATTTTGGGAGTTTTATTTTGATAAAAAAAAACTTGAAGAAAGCACGGCTAAATAAACTATAAATATAGCATAAAGCCAGTTCAATATTATATTCGCCGCATATCGCAATGTTTTGTCTGCAGGTGAACAAATTTCATTTAAAAATAGTTGCCCTTTCACTACTCAGAAGCTTAGCTATATTTAAATTTATTTTAATAATAATTAAATACAAATGGTTGTCCTTAAATTTGGAATTTATTAAAAGAATCAGATGCTGAACATTTTAAAGAGATAAAGCCGTTGGGCAAAGCTTAATAAAAATATATAAATTTTTATTTCAGTTCGATTTATTTTCATTCTAACTACCAGATTTTTAGTTTGAGTTTAATTTGCTATCTCTTACCTCAAATTTTGCTTATAACAATTATTAAAGATTTCCTTTTTTTATTATGACACAATAATGATCGAATAACGCCATATAAAACCATTTCAAAGTATGAAAATAATATGTTATTAAAAAGTATTTAAATAAAGAAGTTTGGCTCAGGTAAAGATTGGCTCTTGAGCTATCTTTGGTATTGCAGTTGTCTGAAATAATGTTTGAAATACAAGCCTATATAAGTATATGTAAATAGTATTCGACTAGTATTATGGGGTATTCGAGATGTCGCTTGTTCATAACTTAGTTTATTCGCCAGATGAATGGGCAATTGCTTTGATTTATAATGATTTTCACATGCTCTGCTTTTGATTGTTATACATTTGACAACATATTCTCTAACTTATTTATTTTGTACAATTCTGCGCAATTCATGCCATTTTGCATCTATCAAATAAAAAAGGTTTACAATTCCATGGACAATTCACATTCGGCTCCGGTACGTTGACTAACAAATCCATTCAATTGCAAATTTCTGTGTGCTTCTCCCTGTGCCTTGTCCCCTTGTCCCACGTGCATACCACACGCACACACAAACACTAAACATAATACATTGATTGAGTTTTCTTATTTTCATGAGTTCGCTTACGTTCTCTTATGGGTATTTATCGTTATTGTTTATGCTGGTACTTACTTTTAAATCCCATTCCTACACATACACAAGACGCTAATATTGTTTTGTTGAAATCTGTTCAGTCTGATGGCTACTTGCAGGACGTGGAAGGCGGCAGTGGCGGTGGTGGCCGTGGCAAGGCACGTCTGTCGAGTGGCGCTGACTCGAACCTGGATACGCCAATCGATGGCAATGCAGCGACAACAGCGTGCGGACGACGACGCAACAGCCATGAGAAGGCGATTCTGGCTCGAATTTGGGGCAACTTTGACACCAAGTGAGTAGCAATCGAAATGTGTTAAAGCCAAAGAGTATAAGCTGAAGTATTTTACAGATATATGAAGCCGCTGTTGACGCACTCGCGGCCCACGCTGCTGGAGACGTTGCCCGTCTGTTGTAATCCCATTGCCAGGTTGCTAACCACAACGCAACAGTTGACGCAGGTTAGTGAAGAACTCGTTGCACATAATCCTTGCAAGCAGCGCTTTATTCGAGACATTTACCTTTCAGGATGGCAGCGAGTTTCGACGAGTCGACTCGGACTCGGATATATGCATTGACAACGACACTGGCAATGGGCTTAGCCAGGATGGCCTTGGCGGAGGGCGTCGTAACTCGATAAATCGTGTAAGTATTCGGTACATGGGCGACACTCAGAACCTACTTGCTAGCTACAGAAATCTTGAATGAAGCACCAAAGACTAATACCATGTAGAAAGAGCAACTAACTAAACCAAAAACAAAGTGAAAATCAACTCTATATATATATAAATATATATCTAATAGATATTTTGGCCAAGTAGACGCAATGTTATAAGCGAGATTTACATCAAATCTAATACTAAAAATTACCTAACGTCGTATATATGTATATACATATATATATGTTCACTATATATATGTATATATAAATGTATATATTGTATATGTACTAAAAACGAAATTGTGATTTATGTTCTTAACTCTTTTTAATTTAAAACCTGTTAATTTTTGTACAACAAAACCAAAAAAAAAACTTAAAAGTTATAAAAACGGAATCTTTTATTTTGTATACCATTATTATTGTGTTGTTAATTAAAAAGTATCATTATTATATTATTTATATACGCAAAGCGATTTCTAGTCTTAATGCATATTTTGTTAATATTACATACTGTTTAAACTGCATGGCTAACCAAAAACCAAACAAACAACAAAATATATAAGTACAAAGAAACCAAATGCAAAATGTAACTTTCTCAGCGACAAAATATTAATTTATTTATTTGCTGCGGCATCTTTCTTTCTATATCTTTCCCACAAATCATCTTAACAAATATATAATAAACAACAACAACAACAACAACTCATGCGGACTTTTTAACCATTTCTATATATTCGGTTTAACGGTTACCATCTGCCTCTCCAACTGAAACACTCTCCACACATATTTCTTAACAAACAAATTAAACAACAATAGTCAAATATATTAAATGAAACTAATCACATTGCAAACGAACTCAGCTTGGTTACTAATAATTTTATGTAATCATTTGGAAACAACTATACGAATCAAATTAATCCCTAATCGAATTTAACACAACAAATTAAGCAATTCTACTTATTTATTTAATTAGTTCATTTGGATTATTTGCTTTCAATTTGAATCGTTTCCTTTTGTTTAACTTCCAAAAGACTTGGTAACTATCCGTGATACGTGAACGTATGTTTGTTGTCGGCCTGTCCGATCGCACAAATCTTTTAAACATAATCTGGTTAAGGGTATTCCCCCACAATTAACTTGAGGTTGACTGCTTGGGCATTTGTATTAGTGGCACAAGCACAAAATATTGAAGAGGCTTTTTTGTATTTTGTAATTATTATTTATGTTTATGTATCTCACAATCTTATTTCTTAGAATCTAACATGCGACTAACCATGTAAGTATAAAATTATAAGTTAATTATCATTTATTTAATAAAGTATTTATATTGTTTTGTTTTGCTTTCAAATATGATTTCATCTCGGTTTTTCCCACTTTATAAACTTTCTCTTATAGGTTACAACCGAACATGGGAATGTTCATATCTAAGTTGATTTGTTGCTACATACATACAAACATATTTATGCAATTGGTCTCATTTAAGATGAAAATTTAATGCGTACAAATTAGATTTTTATTTTGAAATTTGTTTTAGTTCTTAAGAGTTTTGTTATTTGGATTCTAGTTAACGATCTATGAGTTACTTTAATCATAATTTTGTTGAAAGTTTGATATTAAAAATATTACTTTTATTTCTATTTCTTCTACAAAAGGATATAAATACATAATTTTAGCTTTAAAGTGTAATCCAATTGAAAACATAAAATTGAAAGAAGAAAAAAATAAAATAAATTGTCAAATGTTTATGAAAGAAAATACTCATAGCTTTATTATATTCCCTCTCTTTTTTTATTTGAAACCGCTGCTACATTTTATTACATCTGATATGAAAAAAAAATCAATGTATACACATTTTAAAATATTTTTAAAAACTTCTTCAAAATCGTACCGAAACAACACACTCAAAACTTTAGATGGAAATCCTGGAGCATGTTCAAAGTCCGGTATCAACGAGAATCAGGCTATTAGGATTTTATGGCAAGAAGTTATAGGAACTATAGAATTATAATCAGTTTTTTTCTTTTCTTTTGACAATAGATTTATATTTCTATTTACATAGAAATTGCTTTCAAAATTGCCGAACAATAATTAGTGTAAATAAATATATTTTAAATTGCTTTAGATATGTAATTGCGTTTTCAAATTATACAAAATCTTGCAATTTATTAATGTATATTTTATTCATGTATTTTAGATATGTAACACGCGTTGTTTGTCCGATAAAAGTGCATAAAACGTTAAGATATTTGGTTTTCATATTTAATATTCTCTGTCTATTAAACTCTTTCTATATATATATACATATATATCTATATGATTTTATTTAAAGCAAGGCTCTTATAGACATTGAAAATATTAATTGTTGTGCTATTAAATTATAAGTTTAAAATCAATAAAAATTGAAGACTACCAAACAAGTGTTTTTATTCGTAAAAAATACACATTGTATATATTTTAAGTTTGGCGCGTTTGAACGCGCTGTGAATAATCGATAATTTCTGAGGTCAAAACTTGCCTTTGCAAATTAACAGCTGACAGTCAATCGATAATTTACTTATCGAAATAAACATTGCATTTAAATTATTGTGGTAATTAAAGATAAATTCATAAATTTATAATATTATTTAATAATTAATTTGTTTATTATTGAAAACTTAAAATTTCAGCGAAATCGCATATACAAATACTTATCAGCCATAAGTGGTTATCAATGCAGCCCTGGTTAGGCGCGTCGCTTTACTTACCTACCGTACTTTTGCATTTTATCAAACTTTTCGTGCTTACCAAAGACAAAGTTGTTATTAATTAAATGATAACATGGAAATAGTCAAACGAACATTTTTACGTGCTTGTATAAATCACAGCTGCCTTGATCATGATCAAATTGATAAGATATTAACACCGCTCTGTGAACAGCATCAAGTGACAAAACCCGCGAACCAAGAGGCTTTACACGAATTCGTTAAGAGCATAGAAAACACAATAAAGGAGCTTAGTCAATCGCTGAAATTTATGATTCATCCAATAACTGGCAAGGAGTATTTGGTGTTTGCCATCACGGATGCAACACCTGATAAACAGAATCATCCTGGTCTGACGACAGAGGAATGTCTCTATTTTTCCAATCTGTTGGAGAAACTTGGCCAGCATGAAGACTGCCACATAGCCTGGAACGAGGCGTATTCTGACTTGGATTTTAAAGGCTCAGCCAAGCCGCCCAAGAAGCTGCGCATGCAGACACTACTTCAATTATGGACCGAAATGGGCTACTTTCTGGAGTCGGGCGACAGACTCTATCTGGGTCCACGCAGCATCGTCGAGTTCGAATTTTATTTGCGCTCCAACTTTGCGGACACGATCAAGGAATGTGCCCTCTGCAAACAGCTGGTGCTTTGGGACATTAAGTGCACAGATTGTGGCACTAAAATCCATAGAATTTGCATACGAAAATATTTGCGTACCCGCTCCAACTGCCCCACCTGTGGCAACAAGTGGTCCACGCGTCTTAGTCAGTAAGAGAATTAGCAAATATTAAGTTTAATTTAGGAATATGCCAAAATAATTTTATTTAAATTTAATAAGCTTTAGTTTTATATTTATATTTAATAATTTCCCCTAGAATAAATAAAAAACTTGTGTAAATAATATTTGTTAAGATAGAAAACAAATAGAGAATTCAATTTAATAATTGTATAATTGTGTTAGAAAAATAAATTACAAACGACTTAATCATTAGCAAATGATCATTGTTATAACTATCACTACGATTATTATTAAAAATTAGAAATATAAAGTACGACTCAACTGCACTGTAGATCCGACCACCAGCAGGTCTGGAAAGCGACTGAACCAGCGCATAATTGGGCTCTCCCACTTTCACTTAAAATCGAGCTCGCTCATTGGCAAATAACTGGACTCAACTGCACTGTAGATCTGAGCACCAGTAGGTATGAAAAACGACTGCAGCGGCGCATAATTGGGCTCTCAGACTCTCACTCAAAATCGAACTCGCTCATTAAGTGGCAAATAACTGGACTCAACTGCACTGTAGGTCTGCAAAGCGACTGAAGCAGTGCAAAATTGGACTCACCGACTCTCACTCAAAATCGAGCTCGCCATACATACATACAAACCTATTTGAATTCTCACTTGCGCACATGCATACATACATACACATCTTAACTGCTAGTTAGTCTAGCTTACATTCGGTTTCTCACAAGGGTATGCAAAGCAATATGAGCTTACATGTAAGCGCCGCTCTTTTATGCCCACTTCAATTAAGACTGAAAGCGAGAGAGAGAGCAAGTTACAGTTAGTTAAGTAAAGCTTTTCAGAAATCGTAGAACCAGAGGAATTGATTAAATATGGCGCGGATAAATATTTAAAGTTAGTTAAATGTTAGTCTTCGTTATGGATGTGTGTGAAAGTTTTAATAAAAATCCTTTGATGGATCCAAACTGGGCGCCGCCATTTATGAAACAGCGTCGCATGGATTGGCGCAATGAAGTTTATCAGGTGCAAAAAAACAAACAAAAAAAAAAACAAAAGTGAAGCTTAACTATAAACAACTTTTCAATTAGAATAAGCGAAATAATAAACAGGAGTTTACTTTCGCTGATCGATTTATACCAAAGCGCTTCAAGCCAGAAGCGATCAATTATAATCTCAAATACGTGGGCAAAACTAAAGAGCAGGATCTCTTGAAAATGGTCAGATATTACCAAGTAATATGTCGTAATATGTCTAAAGTTTCTTTTCTTAAGAGTCTCACACACAAATCAAGCTATTGGCGCCAGAGCAACTTTGTTGCGAACATGAATAAAGCATTCCATATTGAAGAGAATCGTTTGCTGCAGTTCAGCGATGTGCAGTGCAAATACTCCCGGACGGGCAGACAGAAGGTGGACAGCGATTGGTTCTGCAAGCCAAGAGCCCGACCAGTTGCTTTTGCCACAACCACAAATGAAATGCCCGAGCTGTGCACATCATTTGGTAAGACTGATTGGCATCAGTGTCTCTCGTCCAATTCATTATATCATCACCAACGCAGATCTCAACATGATGGATTGGTCAATCAATGATCAGATGGCTCTATCAATTGACGAAAATCTAATCATCTGGCGAAATCGCGATGATACGAGCATGTTCTTTAAGGTCGAACGCACGAGTTCATTGAAATATTCACCAAATGGCAAATATTTAGCCATCGGCTGCAAGGATGACAAAAATCCAGGTAATTATCTCAATAGATCTTTCGATTTGCTGTATTAATAAGCTGTGTACAGAATGGAAAGTGACTCGAAGGAAGTGCCTCATCAGGGAAATTCTAAGTTCAATATAACATATATTAATCTCTAACCTACATAGTTATAAATTCTCACTCATCTGAAAGCTTCTCTTATTAGTTTTAGAGATTTGGCTACTGCAATCGCCAAAGCAATTTTTGATTGCCAATGGCAAATATTTGCCTCGATCTTTCGAGTCGATTTGCTGCATTGAATGGAGTCCGGATGGAGAGGAGATTCTGTGCGGTGCGAAGACCGGACAAATTGTGGTCATACAGTTCTCTACGATGACCATTGAGCGTGTGATGAGGCAGCATACGCAGGGGATTTGCTGCATGCGCTTCTCACCGATGAGACGCTACTTGGCCACAGCCGATATCCAGGGTCAAATCTATATATTCGATGGCATGACATACAAGGTGATAATGCGTCTGGGCGCGAAGCAGGGCGGCATTGTCTTCGACTGGCATCCATGGCAGGCCGTCGAACTGGCCATTTGTGAGCTGCAAAACATGCTGAAATTTAAATTATATATGTTAAATTCAAATCTTTACAGCTGAAAAGAAACTTTCATCCATTTATATATTCAATGTGCCGCGACGTGAAATTGTTTCGTTTTACCAGCGTGGCGACGATAAGATCTTAATCAATTCAATTACGTTTAGCAAGATCACGGGCGAGTTGCTGGTCAATATCTATAAATGCGGTTAGTTTGGATCAACGTGAATGAGGGTTGTCTTATAGCTCAATATAATCTTTCGCTAGATGAAAACGGTTGTCCGTGCTGCGAGATCTTTGTGCTGTCCTCGCTGAATCGAGTCGTGGATATATTGACCCATCAGAGCAGAGGCGTGGTCTTCATGATGTGGAGCCCTGACGGCACCAAGCTCGCCGCTGCTGGCATGGATGAATCCTTTTCGATATGGGAGTTCTATCCCAGCGGTAAATTGGATTCATTGAACAAGAAGCAAACGCGCAAGTTACAAAAGCGCAGCGTTCTGGAACTTTATGGGCCGATAAGATAAGTGTTTATATGTTTTTAAATGTCGAATGTTGAATTGGTTTATATTTTATTTCAAAATTTTAAACATACGTGTATACTTATTCTATATTTTTCATTTATGTTTTATTTCAATTCATTTCATAAATCATCCAATAAAATTCCATCTGGTTATTTAAATTATTTTTTCTCTTTTTTAACAATCATCTTTGATCCCTAAGAGTTGCTAGTAAAAGTATGACTTGACTGTTGAAGATATATAAAAAACTCTCCATACAATTTGGGTACCGTTTTAAATCTATTTTCTATTATAAATGTATGCAATGTATGTTTAATAGAAAATTGATAGGAAATTCTGAAACAGAAAGCCATCGTACTACTCGGTCTCTCTATAAACGCTTCTGGGACTCCTGTTTAAATATATACTCCGCACAGGCTTCGGCTTCCAAGCGCTGCTTCTTACTCTGATACGGTTTAATAAAAAAACGGTGAGTGCTATAAACGACAACCGTCGAACCGATAGCGATCGCCATCATTCCAACAGTCGTTGATGCAAATTGTTTAATGAAGCTCATCTGAAAATGTTGAAAGAATAGAAATATATTAGTAGTCATATAATACTCAATTAGAATCCTTGTTTGCCCCACTTTGTTGAGTTTGTTGTTATAGTTGCAGCTGTAGTCGATGTTGTTGCTGTTGGTGCTTCGCTATTTTCTGGTTGATTTTCGTTTTTATATTTCAATATAAGAGGCTTCCAAATATAAACACCGCCCAGAAAACCAATTGCGGTTACAAGCATTAACTGTGGTACTGTTACACCCCGAGGACGACGTATTTGCATTGCACAATTAATTAGTACAATTAATAAAATATAACCACTCAAATTTTTCTATTCGCCGGCGACTGTTACATCAACGCAAGTGTGCTCGTAAACAGCTGATTCAGCTCATTTAGCAACACTGGTCCTTTGGCGTTACCAGATGTTAGTGCGTGTCGTACCAAACAGCTTTTGTCTAAGCTAAGTGTGCGTAAAGAACTTAAAAACATTAGCATTACACACGCACTCAAGTCGTGTGCAGTTAGATGGTCGTATGCTAAAATCTTTGCTTACTAATTCTTTGTATTGGGGTTTTCTTATTTAAAGTTATTGACGCAATTGGAAATTATTCGGACTTCCTTTTGAACTGCACGAATCTTATCTCTACGTTTATCGAAGCATTCTTGTGCATATTTACATATCAATCAACAGTTAAAACAAATGACAAGAAAGATAGGGAATGAAAGAGAGCGCAGTCAAGATAATGACGTGATTGGGACTCCCTTTAAAGCAATAGAGCGAAAAAGCAGAAGCCGCGCAGCAGCAGCAGCAGTAAAAACAACAACAGCAACAGCAATGTTAAACAGTAAGCTGGTTTTTAAAATGGCCTGCGCGCTGCGAGCTTTGAGTCACTCTCAGTTGGAACTGTGCGCCAAACGGTTCTCCATCATTTTGCTGCTGAGCGCCAAGACGCGCTTTAAGCTCAATTCTATTGCTGTTGCTGCTGCGAAAAGGAGTGAAAACAAGCGTATACACACACAAAATCAAAGATAAAATGTACACAAACAAATTGAAAAGTTCAAATACTTGGCTGCCATTGCTAATGCTGTTAATTGGCGCGTCAACGCATCATGTCAATGGCAACTCCATACCCACTGTGACAACGCCGACGGGTGTATTCGAGACGCGCACCGACAAGGTGCCAAGTGAAACGGCTGCAGTATTGCCGCTGCCCGCAGCATCCTACGATGACATCGATACATTCGTGCCCTTTCGCAGTGACTCGCATGACAATTTCTCATGGCAACTGCTAAAGGCGGTGCTGCTGAATGATACGGAGCAACAGAATAATGTCATCATATCACCGTTTTCCATTAAATTGGTGCTGGCGATGCTGTCGGAGGCCTCCGGCACGAACACAAAGACACAGCAAGAGTTGATAAGCACTCAGCCCGACATCAGATCGGCGAACAATGTGCGCGAGTTCTATCGCAAGACCCTCAACTCATTCAAAAAGGAAAATCAACTGCACAACACATTGAATGTGCGCACTAAGCTGTTCACTGACAGCTTCATCGAGACACAGCAAAAGTTCACAGCCACCTTGAAGCATTTCTATGATGGCGATATCGAAGCTCTGGACTTTAGCAATGCTCCGGCAGCTGCCTATGCTATCAACGAGTGGGCCAACAATGTCACAGATGGAAGACTGCGCAATCTGGTCACGCCGGAGACGCTTCAGGAATGCGTAATGCTGTTAACGAATGTGATATATTTCAAGGGTTTATGGCGTCGTCAATTCTACAATACATACGATGGCGCCTTTTTCCACAACCAAAACGAGCAGACGCGAGTTCAGTACATGGAGCAAACGGAATATTTCTATCATCACAATTCGGACAAAATGAAGGCACAGATATTGCGCCTGCCGTACAAGGGAAAGAATTCAATGTTTGTGCTGCTGCCACATGCCATGGACGGCATCAATGAGCTGCTGTATGCTCTGGAAAATGATGAGGTCAAGAGCGCCCAATGGGCCATGGAGGAGGTCAAGGTCAAGGTGACGCTACCGAAATTCCATTTCGACTACAAGCGCAGCTTCAAGGACACCCTCCAACAGCTGGGCGTACGTGAGATCTTCGAGACGACCGCCTCGCTGCCAGGCCTAACGCGCGGCGCCGATGTCTCCGGCAAGGTGAGAGTTTCGGATATACTGCAAAAGGCTGGCATCGATGTCAACGAACAGGGCACAGAAGCCTATGCCGCCACTGTCGTTGAGATCGAAAACAAATTCGGTGGCTCCCAGACCATTGTCGAGTTCAATGTGAATCGCCCCTTTGTATTCTTCATCGAGGAGGAGGCCACAGGAAACATTCTGTTCGCCGGCAAAGTCCATCAACCCTACTAAGAAGCTAAGACAATAGAACGACTAAATCGTCGCGCTTGATATGCTTATTTGATTACAGAGTAACATCACTAATAAACAAAAACTATAGTATATATACCAAATTATGTATACTTTTTTATAAACTGTTATATCTACACAAAGCGCCCTATTATATGGGCTAGATTAACTCCCTTGTGGAAGAATGTGTTCTATTATTATATAAAAAAAATCTTATATAAACCAATATTTTCATTATGATCAAAATGGGGACTACCAATGTGTGGAGGGAGTAAAGCATTAATTAAGTGTATTCGATCTATCGACAAAGCTTTTCATTTTATACCTATTTACTCATTGTCTCATTTAGACAACTAATTTTCTATAACATGGAAATTCCACACCTAGCTAGGCCGCACACTCAACGATTCCATTTCAAAGACTTTAGACCGCAGATCCATTCATATATGTAAATAAGTAGCATGAAAACCCACTTAAGCCACACATGACTCACGAGTGTGGGATGTAATTAGCACCATATAACAATTAGACGAGTCAATGCACGATCCCTAACTAAAATATTTCAGAGTAACAAATATCTTAAAGTGCTCGTATTCATGATGTATTTCCAGTTTTTGAGAAAGCTAATTATAAGTAAACTACGTAAGCAGTTCCCCTTAATCATGGAATATTCAACCTTTACTAACATACGTCATAAACATTTGATATTTGGTTTTCAGAGAGAGTGAGTGACCCTTAAGGGAAATTGAGTAAAACTATATATCTCGCATATTTCCTACTAGGGGGGAAGTCCTATACAGACGCGCTTGATTTCAACTTATCCAATTCTCATCATATTCGTGCCGTAAACAAGTTACCAGCAACACTTGTATATTTATGTTAATCTATCGAGAATAAATATTATTTTGTTGTATTAACAGGTCTTCTCATTCTATTTTACGATGAGAGATAATGAAATCTGCTCAAATATGTAGAATACATACATGACATATATATTATATATAAACATGAGGTTGCATAAAACAAAAACTGGTTTTGCGCGGAGCAATACCGATTTGTTAGTGAAACAAAAGGGATCTCTGTTTACATAATAATATACCTAACCTATTGTACCTAACTTTCGATTGTGTTTCCAAACAGAGGTTTATTTATATTCAACATAAGAAGTTGATAAACGAGAATGTTTCTTTGTTTTTATATTCAAGTAAAATTAGCTGAACTCGCTTCAAAACATAACTTGATAATTGGAGAATAAAAATACTTCCATGAGACTAAAATTGGTTCATTAATGAAGAATTCATTGCATTATATTTTGGATAAGGTCAAAGAAAACAAACACTCAGCCTTTATCTTGAAATATCAGACTCAGCCCTTTGTTTCTTAATGTTCATTGACTCACATCAAATATGAAAACTTGAAAGCATTGCAAATATAAATAAACTGCATTTACTTTATTTGTATATATCCCAAGTATATATATACGATTTATAAAAGCCGCCGCCCTCGTGTTTTCACTAAAATATTTTTTTTAACAGTTAAATATTTTAATGACAAACGTGTTTAACATTTACGTAAAATCCAAAAAATTCATTGAAAAAACAATCGTATCTAACATTTTTCGATCTGCCACAGACGTACAGCATAAATACCGAAGATAAGTCGACGAGGGTTTTTATGCCTTCAAGAATAATTACATAAGCTGCTTATTCAGTTATTTCTTTGGAAATTTGAAGATGAATTCCTCTGGAAGCTACATAGAATCTGTATTGAATCTGTTCAATGAGACTCATCCGCACGAGGATACTATAATATATCAAAGATACAGAATTAGCATGACTTTACAACCGTATAACTAGCTAAAAAAAACCCATATTGTTTGCGGTTGGATTCAATTTAGCTAAATAGATGTAATATGTATATAGAGATATATGGATGGAGGTATAAATTGATTTATAGATTGATATTGTACTTACCTCCGCCGCTGCCAGTTGACAACATTGCCACAGGCGGCTGTGATTGATTTTGAGGTTTATTAAAATTGGTGTTTAAGTTAATATTGATGTTATTGTTGCTGTTGTTCTGCTTATTTTGTTGATTGAGAATTTGCTGGTGTGCATATTGTTGCTGCTGTTGCTGCTGATAAAGATACTGTCCAACCGGTTGGGGCATTTCCCCAATTTGGAAATTTGCGCCTTCTGCGAAACGCACATTTGCGTCAGAACGTCGTGAATTAATGGACAATTGCTGTTGCTGCTGCTGGGATGGCATCATGCTCCCGTTTATTGCTGCTGGTAGGTTTTTACCGGCAATGAGCGCGTTCAGCAGCGCATTTGATGATGAATCCTGGCGTCCAACTCTCGGTCCAAGCATTGACGGTAATTGAGCTCGTGATTGCTGCTGCAGTTGCTGATGTTGCTGCAACTGCTGCTGTTTGCTTGTTGCCGTCGCATTCATGTTGAGTAACTTAGAGGTTTGCTCCTCCATTTTACGCTTCATGACCGCATTGCGCATAATGGTGTTGGCATGCGCCTGCAGATCCTCTTGCGATAGTTGCTGTGGCTGCACTTGTGGTTGCGGCATCTGCAACTGTTGCTGCTGTCGTGCTGCAAGCGTCTGCTGCACAATAGCCAAATTGTGTAGATTCTGCAATTGACTGGCAATCACTGTACTCGAAAGCATCTCCAGTTGTTGCTGATGCTGTTGTTGCTGCTGCTGTGTATTTGTGAACTGCAGCACAGCCGTTATGGCCTCGCGATCCATAGTGGTTAAACGGGGATTGGCCAACTGCACCAGCAAGCCATGCTTTGAAATTTCACCTACAAGACAATAACATTATTATAAGTAAATATAAATTATACTAAATCTCACCTTTGGTCAGACGTAAGAGCAAAAGCTGCGTATCCGCACGTCCTAGTATGGCCTTAAGCTGAAGGCTTGCCAGGAAGGCTGTCTGCTGCTGCTGCTGTTGAATGAGAACGTGTTGTTTCTGCTGTTGCTGCTGATATTGCTGCTGCTGCAAAATAAAGTTTGATATGGCATCGTCTCCTACTGGGATCTGTTGTGATTGCATCTGAGGCGGCACTATTTGCGGTTTAGCACCCTGCAGAGCGCCAATCAACTTTTGGAAATTATCCGACTGTTTAATATTATTGTTATTGTTGTCGTTGCTAGTATGTACTGATGCTGCAGCGACTGCTGCTGCTGCCGCTGCCGTTGCTGCCGAAACATCGTTCATATGACCGAGCGAATTGCGACGCCATTTGGCTTCGAGTTGATCTACTGATGGCATTTGATTAATATAACCTAAGCTCTTCGGTTGTTCCAAGTTCTGATTGCTAACGGTGTGATTGTTATTGTTATTGCTCATGTTGCTGCTACTGTTGCTGTGACACATGGCCTGCTTGAAGAATTCATTCAATGATGAAGAAGAGCCATTCTTATCCTGACGGTCGCGAGCAAAAAAGGACATAAATTTCGAATTGTTATTGCTACTAGACGCCTGCTGCTGTTGTTGATTGTATTGTTGGTGTTGTGGATTATGTTGATGTTGATTGTGATTTTGATGTGGATGTTGGTGGTGTTGTTGTTGCTGATAGTTGGCGTCGGTGCGTGCATAGCTATTGTTATCAAAGCTTTTGTAGTTGTGCTTGACCCTATCGAACGGAGCTGAACGACTGATATAACGTTTCTCATCCTTCTGCGGATGACCCTGATGCTGTTGCTGATACTGATGCGTGTGATGCTCAGTTGTAGGCATCTTGTTCATATTCTCCAATGAGCTATTGTTATTACTATCACTCTTTGGCATCAACTTGCCGCCGATGCTACTGCTGCTATTATTGCGACCAATTGTGTCAGGATGCTGCCATTTGTATTTGCTTGGTTCGACCTGCAAAGGAAACGTCTCATATATATAGATATATAATCCTATTACATTCATATTACTTACCTTGTGCTTCTGCACGACGGTCTCCCTATTTGAATCAAGTGTAGCACATTTTCCACCTTCTTTTATCATTTTTTCTTCATCCTCATCGAAGCCACACAACTCAATAGTATCCAGTCTAGATGTGGGTCCACAGCTAAACCACTCTGGTTCCTCATTTTGATTTCTATAGCGACGATAGTGGCGCTCTTCTGATTCACGAGACTTAGACTTGGAGACGACCAAAAATCCAGACATGACGCGCTTAACATAATTCTCATTAGCTCGATTCAGATCCTCGATAGATTCATTCGACTTCAGGCTTTCATTTTCCGAACGACTATTGTTCGACATGCCCATTATCGGGGTACTCGGACGGCCATTCGGCTGCAGTGTAGTATTCAAATGCGTACTGCTAATCTCACCATTATCGAAGAACTTAAGAACAGTCATATTGCTCGAATTGTTCTGATGCTTCATATCACCCACGTGGGACGATTTACCCATGGAATTTGGCTGGTGATTGTTATTATAAGAGTGAATGGGCTTATAGTCGTTATTGTTGTTGAAAGACCATCTTGTATGAGATAGACGACCGCTGCCAATACGTCTCTGATTAACAATCGCTGGATCCTGTCCAAACATTTTATAATTAATTATATTATTTTATTTTTATCTCAATTATACATCACGTATATAAATAAAACTTTGAACCAACCGACATTAACGAAAATATTTACAATTAATAATTATTCAAGATAAGCCATAGAAAATATTTGAATATTAAAATACAATTAAAATGTTTGTTATGCAAATATGTATATAAAACCTATTAAGTAGACAAACTCATACGTAAATAAACACTTCTAATCTCTATCATAATCTTTTCAATTACTACAGTCTGCTAAACAAAAGAGAAAATTTTTTAGCAATTAAAAAAGATTTTTGGTCAGATAATATTTTATATATAATTACTATATTTATATATTACAAACTACTGCTTAAAAATTTGTAAAAGCAATATGTATCCGCATTAGCGATGCTTTACTGTACCAACAAATCACAGCAAAACGACGACAAAAACAAATTGTTGTGTACTGCAACTGTGTAACTGTTTATTAACATTCACTGTTTATCGAGGAGATTGCACATCGCTAGCAGCTGGCGCTAGCTATGAAACTCTCGCATAGTCAACATACACACATTTATATTTACAGCCCCAGCTGTGTGTGAGAGAGAGATTGCAAGCGTGAGCTGATAAACCGCACAGCAAACTTGCGAATGTGCGTGCTAAGCGAAGCGAGCGCAAAAACAAAAGGGAGAGTAGGTAAAATGAAAATTGTACTAGGCGAAAAACACATACATATGTGCTTCGGTACATACATACATATGCATAAAGCGCTAGTCAGAGATGAACAAAAACAAAACTAAAACGGTGCCAGCGCCAGTTGGCATTGTGCTGTCCCGTGGACTCCATTCGCCGAGCGGGCGACAGATTACGGTAAACCTCAGCCATTACAAATATACAACAGCGGTAACCCCTACGCAGTAGGTGAATGCAGTGATAGCAGCAAAGTTTTTTGGAATCAGTGACAAAATGCAGTTTGTGGCTACCGGTAAGAGCGACGCGGCGCGCTGCCAATGTGATTGCATTTTAAAATGCAGTAAACATACTTGAATATATAATGACATAAATATTTCTATTTATGTACTTTTTATTTATTTAGAACACCAACACCGACGCCTCAATCCATTGAATGGACAGTGGGTGCTTGTGAGTCCGCATCGCATGCAGAGACCCTGGTCGGGCCAAGAGGAAAAGCCCCAGCTCAACGAACAACCGGAATTTGATCCCAATAATCCTCTCTGCCCGGGCGTCAAGCGACCCAATGGCATCGTAACGGAACGTTATGAAAGCACCTATGTTTTTGATAATGACTTTCCTGCACTGTTGGAGCAGGTGCCGTCGCCGCCCGCAAGCGATGATCCGCTATTTCAAGCAGCGCCAGCGCGTGGCAATTGTCGCGTTATGTGCTTCCACCCAAAGTCGAATTTAACCTTGCCAACCATGAGTCCAAAGGAAATCGGCGCAGTTATTAATGAGTGAGTAAAAACACAAAATTTCACATACCTTTCGTATCGCACTAAATTCTATTATAAATTATATAGATGGATTAAACAATTCAATGAACTGAGTGGCAAGTATGCCTGGGTGCAGATATTCGAGAACAAAGGCTCCACCATGGGCTGTTCGAATCCCCATCCTCATTGCCAAATCTGGTCCTGCTCTTTCCTACCCACAGAGCCACAGCAAAAGCAGGAACGACTACGCGCTTATTATGCAACCCACGATCGACCTATGCTGGGCGACTATGTGGAGCGTGAGTTGCAGCGCAGGGAACGCATTGTCATTGAGAATCCCGATTGGCTGGTCGTGGTCCCCTATTGGGCTACCTGGCCGTTCGAAACGATGCTCATATCCCGCAACAACAACAAACGCATTAATGATCTAACTGATGATCAGCGTCACAATTTGGCGCTGACCATCAAGCAGCTGACTACCAAATATGATAATCTCTTTAAGTGTTCATTTCCCTATTCTATGGGCTGGCATGGTGCGCCCACTGGCCCAGAGCATGCGCACGCTTCCAGCGCCCATTGGACACTCCATGCCATCTACTATCCGCCCCTGCTCCGCTCGGCAACAGTGCGCAAATTTATGGTCGGATTTGAGCTGCTGGCGATGTCTCAGCGCGACTTGACGCCAGAGCAGGCGGCACAGCGACTACGCGAATCCGACGGCACAAAACATTATCTGAACAAATGATTTCAAGTTTTCCAGCTAAACTAAATAATAAATGTACAATTGTAATTGTGCACAAAAACTATAACTAAAACTGAAACTCATTAGTCGAGTATTGAGAACAATCAACTAATTCCTATAATCAGTAAATAGGAAAATTGTCAGCGAGCTTTAGATTACGTTTCCCGCTTATTTACATAACATTTCAGTTGACTATATGCTATATGGCAAATTATACTTTACTCTGCTGTTAAATAAATATTTTAGCCGTACCACTCCTAGGCGACAAGGCAAAAATATGATACATAATATCAATAACTTCCTATATATCCTATATACCTACAATTTCCGATTGACATACACGACAAGTCTTATCAAACATGCAATCAGATTAAAGAGCACAAGATTAGCTTGTCTACATACTATATTAAAATGCATGATAATATATATATATATATTAATTATAATTATATACTAATATTCATAAAAAGAGTGCAAACCTTACCTGAAATTCTTGCTGCGGTTGCGGTGGTTGGCTCTGTATGATAGACTCATCGGTAATCAACTGATGCTTATTCCTATTCTTATAGAAGGCGGGCATGCACTCATTGTTGCCAGTGGAATTGTGTAGATGAACACGTGGCTTAAAGCTGCTGGTGCCGCGCACAGCAGATGCTCCGTCGGCATTGCGCCACAGATTCATGCGACGCAGTCGCCCCTCTAATTCGATGTCATCGCAAGTGGCAATGCGCGGCATACTAAAGGTCAGTGATTCTTTGGAACGATGTATCAGTGCGTGGATCATAGCATTACGTATTTCCAGAAGATGCTGACGGCTATAATGATGCATTGATCCATCCAAATTGCTGACAGGTAATATTCCCACCGATTGGGTATTGCGTAACTTGGGAAGACGCTGAGCACTCAGACCATTGACAGTCGAAGTGCTGCGTAGCTTTTGGCTGGTAGAATGTTGATGCTGTTGTTGCTGCTGTTCCGCCATCTCAGGCAACTGCTTAATGCCAATCATTGTCTTGGCCTGATTTGTCGGTGGACTCAAATGCAAATCGCATAACAGACTGGTTGGTTGCGTATAAGGCGTTGAAGCTCGTGCCGATAACACCTGCATGGTCATCAAGCCCTGGGTGGCCTCATCATCATGAGCTGTTGCTGGCGGCAAGGGTATGGCATCCTTAGAGATGACGGAATTCTTAGTTTGTAGCTGTTTGGCCATCAATTTGCCAACTTTTAGCTTTCTTTCCAGTTTGCGGATGACAGCCGGCTTATTGCATTTCGGATGCACAATTACGGCTGTGATCGGATTAATCGGACGTTTAACTGCACACGTAGGAGACATTTGCATAGCATCCGATCCTAATCCAGCCAGAGCCCGTCTTATTGACTGTTCGGCAATACAGTTGACAACAGCCACAAAATTAGCAAAAAAAAAAAAAAAAGAAAAATTAAATATTTATTCCAGCACAAATTAGCAATACTAGCGAAATTTTCTACAAGAATATATTAGCCAAATTTCAGACACGTTAATTTAAATGTCATTTCCAAAACAAAAATTTCAAATGTCAAACGGTTGTTGTACAGTTTGTGGTCAGTTTGCTGATTCTGCAGCTCTTTCAAAAAACATTAACTATATATTGAATATTTTATACTATTGAGAGGTTAACAAAATAAAAATGAATAAATACACTAAATAAATTTGGAAAACTTTTGTAAGAATCTGAGCATATATAAAACAGGGCTCCTATTGTTGTTCTAGCAAATGTAAGAAATGGAATGTGGTTGAGATTTTAAAAAAAAAATGAAGTAATTGGAACAGCTACAGAGTTATAGATACAATAATCAAAATAGAATAAATATATATATATATATAAACATATATATACAACTAAAAGCTAACTTGATCAAAGTGAAATTATGAAGGAGAAAAATATATTCAATAAATAAAAAATTTATTCCTTCATTTTTGCGATTTTGCTTATAAAACTAGGTTTTACACCTGAGAAAAGAAATGTTGACAAAAAAAACCCAAAATTAATAAAAAAAAAAATAATAAAAAGAATATAAAGAAATATAAATAATTAAATAAAATAATTATTAAAAAAATATATGTGCAAAGGCTCTTCTGTTCACATGACCAATAAGAATTTTCATTTTTCTTTTCATAGAGCTTTTAAAATTTCAAATATTTTGTGAAGTATAAATCAACATTTTACGCGGCAATCTCAATATATGAAATTCCAATTGTTCATAAAATGTTTTCTTTTTCTTATTTGAAATGCACAACACAAAAGCGACAAATTTATCGAATGGACCCTGTAACACGTAATGCACGTAACTGTAAATTAAAGCACTTTTCTATTGAACTCACATTGAAATTCTCTTGTTGCTGTTGCTGCTGCTGCTGCTGATGCTCCCGCCTATTACTCTCCATTTTCATAATGGCCTCCTCCAAGGCATCTTTTAACTTGACGGCCGTCAATTTCACATAACCCTGACAAATGACCCTTGAATTTGTTGGCAATGGTGGAGGTGGGGGTGGCGCACAAGGATCTTCCCATTTCTCCGAATTTGCCTCATCATCTTCGGTATCCGGCGAAGCTACAGATGCTTCTGCTGTTGCAGCTGCCACCGACGTTGATCGCTGGGGTGCTTGAACAGGAGTGGGGGGTGGCGGCGGTGGGGGCATTGCGAATTTGGCCTTTTCAACAGGTGTAAGCACTTGTTGGACATCAGATTCGTCGATATCTTCTCGACCAGCAGTATCGTTATCCATCATAAGGAAATATTTTCGCTTACATTTGCGTTGCTCCTTCGGTGATTGCTTTGATTCTAAAGCGCCAGCGCCATTTTCTTCTCTGATCACTTCAGTCTCGAGTATTTGCTTTGAACTAGTCGACATTTTCTGTTTGATTGCGATTAATAATTTGCAAATCTTTGTTTTTTTGTGTTCTGAGCTAAAATTTATACTTACAATAATTTATAAAAATAATTTTTTGGGTATAATCCAAGCACTTTAAAATCTTAATGCAAAGTGTAACTTTAAATATTGCAAAACGGAATCACGTTTATGGCGAGTTCGTAGATGCCGTTATTTTGTCTTTTCAATCGTGCACCGGCTCATGAATGCATGTGTGTGCTATGTTTGTGTGGGTGATTTGAACTCAAGTGCTGAACCAAAGAGAAACCATGTAATAAAGTTCATGACTTGCCAGTGTTTTATATCGGACTATCGATAACACATTAATCATGTAATTAAACATCCCTTAAATTGGTGGACAACATTCAATTTGTGTAAGGTTAATAGCCATAATTAAAAAATAATAGGCAACCAAAAAAATCATAAGAAATTTAATTTAATTAGGTAATGAATTTGAAAATATATTCCAAAAGCTATAAATGAGTTTATAGACATTTATTTGAAGTGATACTGAAGATACTGAAAAGTAACAATCACTGTGATATCAATAAGCTGCACATCTCTAGCATAATGCCATCATTAGTAGCTGAGTAGCTACGCTACAAGAAAAAATATTTTTTGTCTATAAGTATTAATTGCTATAAATCGATTGAGCAAAAACTGACAATTACGGTAATTGCGACTAGGCTTATTTAACTTACTAGTAATAAACTAACTACGCCTACTGAATGGATCAAAAAGTAAGTAAATCGATTAAATCTGTTACTGTCGTAAACAAGCGTAACATAACCTCAATTTTCTATGTCTAGCACTAAATTTGACGGAACGACGGAGACAAAGGTAATAATATATTAACAAAATGACCCAATATCTGCCGCCAAATCTTTTGGCGTTATTCGCCTCCCGAGATCCAATACCGTTTATGCCCCCGGTGGATAAGTTGCCGCATGAAAAAAAATCACGAGGGTATCTGGGCGTAGCCAAATTCATGAGCGACTTCGAAGACCCAAAGGACACACCACCTCCCAAAACAGTGGAAACGCGTCAGGAACGACTCGAGAGAAGGCGTCGTGAAAAGGCTGAACAAGTCGCATATAAGCTAGAACGTGAAATTGCACTATGGGATCCAACCGAGATTAAAAACGCTACAGAGGATCCATTCCGAACACTCTTCATAGCGCGTATCAACTACGACACCTCCGAGTCAAAACTCAGGCGCGAGTTTGAATTCTACGGTCCCATCAAAAAGATCGTGCTCATTCATGATCAGGACTCAGGTAAAGTGTTCTGATGTTTGTTCGTATGATTAGGCTTAATTCCTTGAGTTAAATTAAGTAAAATATCATATACTATCATATCATACTAATGCATGGCTTACATTACAGGTAAACCGAAGGGCTATGCCTTTATTGAGTACGAGCACGAGCGAGACATGCACGCAGCGTACAAGCACGCGGATGGTAAGAAGATAGACAGCAAGCGTGTCCTTGTGGATGTTGAACGTGCTCGCACAGTTAAGGGATGGCTGCCACGTCGACTGGGCGGCGGCTTGGGCGGCACACGACGAGGTGGCAATGATGTAAATATCAAGCACTCCGGCCGCGAGGACAATGAGCGTGAGCGTGAACGCTATCGCTTGGAGCGTGAGCGTGAGGATCGCGAGGGTGGTGTTCGTGGCGGCGCCAACAATGGTCTCGATGGACGTGGCGGGCGTGCCCCCTACGGCGGGGTTGTGGGCGGAGAGAGGCGTCGCTCGCGCTCCCGAGATCGCAGAGAGCGCGAACGGGAACGCGGGGCACGTGTTGGTCGCTCACGCAGCCGTTCGCGCGAACGCCGAAAACGTCGTGCCAGCAGCAGGGATCGTGACTATGACGATTTCGATGGACGACGGGACAGGCGAGACAGAGAACGCGATCGCGATCGTGAGCGTGAAAAGAAAAAGAAGCGTTCCAAATCACGAGAACGCGAATCATCGCGTGAGAGGCGCGATCGCAAGCGTGAGCGACGAGATCGGGATCGCGGAGGCTCTGATCGCAGCGGTGGCGGCGATCGTGATGTCAAGGAACGCAAACCAGATTTCCGTGAAATGGATATGATAAAGATTAAGGAGGAGCCCATCGATGACGGTTATCCAACATATTCGATGAATGACTATCAAAACACGTCCATCAAACGTGAACTAGACGATGAGAATGAGGAGAAGTATCGGCCGCCCGCTACACATCACAATATGTTTAGTGTGCCTCCACCACCGATACTTCCTCGCAGTAACAATCCAGATAATGGTGGTCAAAATGCCAGCGATCCGACTTGGTGGCGGCAGTAAGAGTCCTGTCCATCGATACTACAGCAATAACAATTGGTAATCGAACACGATAACAATTTTCAGAGTTTTTTCTTGTAATCAACCTGCGCTGGTAAAACACTACTATTATAACTGTAACCAACCCATCATTTGGCACAATCGATAGTCTCGATTGTTTTTACTTATTTATTCAATTGAAATTTGAAATTTGAAATTCATAGCGAACAGCCAATGGGACGATACAGTTCGGAATCATCGAAGCGTAAGACATACTGTAAGTCCGTTTTAAGCTGGAAGCACTTTCGATTGCTATTTTTAAATTTATCTTGAAAGCAAAACAAAAAACAAAAAAAAAAACAAGTATAAAATAACTAAAGAAAAAAAAGAACAAATCAACAGAAATATTTGTGCATAGCTTAAATACGTTTAAATATGTAAGTAAATCTTAACAATTGAAAATGAAGAGTAAGTAAAAATAAATGAGATCAACATGTGTTTGTTTCCCCACCTTTGGTAAGGGGGTATAAGGGAATGCTTTGGTATATGGTATATGGTATATATATATATATATGACTATCCGGATTCCGAGCGAGTACTGATTGGTTTGTTTTGGTCAAAACATGTTTAAAATTAATCACAAACAAAACACAATTCTATTATAATTCTGTGCGCTAACTCGTGCCATTTTGTTTTCTTTATTTTTTGCAGTTTTCAATATTGAAAATCTGAAAATCTGTATATTGAATATATACGTCCAGAGTGTGAAAACAAATCATAAGTATTTTAACAAACAAAATCAAAACTTAGTTCCGAAAGCCATAATTCCCCCAAAATAAAAATAAAGTACTCAATGCCTTGACCCATTAGAAACTTATCAAAATCAGGTAATTCTTCTCTACACAAATCTCACTAATCCTTGCGTTTACCGTTTTAGGCCAACACTAGAAACGTGATGGCTCCGCTTATTCAATTGGTGTACCATAGCTCAATCCAAACCTGGGTCTGTGAGTAAGTTTAAATCGGTTCAATTTCTTTCGAAATATCTGACGATTGTAAGTTGTTGAGTAAGCTGGTTTGTTGGTAAGATTTCTGTCCAAAATTTGGTCAAAATGAAAAAGAAACCAAAGAATATATATGTGAAGTATATATTCTTTGATCTTAATCGGGGTGAGGTATGCCCCATAGAAATGGTTATATATCAAGTTGATATCGTAGTAATCATGTTTCGATCTCGATCTTTTCAAGTACGTTTGGTTTGGTGATTGTTTGTGTGGATCCTGTACTTGAACTCAGCACGGAATAAACATTATTCTAAAAAACAGCGATCAGGTTTGTTATTGGTCGTTTTCATTTGGCGGCTATAACTGGTAAATGTCTCTGTATTGGGTATACTCCTGTCTTTCAATTGCTGTTGAACATCTACTCACTCAGATCCAAGTAAGAAGGGCGATACATTTTTGAAAGAAAAAGGAAAAACTATGCAACAAAAAGATGTATAATCTAAGGGAATATTCTTAATATTTTTAAATTCAGATAGTTCTAACATTAGCTTTGAGCTCTGAATTCAATTTTCTAAATATAGTTTCTACAGCAGCGTAAAGTAAAGCAAATGTGGGACTTTTTTAAATTTGCATTTGTATTTTTGTTGCTCGAAAGCTAAAACGTTATTGATGTGCTAATAATGAATACTTAAAAAACGGAATAAAGTATTTTATACAAGCAAATAAAATTGTTATCCATTTTTTTTATTTTTTAAATATTAATACAATCGGCAAATTGTGAGTATATAATTTATCTATCAGGAAATGCTATTATCAAACGCCTTTTATATAAAATTTTTAAATTTGTTGGTGTATGTCGCGGGCACATTTGTGCTTAACGTGCTGATTTAAGCAGAGCGCCGATAAATAGATTTGCTATCGATGACGAGTCGGACTGTTCGATACCTCAACGAAATAAAGCAACTCTGATATTTAAAAAACCACTTTATTGTAAATAGTTTTATGTTATGTTTTAATATCCTATTACATATCCACAAAAATGATTTTTAATGGATATATATTTATACCTTAATCGATTATTTAAATTTTCAAGCAATTTTCATTAATAATAATACATCTATATAACCACAGCTAAATTTTCTTAAGTAGGGCGTATAAAACTAAAAAATTTATAAATCATTTTAATTTTAAAATTATGTACTTTCAATTTTGTAGCTAAAACTTTAACATTTACTTTTCTTATAATTTAATTTTAAAATACTTGTGTCATTTATATGCAACGCTGTCTGTCGGCGTCGTTGGTCATTTTTAGTACATTATTTTGCTGGTAATTTTTTGCCGTGTGCGAATAGGGAGACACTCAAAATACAACCATTTTTTGGCGTGTGTGTAGCTAGCGCAAGCCGCTTGGTAATCTAAAACAGAAGGAAGCGAGTGGTGAAACGTATCAAAAAAGTAAGAAAAATGACATTTCAAATGCAGTTTTGCAGTGAAAAACAGCAAATATATAATTAAGAGTGAATATTCATTAATTTCTGCGTATTCTCTACATTCAATGTACAGCACGCACGCCCGGCATTATTGCATTTTACTTTTGTGAATATCGTGAAGCGCGTACATAGCGAAAAAAAAACATGTCTGACGAAAAGAAGGGAGGCGAAACTGAGCACATTAATCTGAAAGTACTTGGCCAGGATAACGCGGTGGTCCAATTTAAAATTAAGAAACACACACCTTTGCGAAAACTGATGAATGCCTACTGCGACCGTGCCGGACTCTCCATGCAGGTGGTGCGCTTCCGTTTTGACGGCCAGCCCATCAATGAGAACGATACTCCGACCTCGCTAGAGATGGAGGAGGGCGATACTATCGAGGTGTACCAACAGCAGACCGGCGGTGTTTATTAAATATATACTTGTATGAATGTAGTTAAGCTAGTTACTTTTCATTTTAACGACAACAGCAACAACAAAACCAACAGCAGCAGCAGCAGCAACAACAAATAAGCGAGCATTATTCTACATAAATAAACAAAAAGAAAAAATATTAATTCTGTTCTTGTTCAGTTTCGTGTTGTATACACTTGAAATGAAAACAACTAAAGGAAGTGTCCCAAACATCTAGATATTTGCTAAAAAAAGAAAAAACAAAAACAAACAAAAACTGGAAAATAAAGCATTTTGTAAACTATGATTTAAGATTGATTCATAAAAGGAATTCTCTATTTCTTTGGCAAACTGTGGTTTTGGTGGCTAAATTGCCGATGGCGCGCATTTCCCGCTTTATATCCCTGGAGCACGCACACAATCGCATGAGAAGCGCTTGTAACATGGTGCAAGTGTGTGTGTGTCATGTTTCAGCATTGTTGGTACACACGGACACGATTCGTGTACAGTACAGCAACTGCGTTTGCATATGTGTGTGTATGTGAAAACGAGTATACATACACAATCGAAGCAGACAGATGTCTGTCCATGTGTACGAAGAAACATACGAATACTTAAATATGTTTATGTTTACGTTTGTATATAATCAATTAGGTATTATACTATCTGTTCAAAATCTAGATATAGCTCAGCATAGTAAAAAGATCTACAAACATAACCTCAAAATCCATATATGGCATAGATGACGTCATGTGGTACGTACGTATGAGTGTATGCTTATGAATGTGTGTGAATATAGTATAACTTTAAAAATAATTCCTTTTTTCGAAAGTATATGAAATTTAGAGTAGAAAATAGAAAATTCTCTTTTTTATCGTAATATTAAACTTTTTAATTTTTTAACGGAAATAGATTGTACAGGCATAAATATTGTCAACTCTTATACTACTATCAAAACTTTATCATGAAAGGCACCAATCCCATTACAGTTAGATAAAAAAATTAAAACAACTCAACTCAAACCCATTCCTTGGGATTACGCAGAACCATTAGCAAATCGCCTTCTTTGGATGTGGCCTTTGGTTCGTGCATATATTCCCAACGGGCGTGCAGTGGCAGGGACATAAGTATGCTCTCGTAGCGGGCTCCAGGCGTATACAGACCGAATTTGGTGCCACGATCGTAGATTAAATTGAATTCCACGTAGCGTCCGCGCCGTAGCAGCTGCCACTCGCGCTCTTTGGTGCCGTAGTCGGCATTCTTATGCTTCTGCACAAGCGGCAGATACGACGGGATCACAGCTCGTGCGCAACTGGTCACAAATTTGAAGGCGCTGTCCTGGCTGGGCTCGTCGATGTCATCGAAGAAGATGCCTCCGATGCCACGCGACTCGTTGCGATGCTTGATGTGGAAGTAGTCGTCACACCACTTCTTGAACTTCGGATAGTAAGCGGTGTCGTGTTCGTCGCAGGCGCTCTTTAATGTCTTATGGAAATGGCGGGCATCGTTTTCGTCCAGATAGTAGGGCGTGAGATCCGTGCCACCGCCGAACCACCACTGCTTCGAGCCATCGGGCAGCTCGACTTCGAAGTAGCGATAGTTAAAGTGTATGGTCGGAACATGGGGATTACGCGGATGTATAACAGCACTGACACCGCTAGCGAAGAATGGCAGCTTAACGTTCTCTGTTAGATTTTTGCCTCTTGAACGCATCTGCTGCACAGCTGCCGGTGGCAGCCAGCCGGTCACAACGGAAACATTGACGCCAGCTTTTTCAAAGACGTCACCATCTTGCAGGACACAGGTGACGCCGCCACCGCCCTCCTTGCGTAGCCAACGATCCACTTTGAATTTTTGGCCATTAAACTCCTCCGATTCGAGTGCACGGCAAAACTCGGCTTGAATCTCCATGATCATCAGTTCCATTCGGTGGCGCATATTTTCCTTATCCTCTAGCAATGTAGCTGAGTCCGTAATAGGCTCAGCCATAAATTTGGATATGTTCAACTTACGGCTGACCTTTGCTGCTTCGGCCTGTGCGTACGTGACCGATGCGATGGTCGAAAGACCCAGCCCAGTGCCAAGCAGAAGTCCATGTAAATGCTGACTTTTCATGCGGCGACCAAGCTGAAAAGTGCCCAGCGCCACGAGTGATATTGTGTGTCTTAATGCATTCATATTTACTTAATTTATGGCATATACTAGTTTTTATGTTACAACCAATATTTGTTATCTATGTATCTTCTTCTTGCACCGGCATTTAAAGCCACTTGATAACACTACTATCGATGTTACTTATTTGTATCGATAACAAATGGCCGGCATGTTCCGATAAAGAACAGTTACTTTTCATTTTTTTGCTGCCTGCACATACCAAGTTTTTTTGCTTGTTTTTAATATGGATTTAGATAGAGACTTTAATGAATTGGTATACAAAATGAAAGCTAATAAAACACTGCATTCTACAATATCTTCGGACTCGCCGGACGCAATTCCGCGTTCTTCAAACGAAGCTTACCATCACTCAACTAAAATGTTGAATCAATTCAACTCATTCGAAAATACAAGTGAAATGGCCGAGGATCATAATATATCTAGAACATTATCACCGCCTAGATTTTTCCAATTTGCAAATATATTATCAACCGAAGACGAAAGCCTGGGTGATCTAAGTGATCGCGACATAAACAGTCCTCGAACACCAATTAATAACTCCTCCCCGCATTATGAGCGAACATTTCGTTTAGTCAATCAGAAATTCCGTCATATATGAGTTGCTGAATTTGCGTTTTTATAATTATTATCAATTAAAATAATGAATAAAATTGTTTTTCACTTGCTTTTTGATTATTTGTTCGTATTTCTGCAGCCCTATAGGAAAATGTGCACAAGTATCGATTTTAAAATTACCCGACAATTTATAGCGCGTCGATACTTACTCGGCTACGATCGACTCATTTGAACAGAAGCGGCTGCACAAACGCTATTTGTCCTTTACAATTACAATTCGTTTCCCATTTATGTGAGTAAACTTCCACACAATTTGTGCGATTGGCATTGTGAAATAGGACCATTTGTTTAGTGTTTATACATTAACTACTACTATCATAAACAAAATAAGGACGCAACCGAAATGTTTGACATGAAAAAATTTCAAGACAATCCAGCATGGCGTCGAAAATTGCTCAACAATTTGCTCAAGGATCGGTAAATACGTCAATATGTGTATATACTGTAGAGTGAATAAAATTAGCTCCAGCGTAGCATGTGTTATTTAAGAACGAGCTGCATGTAAAATTAAAATAACTTCTCATTTAGTGTCAGGCACAAATGCGTGCAAAATAGTTAGAACTATTTTAAAACATTTGTTTTTTTTAAGGCCACGACCAGCCGTTCCGAAACCACAAGCAGAATCATTCGATCGACGTCCCAGTTTGGGTATTGCTCTGGATTTCCCAGCTCTAATACAGGCTCGTAAAGCTGAGCTGGAAGTGAAGCGGCAACAGCGACAAAATAAAACTAGTTCGTCAATAGATTCAGAGATTAAAAACGAAAACATGTTTCAACCCGAAGAGGATACAACGAAACAGTTGGCAGATGATAGTTTCGATGTGCTCGAACGTATGTGCGATAAGACCGCCTCCGATCCAGATAGCACACTATTCCAATATTTGCACAGCGATGATAAGGAACAGGTATTGGCTATAGCCAAGAGGCGCAGCTCTGGTTCAGATAAATGTAAGTGAATTCTGGAATCTGTATTGAATATAAACATTATATAGACAATGGACATGACCATGACAAGGATCTAGTAAATGATCTATCATGCAGAACATTTTCTATATTGTTCGGCTAAGATAATCATTGTTAATCTTTGTTGTCGAATAAGTGGTTCACTAAAGAGAGAATACTGGTAAATGCTCAATTTGTTTTGCAGCTGGTGACATAGAAACGGCGGCTTTGTGCCGCATGCTGGAGGATCTAGGGGATCAGGATCAATTGTGCAACGAAAGTCCGCTAAAGAGTGCCGAATGCACACAGCTGGAGGATGTTGAAGCGCCATCACGTTTCTGGGATAACGATTCCTTGCTCAATGGCACCGATTCACTTTTCCAGCCAAAGACAGAGACATCGCCTGTAAAAATGGTCGGCTTGTTGCGTCCCTCAACTATATTGGAGGCCAGTGAAGCCGATCTCACAGGCTTGCAATCTGATGAATCATGCTCTCTCAACAGCAGCTTTCTGACTGCCAATACGCTCAAAACAGAGCAAGGTGAGGATGAGACGAGTGCATCTGGCTCAAGCTGCTACGAGACGGCCGCAGACAATTCATTGGCGAGCAGCTCGAAAGAGGCTACAACAACGTTGAACGTTGATGACTTGTTTTATGCGGCCATCGCCAAGGCTAAGCCACATGGCATATCCAAGGGTGAGCAGCAAGAGCTATTGGTTGACTTGCAGGAGACTTTATTAGATCTGGCACTCACCGATGCGGCGGATAACACCATTATTGAATTGTCCTCATCCAGCGAAAATGAAGAAGACGAGCATGAAGAGCAGCTGGAAAATGAAAGCATCAAAAAGGAGGAATTATCGTTAATTGATTCAAATGCGGAGGAAGATAAGGAAAACAAGTCAATGCGTTTAAATGGCACCATAGAGGAAATGGAATATATGCTGAAAAAAGCTCAGGAATACATGGAAGCCAAAAAGGATTCACCAGAGCACCAATCAGATCCAAACATAATACATTTGCATCAGAAGCCAATGAAACAGAATACTTTTGTGATGTCGCCCCAAAAAGAATCTGAGTCTCAGCTACCCCAAAGCAGCTCCAAGCTGCTGACGGCCTCTGGAAGATCGCGCCACTTAATAAATATGGATCAGCCGAAAAGCAAATTCTTCAAGCAGCCCACGTCTATACCCATGCGTCGCCTCTTAAAGCATCAGAAAGATAATTTCGCACACATTGTTAGTCCTATACGTACCTATACCCAAAAGTCCGGCACTGCGCCCCTAATGAGCATGTTCCGCGAGAAAGCAAATAATCTGAGCGTCTTGCAACTGGAGGAAGAGTCACAGCTGTGCCAGTTTAATAGGGGACATATACCCCCATTGGGTAATGGCAACTCATCAAAGCTTAGTCTTGATTGTTTTAATCCCTCTGCTCCGTTCCTGCCCAAGAAGGCATACATTTCTTCTGAGTTGAAGCAGGTGAGTCAAAGGGCATTTATTATTTAAATATTTTAAAAATTAATTTAAATAATAGTTTATATCTGAAACTTCTAACAAACATTTTGTGTATACCCAGGTCGTTGATGAACGTACTCCCGTGCCGATGCCGAGTGTGTCGAAAATTCAAAAGTATTTGAACTCAGCTGCCGAGCCATCAGTGCTGCGTCATGATGGCAAAATGAAGATGCCTGGTCAGAGCTGCAGCAACATCAACAAGAATGCATCGCACATACCGCGCCGTCCTAATCAAAGCTTGGCAGATTTGTCGCTGGCCTCGGGCGACATCTCTTTGTATACGCTCAAGGATGCTCAGAAATTTTAATTATTATTGTTGAAAATATGGTGAGAAGAGAAAACGATTCGAAAGAATTTCATAAAGCGAATCGCAATTAGATTTTAATTTTGTAACAAATAAACATTACGATATAACACACACGCAATAACAATTAGTAACTAGTAAATGCCATCGATTGCTTTGTGGGTATGAATAGGTTTATAACTTTTTACCCTGAGGACCCTTCCAGGCACGATTCACTTTAGATTCAGACGATCTGCCCAACTCTGTGCATATGTAGCGCCCCACTTCAATGAGCTTGTCCAGATTGACGCCTGTATTTATGCCCATGCCGTGCAGCATATAGACGACATCCTCCGTAGCTGCATTGCCGGAAGCGCCGCGTGCATAGGGACAGCCGCCCAATCCAGAAACAGAAGCATCCACAACTCGTATGCCATACTCCAAGGAAGTTAAAATGTTGGATAGTGCTTGGCCGTATGTATCATGGCAGTGTACGGCCAATTGCTGTGCAGGCACAGCTCGTGTTACCTCATCCAGCATCTTGCGCATGCTGCCCGGCGTGCCCACGCCAATGGTATCGCCCAGCGAGATCTCATAGCAGCCCATCTCGTGCAGCGCTGTCACCACTTTAACCACAGCCTGGGGCGGCACAGCGCCCTCGTAGGGACAACCCACCTACATGATGATTAAATAATTAAATCACAATTTTAAATTATTGGATCAGAGTATACCCACCACTGTAGAAACGTAGCCACGCACACGGATGCCATGTTCCTTGGCAGCTTCGAGGACGGGCTTGAAACGCTCGATAGCTGCTGCCGCTGTACAATTGACGTTTTTGAGCGAAAAGGCATCAGAAGCAGCACCAAATACAGCCACCTCCTCGGCGCCCGCCTCCAAAGCGCTCTCAAATCCTTTCAGATTAGGCGTCAGCACGGGATAACTGATGCCTGGCGCCCGGCGTATGCCGCGCAATACCTCCGAATTGTCGCCCATCTGAGGAACCCATTTGGCACTCACAAAGCTGGTGGCCTCAATTGTTTGTAGTCCGGTTTCCGACAGCCGATCTATTAGTTCAATTTTTATAGCAGCGGGTAGCAGCTTTGGCTCGTTTTGCAAACCATCTCGTGGACCCACCTCCACAATGCGCACCTTATCATGCGACAACTGAGACATATATCTTGAAGATCTGCCCTGAAATTAATTTGCTTTAAAACTAATTGTATCTATAACATACGGCGACTTACATAGCAGGGCCATTGGAATAGAGGACGTGCCAGATATCGTGGAATTAGCATTATGCCGAATATGCATATAAATAACAACTTGTTACGTGCAGTGCCTCTTGAAGACAAAAAACAGCTGTTGCTTTTCAAAATGATCAAGACAAATCGATAACTTATTATCACTGTGATAATAATTGTTTAGATTAGTATATTTATAATTTTTAAATATATATACTATCTGTATATAAATATCAATTAATATCAATATGAACTGTATATAAATTCAATTAAGCTACTTAGCTAATGGGCAGTTAAAATAAAATATTTATTTGAAAACACCATAAAAAATTATCGACAATTTCACCAATAACAGCTGAGTTGCATTTACATTAAGCCTTGCCCATCTCTAGTGCTCTTGAATTGTACGCGCTTACACAAATGGAAACCGAAAACAATCAACAGAAAGAAACGGTTGGAAATAACATTAAGGATGAGAATGATGTTACTGATAGTGACGGAGATGATGATGGCGACAGTGAGGATGTGTTTCATTTTGAAACGGAGCACTTGGCGCTGCGTGGCAATCAATGCTATAGCAACCTCTTACGCACTATAGCCACGCTGCAAGCGCAACGGATTCGCGTGCATCAACAAATTGGGGAACTTGAGAAAGCGCGCGATAACTATCTGGAGAATCCACAACTATTGCTGGAAAGATTGCGCAACAACGAGCCTGTGATAGCGCCCAATTATTTAACCACTGTTCGCCTGCCCGAGTTGCCCACGTTAGCAATTAAGCAAGATGTTAAAGTCGAGGCGCCTGCGCCCATTTCCCAGCCGACTGAGGAGGACAAGAATAATAAAAATGGTAGCAAGACGCAAAGTCGTTTGTGGACAAATGAGGAGCAGCGTCGTCTGGAACAGCTACTCATCGAGTATCCTCCCGAAGAGGTGGAAATGCGACGTTTCGGCAAGATCGCCAAAGCTCTAGGAAATCGCACACCTCAACAGGTCTTCAGTCGTGTGCAAAAGTACTTTCAGAAGCTTCATGATGCCGGCATGCCCGTGCCCGGTCGTTTGCCCAAGTATCGCCGTTCTGGTGGCCCAAGCCGGCCAAAGTTCAACGTGCGCCGATCAACATTCTTTCCGGCCCAGAATATAGAGATACAAATGCCCGAGGATGAATACACATTGGATGAGCTCATGCCTGTTGCGCCATCTTCCACGCTGCCGCCACCGCCGCAAATAAAAATTGAACCAAAATTGGAACCAGATACGCTGGAAACTGAGACGCGTCGTCAGAAACTGCTGCAACTAAAAATACTAACGGCCATACGAGACGAGAAGCTGCAAACGGAGGATGGCTACAGTCCCGACCCACTGGCGCCCAAGTGTGCCGAATGTGAGGAGTCGGCTGTAACGCGCAAGCGTTGGCATTGCAACAGTTGCTATAGCTATTTAAATCTATGCGGTGACTGCCTAGCCCATCAATTGGTCACCGAACAATTTGAGCATATGAGTCATGATGTGGTCGAGGATCAGGAGGTGTAACATCAATGATCACACTGACGATCAAATATTGTAAATAAACCCTAAGAACATAAGATAAACATGTAGAGTTTAGTTTAAGATAAAGTTTATAATAGGGGAACATGTTATGTTCCACCTGCCTTATAGAGATTATATTTCTTTAAGTCTTCGACAGTCTGACGCTATCTTTCTGTGTCCGATATCGAACTGATACATAACGATATTCTGAATGTGTATAGATATCATTCATTTTCTGTTATCATATTACCAAAATCAATAAATATTTTGTCAAATGCAACGGCACGAAGAATTATTTATTTATTTATTCATAATTTGTTTAAATGCGCTTCCTTTGAAGGCTGACATAAAATATTTACATTTTTTATTTATTTAAATACGCATTCGTATTACTTGAATCTACACAAACTTGAGCAAACCAGCTCACCCATAGAGTTGAAGAAATGATTGGAAATTGGAAATTGAAAATGCCGTTATGTACACAATATATGTATATGTATATGTATATGTATATGTATACGTATATATATATATATATATATATATATATATATATATATATATATAAATAAACTGGAATTGTTAGGAAAGAAAATTACATTAAACTAAAGCCTAATCCGATTACCCCCAAAAACGAGCTAATTCTTTGGTTAAGCGCGTTTGCCCTAGCCCAGTTTGACTTTTCAACCTTTGACACGCGCCGCACTGCGTTTGCCCTCGATCCATTGCTCAATCTCTAGCTTGAGCGCTTCATTCGACTTGACCTTGTCCATGGTGAGGGGTTCGCGATTGAAGGGATCGGTTTGATCGCTCAGTAAATGGCGGGCAATTGTGGACCGATCCACGGTCACATTGGAACTGGGCAGCACCACCGGATCGGTCATGAGCGTTGATATAATCGGATCCAGATACTCTTCGGGTGCATCGGCCAGCAGTTCTTGCTCCTCCTTGTAATCGTTGCCCATTTTCTGCACCTTGGCCGCAAACTCGGCCATGTCACCAATAAGCTGACCACCACCAATGCGTATTAAGATGTTTTCGGCATAGCCAAAGAGCTGATCGCTATAGGAGCGTCCATCTTGGGAAATAGCCAGGCAGAAGGTGTTGTCTGTACTTAGATTTATATAGATGTGCGCTATCTCAAGCACCATTTGTGCTGGATCAAACTCGAACTCCTTCTTGTCCTTAACCTTGAACCGCTCACGCTGTGGTCCCACCAAATGCAATAGAAAGTAGTTCAACATTGCCGCAATACGATCCACCATGCTGTTGTGGCAGAAGATGCTCTTGATCTCGCTAGTCAGCAGCTTCAGCAGATTGATGGTATCGCGACCCAGTATATTGTCAAAGCGTGCCAGCATGCCCAGATGATGCAAATTGGTGGTCTGCTGTTGTCGCTCATTGTGCGACAAGTTGTTCCATTCGCCATTGTCCTGAGCCTGTTGCAGCTGCTTGATTTGCTCCAGATTAGAGAGCGACTCGTCCAACAAGAATATAGCATCATTGATAAGCAGGTTGATGAAGCGCAAGAATATCGGCGGTTCAATAGCCTCCATGCTGTCTTCGGCATCCTTGGCCAGTTGTCTGAAGCACTCAACGTGCTCCTCCTTGGTCCAAAGGAACTCCATGATAGCGTACATGGGGCGACGGTAGTTGAATTTCTGCTCAAACTGCACCGATTGCCCGGTCATTTCGATGCTGACAAACACATTTAACAGACTGCGCACCACCTGCAAGCGATCCGGGTGGCTGTCGAAGACGTGCGTATTGAATGCCTTGCGGTTGCTGCCGGACATCTGTGAGGGTAATAGAAATTCTAAAGCATCCGCCAGCTTGGCGCGCAAATGTGGATTCTTCACCAGCTCCGAGCTGCCCATAAACAACAGAATCATCTTAAAGAACGCATCGTGTGAGCTGGTGTGCAATTGTATAAACTGATCACCCGGAAAGCTGCGACAGAAATTCAAATATGCAGCTATGTTATCGATGATATTCTCTGGCACCGACTTCATGTACGGCGCCACGAACGGCGGCGTTTCCGACAAGAGTTCCAGATTGCGCAACAATTGCGGCGCAAAGTCCTTTTTGTCCAGTCCCGCTTCGTAGCATTCGCGTGGTAGCATTGCAATTTCCGTCAGCCAAATAGCCGAAGCCTCAAAGAACTTCAGTGTCGCTGTATCATTTTCTGGCTCAGCCAAACCATTGCGTATGCAAAGTACCTGCTGCATCTGATCCTGCAGCATGCGAAACAGATTCTTAGTTAAATCATTGTTGGGATCACTGGCTGCCACATCTTGGTAAGCGGTTTGAGTGTTCTGCAGCTCACGCATCATGTGAGTCAACCGCTCAATGCACGCTCGATTGCCCAGCTCGAATGCCTTGTGCGTCATATAGAAGATTTCGGAGATAAAATTATACTTATCGGCTGTTAAGCGCTCTTCTCCCTCGCCCACAGGCAGCAGACATGTCTCCTCGAACGCTTTCAGCATGTTAACGCCCTTCGTATGGCGTTCCATTGCGTCTGAAACAGCGCAGTATGTGGGATCTACCAAAAGCACCTGCAATGGAATTACAAATATATAAATATATCATTAAACAGACAAAGCCTCAGCATTTGTATTTAAGCAATTACCTTCAGGGCAGGTGAACAGAGCGGTGCACACAGACGCATCAGCACGGCGCTGAGGCTAGTCATAAATGCATCGCTGGCTGTGCTATGCACGGTCTGCTCCAAGTTTAAGTTGATGGTGCTCCATAAATGTCCGCGCGCCACATTTGCATCTAGACAATTGGCAATCCATTGCAGTGTCTTTTTCTTGGTTGTGGAGGATTGAACCAGTAGCTGTTTGATCAGCGTGAACATGGCCTGCTGATGATGTGCTAGCAGTTGCCAGAGCGTGGGATCCGATTGCTGCGAGATCAATGAAATATCGCGAAAGAATTCATAGGGCGCCGTTTGTGTCTTGGGCATAATTGACATGCACAGCAATTGGCCAAAGAGTGTATCCATATACTCGCCACCTACAGTAAATACTTATGAATATTGAACCTTTAAGAAGCTATAAAGATTTACCTTTTGCCCTTGGATTGGGTGTTGTGAAATCAATGAGCAGTTCACCGAGCATACCAGCGCGCTTCTCGCGCACAAAGAAACCAAAAATCCAGAATATATTCTTTCGTATTGTGATCAAATTGTCCTTGGCCAGTTGTTTTTGCAGATCACTTAGCATGGGGTAAAAAATGGCCTTGAGAGCGCCCAGCGCTTCCAGAGGTTCAACATCTTCTAGCACCTTATCCGCAACACGCACCAGAAACTCCTGCGTGCTAGTATCATGCTCGTCCGCCTGTTCGAATAACTCCAGCCACTGGCCGGAGAAGGATTGGGAGGCAAACAGATCTGGCTGGCGCATGCAAGTGCTGGCATTGTTTAAAATTAGGTCAATTATTTGATTGCCATGCTTTTTGTCTTGCATACTGCAAGTGCGCTGCATTTGCTCCCATCTGGCGAACGCACCGTGTAGATAGATCATGGCCCGACTCTCCAGCGCCTGCTCCTGCTGCCTTTGATTTACCTGTTCAGCTGGCAGCAGATATTTCGCAGTATCGTCCAGCATCAATCGTTCGAATAGAGCATGTGCCAGCAGATCAATGCAAAGGGTGTCCTCACTGCTATTGTCGGCAACAACGACATCGGCCAAACATAGTATCGTCTTATTGCGATTAGTGTCCACATCTTTGCTTAGTGTAAAGAGCAAAATAGATTCGATCAGCTGCTTGGATACACCATTGGCCTCGGTACTCCCCTGCAACAAAGCTGCAAATGGATTTTCGGAGTCTCCAACGGACGACATTGTTGCGACCTGCATTACGTTTATTTGTTGAATTAAACATTAATAATTGTTTAAACAATAAATAATATTACAAATTTCTATATATTTTCTGCTACCTGTCACTGTGTCACTATGCCAATTAGCAAATCAAGATATCGAATACATTTATCGAAACAGAAAATACTATATAATACCAACGAAAAAACTAGTTTTGTATATTAATTGAAGTATTTTTCTTAGAGTTTTTAAAAACTGCCGTTTTCTAAATTTTGTTTTATAAATTGAAAATTTAAAAATGTAATACAACAAAATGTGTCAAATATTAATATCAATATAAACGTATTTTAGTTGCGTGATAGTTAAAATGTTAATTTTATAGCAACAGCACCGAATTGGATAAAGATGGGATACGCGTAAACGTTTTTAATTTAAAATATTTAATTTTACATGTTAAAAAAATAAATATATTGTGTAGTTTGCACGACACAATTTGTAATATATTAAGTACATTTAATGGATATAAAATACGAAAATGAAAAGAAAAAGATAGTAAGTAAAAATATGTTAAGTCAAATCAGTCAAATTTAATTTATATTTAAATAATTAATAATATATGTCAGGCAAACGTTAAGAAGTAAAAATAAATTATCAATCTTTGTTTTCCGCCAAGAATCACATATAAATAAGATGCACTCAAGTAACCTGTCTCTATTATCAGCATTCATTTAATTGTTAAGTCATAAAAAAGAAAGAAAAAGCGAATTGAACAAATTAGTTCGCCAATAACATTTAAATAATTTAACATGACGTCCAGTATTTAAGAAAATTGGAACAAATCAAAATCCAAATGGAGGAAGGGCGCAGGTGCATGCACTTAAAAAAATGCACGTGTGTGTGTATGTGTTTGCGTGCATTTGTATGTGGCCAAATCCAAAGCCAATTAAGACAATCAATTGTCGAAAAGCCACCCACTGCAAATTATATGTGACTAACGGCGTCTGGCACTCAACATAGCAAGTAAATCGTTGCTTCCTACCCCGTTAATCGTTTCCCAATAGCAAAAAAGAAAACAACTGACTGACCAACAGATACCCTAAGCCCTCCCGGAACAAGCAGCTTAAGTTTTATTGTGATACTTATGTACACATTCATACGTGCGTAAGGCCACGTAAGTCAATCGCTTTGTTGCTGTGCTTCTTCTTCCCAAAACCTAGGTAAAACTGGGGTGTTTATTGATCGGCTTCAAAGAAGACTTTGGGTATTAATTTGGTATTTAAATTACAACTCTAATATACAGACGGATAAGCAAACGGATAAACAGATGGACGATCGGATAGACAGAGAGATGAGCGGATAAACAAATGAACGAACGGATAGACAAAGGAACGGACGGATATTCAGACAGCTTGAACACCCTAACAGTAATGCTGTTTATAAATAAATATACTGTTTGCAATCGAGCACGACTTTTTTCTGTTACCTAGATTTAAAGAAAACCAATATACCCTGAAGACCCGATTGGCAATGGGAAACAACAAACAGACTTCGTGTGCCGCTAAATCGGCTTCTGATCAACAAAAGTAAACACTCGAAGTTCGTTGATTTGGTCGTTTGATGTTTTTCCTTCAGTATCAGTTCGTGCTGCATTTTCAAAAGGTAAACACGCGCTGATGCAACCGGAAAAAAAACCCAAATGAAAATCGCAACTGAAGCGCTTTGTGATAAAAATAAAACACATTTCTAATTAAAAAATATAAATACCTTCAACAAAAATTACAATTTGTTTTAAATTTTTTAAACAAAATTTGACAAAAAAAAACATTAAAATAAATTGATCATAATAAACATATTTAAAAATTTTGATTGAGCGTTAAGTTAAATTAAAGTAAAGAATGCTCAATCAGTAATAACAAACAATATTTGAAACAATAAAAAATAGTTAGCCAATTAATTATTCATTATATAAAATATTTGTGTCAAATGACGAATTTCTATAAAACAAAAATATATTTACTTTCTTGTTTTTATTCAATTTTATTTAACTTGTGGTGCGCACCACTGTATCTATATCGACTTATTGGATTTCAATTAAGTAGAAGAAAAAAATATGGGACTCAGTGGAAATTCAACAATTTAAATAAAAGCAGAAAATATTTATAAAATGTGTAAATAAACAAAAATAAATTGAAAAAATGTTTAAGATAAATATATAAATTATAAATATATAAAAATCAAACAGAGATACTTGAACGATATAAACATTTAAATTTAATTAAAATCGTTATAAAAACAATTTGAAATAAATAAAAATATTGGAAAAATTATATTATAAAAATAAATACGTAAAAAATGCTGAAGTTATAAAGTAAAAAAATAGTTTAAAACAATTATAAAGTAAAATAAAGAAGTTAAATGCATTTCATATGCAGGTTAACATGTCGTATGCGTGATAATCTTAAAGGCCACAACAAACAAACGCAGTATATATATATTGATTACTGTTACAATAACCGATTCTATAATCTATATACTTATCAGACATAGTTAACGTGAAAATTGTTAACAATTTCTCTGCTTCTGTTGCTCCTCTAGCTATGTGCACATTGCGTATACGCCCCCTGAAGCCGGCATTGCAAATGATTGCCGTGCAGGAGTTGAACGAGGTGCCGCACCGGGTGGCCGATGATGTGGAGGCGCTGAGAGATTGGGTGGTCAGGCAGCCGCATTTGCGCGGCTGCACAGAGGATCAGTTCCTCTTGGCCTTTCTGCGCGGCACCAAATTCAGCTTGGAGCGGGCCAAGCAGAAATACGATCGCTTCTATACGCTGCAGGCCTCCATACCGGAGGTGTTCAATGAGCGGCGTTTGGCCACAGATCCATTGGTCTTGGATATCATACGCTCGGGGTGGGCAGATCATATATATATATATACATATATATATATTTATTTAAATCTTATGATCCTTATAGCATCTTGCTGCGCATACCTCAACATGAAGACGATACAGGTCCTTGTGTGACCATCATACGCGCTGGCAGCTACGACACGAGCAAATACAAGTTTCAGGACATTATACGCGTTGGCTCCATGTTCGGCGAGATAATGATGTTTGAGGATGAGAATGCTACGATCTCCGGCTATGTCGAAATCATGGACATGAAGGGCATTACGGGCACACATCTGTTTGCCCTGCAGCCGGAGCTGTTGCGCAAGTTCTCGGCCTATGCCGACGAGGCGATGCCCACACGGCAGAAGGGCATCCATTTCATTAATGTGCCGCCCGCCTTTGAGGCTGGCTTCAATACGCTAAAATCGTTCTTTCCCGCCAAGATCAAGAGTCGAGTGAGTTCGCCTATTGAACACTCTATATATATCCATATATATTTCCTTGAAACTTCAGATTTCCGTGAGCTCACAGCCGGATGCCATCTTCAATATAGTTTCGCCTGACTATTTGCCCTTGGAATATGGTGGCAACCATGGCGTTATGGAGGACATCAGTCACGCCATGGAAACAAAGCTTTCCGCCTATGCACAATATTTTCTGGCCTCTCAGCACTTTGGCACCGTGGAAAAGTTTCGCGATGTGAACAGCCAGCCACAGGACAAATGCTGCACGTTCGGTGCAGTCGGCTCATTTCGTAAGCTGGAAATCGATTAGAGTTGGCTTATCAGCAACATCAACAGACAAAATTAGCTTTACAACTGAGCACTACAAGTTGAACTCTTACATTCAGATATTTGTTTATGAGCACTGGCTTTACGTTAATCTAATCGCATAATCATAATAAGAATAATAAATTGTTCTACTTTGGATTCTTATGGAATCATGCGTTAAGATTCTGCTGTGGATGGTCTTGCAATTTCAGAATTCATTTTTAGAGTAGTTGAACGGTAAGTGTCGTATGGAAACTTCATTCTTAACGATTCCATCATCTATAAAACATCTTTTTGAAATCGACTGGAATCGCGTCTCACACATAATCCCAAAATAAGTTAAAAAAATCTACTATTAGATTCAAGAGTATCTTAAAATAGCTTTTCTATGCGATTCTCATGCTGCTTGATTCAACGTATTTCGTTTGACTACATGATAAATAGTTGACTTACATGATTATGACATTAACTTTGCCAGACCTAAGGCATAAATTTCTTATTGCCAATTTGTAAAACACGTTCATAACCAATAAACTTTTAACAACCTTATTTACAACAACTTCTGCCCTGGTAGAATTCTTAATTACATCATCGCTTATAATTAAAAATGTGCATGTTATTTTTGGTGTTTTAAATGTTTGGTTTATTTTAGTTTTCCATTTGATATCATTTTTACCATTGAGCCATTAATTTGATGTTGGATTTGACAATGCCTCAAATTCGAATTACGGGAATCGTGTTTGTATATAAGTATGTGAGTCGCCCTAAGTCGTAGTTAATCCGATGATCATTAATAAATATACATAGATTTGAACTAGTTTTGAGTTTCTGCAACTACTCGTACATAATATATTAGGATACGTTTGTCCACTATTTGTGAAGTACAGAGTGCCGTATTTCATACTTCATACTTCGCTGACGGTACGTGAGCTGTTCTTGCGCGGGGGAGTTGGGCTCGGCGGCGGACTGAAGTCAGTTTCCGTTTCATTATAATTGTAGCGACTGTCCGATGGCGACAGCGAGCGATACGTGCGCGGCGAATGCCTGTAGGAGTCGCTATGCGTGCGACCCCAGCTCCCGCTGTGTCGCCGGTGCCGATCATTGTGGCGATCGTCGTCGTCGTCGTCGTAGTAGTCATCATAGTCGCTGTAGTCGTCGCGATCATCTCGATGCGGTGAGTACCGATCCCGTGACGGCGGTGGCGAACGCATGCGGCCCAGCGGCGGAGGACGCGCAACGCCAGCAACCACTGGTGGTGGCAAAAATGGCGGCAGACCCATAAACGGTGAGAAGGGCGCCGGCAGGAATGGCAGTGGATTGGGCATGTTAAGCAGGCCAGGCGATCCCGGCAACGGCAGCGGCAATGGCACCGGCGACGGTGCATTTGCCTGTTCAGACGCGCCCAGTCCGCCATTGGCTGGCAACACATCCGACGCCACATCGCCTGCTCCGCTGGCCATGGCTGTCATCTGACGCCGATAGCCGGCGGCTTCAGCCTGCGCCTCCTCGCGGCGTCGATCGGATTGGCGCGCCGCCAGCCACGATTCGTGTGCACGATTCTCCAGCGTGCCCATCTGTGCCTTATGCGAGGCAATCTGCGCCTCAATCTCAGCGCGCAGCTCATCATTTTGAGATCTGTCAATTATAATAATATAATATATTAATATTGATATAATATATAATATATTTGCTGAAGCTGAAGTTCACTTACTTTAGCAGCTGAATTTCATTTTTCATCAGCGTTTGCGTCTCCACAGTGCTGGCATTTTCGCCCTGATGCTGCAGCCACTTGGACTCCTGCAAGCTGAGCTCTCTGAAAAGACAAAAAGGTAAGATTAACAAGATTTTGAAAGCTTAGAGCTACTGTTAAGTTATTTATGTTCTGCCTGTTGATTATTTTAGCCTGTGGTCAACGTAATTGAGATCTCTGTCAGGTCATTGCGCCGTTTTGAGCTTGACAACTCAGACAAATGCCTATTAACGGATTCATTACACCTACTTTTGCAGCTGAGTTTCCTTCTCACGGAAATAGCCAGAGAGCACTTCGAGACGCGTTTGCGCCTCAAGCTTGTCTCGTTCAGACTGATTGAAGTCCTGTTTCAGCTGTTCGACGTCTGCGCTGGATGCCTGCAGCTGGCTCTCAAGCCTCGCTTTGTTTTCCATCTCCTGCTCCAGTTTCGTTTGCAGCGACTTGAACTTTTTCTGCGCCGCATTGAGTTCGCCCCGCATTTTGGCCATTGATATTAACTCCTTAACATTGGCATTGCCATCTTTCTTGATCGTCTTCAAGCACTCTTCGAGCGCCTCTATTTTGGACAGGCTCGTCTGCAGTTCGCTATGCTCTTTGTCGTATTTGGCATTCAATTCCATAATCTGTTTCTGCAGCCTTTGCATTTCAAAGTTGCGCGCCTCCAGAGCCTTGGACAGCTCCAGCTCGGACTCCACTTGGATTTCGCCAAGGCGCGTCTGCAACTTGGACTTCTCCATTTCCAGCTCATAGTTGTCCTGCTGCAGCGACTTCATTTCACTATTCAAGCGTGTTGTGGACTCCGTATACGAATATTGCAATTCGCTATTCTCGCGACTCTTCTCCGCCAAACTAGCATTGATGTCAATGATGATCTCTGTAAGAATTGAATATAGAAAATGATTTCGTTTTTGATTTTATGTTCAGATGATGTTCACTCACTTTCTTGATCATTGAGCTGTCGCTGCAGTTCGTCGACGGTGTTCATAAAGGCTTCGTCACCATTCTGACTATTCAACACCTCGGACAGCATTTTATTCAGCTCCAAGCCTGCTTCGGCTGCATTATCCAGATCCTAGTTAACAAACATGCAATTATTCTTTAATTAATAGTTCAAATTGCTGTAGAAACTCACCTTCTCCAGGGAGCTGACCTGCTCCTGCAGTTGCGCCTTCTCATAGAGTTCCGTTTCGAGCTGCTTCTTCAAGGCGGCGACCATGTCATTTGAGCCAAAGGAATTATCCTCAATGCTTGCGAGCTTGGTGCGAGTAGCCATCAGATCATGCTTTATAATCAGGTTCTCCTTGTGCGCCGCCAACAGACTGCGCTCCAGATGATTCAGCTTGGACAACAATGCACCCTCCTGGCTGCTGTTGCAGAAACAATAGTAGGTGAACAGAAAGAACAGTGATGAGGCCGCCGCAATGACAACGCAAAGCAACAACAGGCTATTATCCAACACTTTTGCTGCCAACACATCCACAAAATTATCCAGGCTAATGGGGGCATGGCAATTGCCATCTAATGGTCGAGTGCAATAACCCTCCGAGTAAGTATCGTCTATAAAAAATATATATATAATTTAAAGATTAAATTTAATCAGAAATTCGATATGAAAATTGATTGTTCACATAAACTTTATATGTTTTTTTTATAGAATTGAGATCGTTTCTTTAAGCTGGTTAATCTTAATTGGAGCACGAACCTTGCTTTATTTCCAACACTGGCATAGGCAAGAACATTTTTAAACTATATTTAATCTAGCTTTATATGTATGAAGCCAAAATGAAATATATTTTTAAAACAAAATATTAAGTTAGAATTGTCATAAATAATAATATTTTAAAATAGAATTAATTAATTTTTTTTTTGTTTTTTTTTTATGTACGTGATTTAGTAGAAATTTGAAGAAAAATCATGAAATGCTTTCACATTTCCTTCAAAATCCAGCTCTAAAAAAATTTTTTAATTCAAGTTATGTTAACAGTTCGTAAATATTATTATTAGCGTATATATGATATAATCTCAAGGTGCTTACCCTTTGGACTAGGCGCTTCTGGATAAAGCAAACGATGCAGGTCATCGGCGCCCGTCAGCGGCTCGGTTTTGGGCACCTTTTGATCTTCATTGGATATAAATGAGTTGACAGTGTTCATAATGGTGCTAAACAGTCCAGGTCCGGGTGCAACTTCCTCTTTGGGCGTCTCGGCAGGCACTATCGGTAGCCCAACTGGTTCCACTGAACCAGTTGCAACGTGTTGGTCGCGTGTTGCTGGCGCAGGTGTTGGCTCTGCCTGATCTATTGCATCATAGGGATCGAAGGCGGTTGCAGAGGGCGTCGTGTGCTGAATATGTTGTTGCTCTTGTTGTTGTTGCTGTTGTTGCTGTTGCTTTTGCTTCTCTCGTTGACGTTGCAGCTCCTCCAACAGTTCTTTCTGCTGCTGTTCTTTCTCCTCTTGCTGCTGTCTTCGCCGTTCTTCCTGTTCCTGCAGCTGCTGTTGTCGCAGTTTCTCCTGCTCCTGCTGCTGCTCTTTCAGTTTTTGTTGTCGTTGTTGCTCCTCCCGTTGCAGCTGCTCTTCCAACTGTTGTTGTCGCTGTTCATCTTCCTGTTGACGCAGTTTCTCCTGCTCTTCCAGCGCTTGTTGTCGCTGTTGTTCCTCCAGTTGCTGCTGCTGCCGCAGCTGATCCTCCTTCTGCAGCTGTTGTTGTTTCTCTTGCTCTTGTTTCTCCAGTTGTTCCTTTTGTTGTTGGTCCAGTGGCTTCTGTTCGTTATCAAGCTCCTTCTGCTCCTGCTCCTGCTTCTGCTTCTGTTGTTGTTGCTGTTCCTGCAGCTGTTTGTAGTATTCATTGGGATTATTGAAATGCTGCTGCTTAAATAGTGGTGACAAAGTGGCTGCCCCAATTGGTTCCTCAGTGGGCCTGGGCGTAGAGCTGTCCACTTCAACGGCTGCCTGTGGCTCTGGTGACTCAATCGCAATCTCCGCTTTCTTTGGCTGTGCTGCATCTGCATCTGCTTTCACTTCCTGCTGAGTCGTTTCATTGGGCACAATTGCAGCGACAACTTTAGCTGCAATTGGTGCTTCCTCAGCCGCCTTAACAGTTTCATTCGCACTTGGTAGGGCTGCTTCTACGACGGCCTGTGGCTCTGTTGCTTGCTGCGCTTTGGTTTCTGCTTCAACTACGACATTGCTACTATTTACTTTGGCTGCCTCTTCCAATTGGTTTGGTATTTCAATCTGCTGTTCAGTTGTCGCTTCAGTTTGATTGGGTAAGGCCTCTGCTGCGGCTTTCTCCTTATCGTTCGATTCCGGTATTTGCCGTGACATCAACTGAATTTTCGGCTCGATTTTGGGCAAATTATTATCAATTTCATTAGCTTCTGGGGCGGGTAGCATTTCTGGTTCTTTTCTTGGCTGTGTGTCCTCTTCAACTGTTTCGGCTTTGGAATCTGAGCGCAGCTTGTCCTCATCAAGCTCTGCGCTTACGTTGCGCGTTTCTACAAGTAGCGAAGCTTCAATTGGTTTGGCAGCAACTTTTGGCGGGGCGTCTTCGTTCTTGACAGTCAAATTTTCAGGCTTTGAGTGCGATACATTTGAGCCATTTGCTTGCTGACCGCTCGCCTCTGCAGCTACAGCTGCAGCTGCAGATGTTGCGATCGCCTCAACAGTTGCTTTGTTATCTGCATTCGAGTCGTTTTGTTTGTCGTTCACCTTGCTATCAAGTGTTGCCTCGTTGTCGTTGTCGTCGTCTTCAATATTCTCTTCGTCATCTTCGTAGTCGAATTCTTCATCGCCTGTCGTTGGGTCCTCCAACTCAGCTTTGTGGCTATTGGTTGCCGTTTTGACTTCGTCTGCGTGGGAAACATTTTGATTTCGTTCTGTAAGAGCAGGCACTGCTTCCAGCGGCAATTCCGTGCCATCGACTAGCTGTAAATTGGGCTGCACAGGGGTTATAGGTGAAGGCACTTCACTGCTGCTGCTTTGCTCCTGTTCCGTCAGAATGGCCAGCTTAATCGTGTCCAAAGGTGAAGTGGTTGTTGTTGCTATATCTTCAGCAGTTTCGGAAGAATTGAGCACTGGCTGCGTTTGTTCCAGCGGCTGTTCTGGCTTCTGTTCTACTTGTGGATTGCTGGCGATTGGTGCTGTTGCTGGTGCAGCTACTGCTGCTGTTTCTGCTGCTGCTGTTTTTGGTTTGTTTGGCCAAACCACAGGCACTTCATATTTTAGATCCGTTTCTTTAATTAGAATTTTATTTTCCTTGATGAAATCCTTGTTGGCATAGCCGCGCCTTCCACTAATCTCCACGCCCCACAACTTTGGATTATTGCCGGCGCTCTTAGACAAAACGCGAACCGGCGCATTGATCTTAAATGACAGCATGCCATCTTCTGCAGTTGCATATCTGATCTTGGCATTACCCAAAGAGATGATCTCTGTGCAAGTTTGAAGAAAAGAAATGAAAAATTATGAAATGTAATTCAGAAAATGGGTCAGGGCTGATTTATTTAACTGCATTTAGCATTAAGCTAAATTTCTAAGTTTTAGTTTATGTTTTCCTGCTTACGCATATCGCGCATTACTTACGTTCACATTTTTCGTCAGCGCACAGTCTTTTGTCGGACAAAGCCCACGTCGTTGGAAGACTTGAAAGGGAAAGTGTTAAGGCAATGGCCAAGTAGAGGGGCAAGTCACTCCACAGCGTATTGGTTGGGGCATTTGCGTTTGTTGGCCGCATTTTGCATTGTTTTCTATGTCTGCACTGTTTACAATTTAATTAAACTAATCCGCGGCCTTAATTATAGAAAGGTTTGTGGGCAAAATTTTTTTTTGTGTATAAAAAATTTCTTCACATTAGCTGAGTTGGCTTTTCGTCATAACAGCTGCTCGCCAGTGTTGCCACATATTAGAAATAACCCGGTTTCTCGATAAGTTTGTGTTTATAAATTAAATACTAATGGATTCTAGAAGCACTTCTCGGTCAGTTTACTCTTCACCTTAAGACTTATGGTATCTTGTAATTTAAAAAAAAACTGGGTATATTTTGTCATTTACCTGCAGCGGTCACACTGCATGGTCTCTGGCATAGCTATATTTTAAACGCTTTAGTCTGCTTTTTGTAAACCGAATGTGCAAAATGAAACGCGCTTGAGTGTGCACGCGACAGTTAAGCGAGCAAAAAAGGACACTCCAACAAAAAGGTTTTTGTCTTTATTGCTTCAATTTTGTATAGTTGTGTGCTGTGGTTCTAAAAATGAGAACTGTGAATAGTTTGTGTCCCGCGTGCCGTGTTGGTTTTACAAATGAATGCAATTTCATTCTTTCAATATACTCGCATGGTGTATTTAACTTGCGTAAATTATCAATGTAGAAAAATAGTTTGATTATTTTCGTTTTTGTGCGTAAAATGTTGGGAGAGGACTGCGTAAAAAGAGCGCCACATTATGTGCGCTACCAGATGTATAATTCCAAAGTAATGGCTTATATTTTTTTGACAATGGCTCGTTGAGTTTTAAACATAAACCATTAACGAATACTAAAGATTTGCATACATAAAAAAACATAATAGTACATAATTTCGTGGAATATTTGCTGTGATAAGAAACGAAACTGCGCTTTCGTCACTCTGGCAACACTGTGCGGGCTGTCAAAATTAGATCTGTGCGCGTGTCGTGTTTGCTATGTTAAATAAAGTTTCGCGACAAAAAAACCAAAATTATTTCCATCGAATTTGAATAAATGCATAAAATAGAAATATACTTGAATCGTGTGTAGTTATTGACGTGATTTTCTTCAACTAAATAAGAATATATTAGATTAAAAAAATGAAATAAATAGTTGGTCGTGACTTACAGCGCTCATCACTACTAGCAAGGGAGAAAAAGAGCAAGAGTGAGAGAGGAGAGCAGAGTGGCAGTGCGTGTTCCTGCTGCTGCTCATTATTTTCGATTTCTACCTTTTGCATTTTAAACGTCTTTGTGATCGGTTGTTGTTGGTTGTTGTTCGGATGCGATTTAGTTATTTTGTATGTTTAATTTGTTCGTCAATTAAGTAGCACGCTGCGAGTGAAATGTATATTGTGTAACAAATCAAAATATATGTGTACAAGAATGCGCCAATAATATATATATGTATATTTGTAAATCTGCTATGTGTTAAAAAAAGCAAAAAGTAAAAGCAACTAAATGCCAAAGTGTAACAAAAAACAATAACATGTTAAACTACAAAATGAAACGCATAGCGCCTAAGGCAAAACAAAAGTTAATTCTCGACTGAAAGCAAAAATAAAGAATATTCTATTGCGCCCAAAATTCTATGCACTGAAATAAAGTTAAATGTAATAAAATCCTTTGTTCACATACAAATGCCAGCAACAGAAGTGTTGTTGTTTTTTCTAAAGTTCACTCTCCAGCAAAAGAGTGCGAGAGAGAGGGAGAAGAGTGAGAGAGCGATATACAATGTGACGTAATTTATATTTATTCTAAACAAATACCCAACGCAAATTGCCAAAAAAAAAATACGAAAAAATAGGAACAACATCAAGAGCGTGTGCGATTGTCCGTCCCTCTTGACAGTTTGTAATTACCAATTGCAATTGGCTTTTAATTTGAATTTTGCATGCAACAGGGCGCGTGTTATTCGCACTCACACACACATACACATGTACACGCATACACGACAAAACGTCTCATGAGAGAAAGGCAGGCTGTGTGGTAAACAAAAATACAAAATGTGCATGGGGAAAACGGATAACAACAATAACAACGACAATGGCATGGAATTAATGAAGAAAAAAATAACAAAATAGCGGCAGAGTTGTCGTACCTACGAACACAGCCGCCCTACTACTTGTCAGCCCCCGACCAATGGTCTTGCTCGCAAATGTGAAACAAAAGCAACAAAACAAAAACAATAACAACAATTAGGTAATGTTTTTACACCATTCTCTTTTGCGTCGACTTTTCGTTCACTTTGACAGGGAGCGCGAGAGAGAGAAATAGCAAGAGAGCAACGAGCGCCCATTTCAATGCCGCTGTTTTTTTTTTTTCGTTTTCGTTTGACTTTTGTTTTGAAACCACTTTTACATGGAAAATTTTGTGTGTGCGTTTTTTAGAGAGGAAAATTTTGTGATTGTAATGTTCTGATTAGAGTGTATTGGTGATATGTGAATTGAAATATATATAAAAAGGGTTCTGTTTTCAATATTTTATTTGCAGTGCTGACCAAGTATATACGTACACATACGACTACATATATACACACACAGATAATCAAAATTTGATTTTTTTAACAATTGCATTTGTAATTGCCGTAAAAATGTAAATGTCACATCCAAAGAGACGTAAGGAAATTGTTTGTAAAAGAAAAAAAAAAACAGAAAAAGCAGGCTTAAATAAATTTATGCACATGTAAAGAGAAAAGGAAAGAAAACTTAATTATCTAAATAAATCAACGGAAAAAAAGAACATTTATAACAAATTGAAAATAAAAAATTATAAAGAAAACAAAGTGGTGTAGTTATCATGTTGCATAAAATTGATGAAAATGTCGCGCCAAATGCAACATTGACATCAACAACAGCAACATCAACAACAACAATAATGGCCCCGACAGAAACAACTGGCAATGGAACGGAGCCAACAATTTCAACGCACCTTGCAAACGCGACGGCAACAATAGAACCAACAACAACAACGGGAGCAACGGCAGCATCAGCAGCAGCATCGACAAGTGCAACGGAACAAGAAACAGTCGCTGCAGTTGTTGATACCGCTGCTGCCGTCGCCGTTGCTGTTGCAGCTGTTGAGGGTCAAGCAATAGCAACAATGACAGTGACAGCCAACAATACATCGACGCCATTGCCGTTGTCAGCGGCGACAGAGCACACCGAATTAGCAACAACAGCTGATGTCTCAGTCGCTGCCGCTGCCTCTGCCTCTGTCGCTGCTACAACCGGTGCCAGCACAGTTAGCGTTGCGAACGAACCGCAGGCAGAGACAGAGCCAGCATTCGATGTTCAGATGCGTACGCAGCAACAACAGAAAATAAGAATTTATCACGGCGCCAAACAGAGCGCCGTGTGGCTCACCGATTCGCTCGCATCCAATTCCAGCTCGAACAGAAGTGATGCCGGCTCGATCGATGCTACTGGCATTGGCAGAAGCAGCTACAGCGGCAGCGGCGCCTATTCTACAGCGCCCAGTCTATTGCAGCGTAAATTCTCGGACAGCTCATTCAATGCAGCAGCGATGCCGCGTCGCGTCTCATTCCCAGAAAGTGATAAGGAGCTTGTTACTGGATATCTCGAGCCGGCCAATCCATGGGAAAAAGGTAAGTCATCTTACACGGAAATCTCATTAGGCCTATTCCTTTTGTTTTTTTAATACTCGATACGCTGATAGGACTGGTATCAGGGTATCTCCTAGTCGGGTCCAACTAGAGCTTTCTTACTTGCGCTTAGTGTTATAGTATTAAAGTATTCAGAACACAAAAAGATCTGTTGCACTTTTTTTTTGGTACAAAATTCTTTTATTTAAAAAACTTTAATTTTTTTCATGAGAAAATGTGACTTTTTTATATATTTGGTTTGACATTAAATAATAATTGTTCAAATATTATAAATTGGTAAAGAAATATCTTTGAAATTTTATTCAAAACAATTATTATATATTACATAACAAATATTACGTAAGTTTTTTTTATTGAAAAAATAAAAATAAAAATAAAATAATAAAAAATACAAATAATAGAAAAAATACACAAATAATAGAATAATAATAAAAGCATCAATCAACTTTTTTGCTTTAGTTTTTTGTTAACTGAACAATACAGTTATAGACTATATATGTTATAGACATATATGTATATTGATATAGATTAGATTGTTTGAAAATATTTGGGAAATTTTAACGTTGGTCCTTTTAAATAAATGTCGAAAGTTAAAATAATAAATAACTTTGTTTAATAAACCTATAAAATGTGTACTTTAAGCTGATAGTAAATTAACTCTATGTATTGATTTTCTTATATTACTTTGCCAATTTCGTTAAGCTAATTAATGCAATTCGCGATTCATCAAAAGTTTATAAGAAATGAATGCTTAATTTGATTGACACTTGTCTTAATTACTTTGCTTCCGATTTGCATATATAGATAAAGGTGGAATCATACGTGATACGATAGACATTTCCCTAGGTTTTTATAGGCAACGCTCAGTTATTGGACTTGTGTTACTTTACTTTATTTATTATGCGAGAACTTGTGCAAAAACGGAAGTTAAACTTGAGACACATTTCGTAAATTACACTTCCTGTGATTTAATTCAATTAAACCGATTAATTTGCAAGCAAAAATGAATGAAATGCATTGAGAAATTAAAGAAACGTTAAAGAAAATACAGAAACCGTAAGAGGAACATTAACGAGAGCCAAGAAAGAGATGGCAACAGCAATGCGAGAATGTGCGAAAAGGATTCGGATAGGCAATCAACCAAAGACTGCGATTGATCATGCAGCCGGTAAGTGCGCAAAGCACGAAACACAAATAAAAACTGTATGGCAGAGAGAGAGAGAGAGAAAGAGAGTGTGTGGAAGTGGGGTAAAGAAGAAACAGACGGCAAGAACGATGTGTGGGTGGCTGCCAAACCCCACAAGAGAGCAAAAAACGAAGCCAATTCAATGAAGTGCGCACAAATATTTATGCATTTTGCTTTAAGTGAATGTCTGAATGGCACTGCACTCGAAATAACGGAACGCAATAAATGGCGATGATGACGTTTGTTGCCAAGCGCATTTCATTTTGACGTTTCTTCTTGTGTTGCGCTCTCTTTCCAACTTAGTTGTCCAGTGCCGAAGTGATGCGCACAATTCAATCATAGTGCGAGTTGTTGACAGTTGACACTTGCGTGCGGGCGGGTAACAACGACGTTGATGATGATGACGGCGACGTTGCCACCGTTTTGCAGTGTTGCAGTGTTTCTTGTTTGTGTATATGTGTGCGTGTGCACAAACATTATACAATGGTCTGACTGCCGATGCATTAGAGTAGATTGATTTTTTAGTTCACGAGTTTTTTGTTCCGTTACACAGATATTAATAAGTACATATACATGTGTATAGCACGGGGGATTTCTACGCTTTTAAAAAGCTTAATAATTATATAGGAGTTGTGATTTGAAAAGGTTTTAATTTAAGGGCAGCTTGTAGGTATGACGTATACGTTCAGAAATATTACGTATACTTGAAGAAAAAAAATATATATCTATCTATGATATATAAATGAATAAAAAAATATGATAATGTTAATATTCGTTTAAATTAGTTTGTCTAACATTTAGGGTTTATTTTATTTAAAATAAAATTTATATATATATATATATATATATATATATATATATATATATATATATATATATACATTTTCTATTTTTTAATTATATATTCTAGACTTATTTTTATAATTATCAAATCAATCTATTTTCTTTTTGAAAATATATTATCTAGAATGTTTTCATTCGTTTTGCCCTGCTAAATGTTTTCAAGTCTGTGAAAAGAACTGTCTCAGGCCTTTATAAATAAATTATATAGTTCAATGCTCGGCAATTGAACAATCTGTATTTATCTGGTATACCTTATTTAAACAATAGCCGTTAAGTTCTGTCGCCATTCCTATTGTTATTGGCCATGAGTTATTGGTTTGCCTTTGATTTTGTTATTCGCTTCATTCGTATTCGTACTCGCTTTCGTATTAGTTTTTGCCTAGTTAGCGATAAAGATGAACAACATCAGAATCACTGATAAGATACGAATTTTGTGCGATTCGTGAATTTCAGCGATTCGGTTTTTGGGGCTCGGATCGGTTACGGTTTAGATTTGCGCTCTCTTCAAAAAGCTCTCAAATTTTAATTTTGTTTGCTTTGCGCCTTCTCCCTCGTTCACTCATTCTCTCATTTTCTCATTCACTTCGTTGTCGCTTTTTTACCGGCTCCATTTGTAGGCTTACTTTTTTTGTCTGCCATTTGTCTGCTATCTGTTTTCTCACCGTAAATGCTATAAATTGTAGAAACAATTACGATTTGTTCAGCGTGTTTGTTTCTATATATATATATATATATATATATATATATATATATATATATATATATATATATTTTTTTTTTTTTTTGTTATATATCTATATTGTATGTATATTTAGTTATAAGTGTGCGTGTAAATACTTTGAGCATGTGTGTGTCAGCTCTATGTCTTGTTTGTTTGCCTGAATTCGTCTGTTGTCTTTGTTTATATCTTGTTTACTAGATTTGCAGTAGTTTTTTCTTTTGCTTTTGCCTTTTCGCCTTTGGTTTGCTTTGTAGGTGTAATAACTCGTACCATGTGATGTCATCCTTGTCACAAGTAAGAGTGCTCCAGTAGTAGCCAGCTCGACTGGGAAATACCTAAAGGCTGTGCAACTTATGCCGCAGTTGCGCTTGTTCTTTCCACTATGGGTATTAGTAATGCTATTTGCAAGCACTAAAACTGAAATGGAATTGTGTGTAGGTATCAAAACTAAAGAGTCAACTATTATAAAGAGATAGATTTGATTTTATTTGAAAAGAAAGTTATCCACAATCGTATTTATAATCTTAGAAAACTTATCAAATTGTTGTATTATATGAGGCTTAAAAAAAGATTATAAACCTTTCAGGAATATATTTTTTAGATTTCAAGTCTAAAGCGCATCTATCAGCAATTATACAGAAGAATATATATATAATCAGTTACATACGTCAGTTCCAAACACATTATACCCATTTCTAACCATTTGCAATGTAAAACTATGATAGAGACTGGCTCTACAGTATGCAAATATTGTCTTATGCATATTTGAAACTCTATATACTTACATACATACAGATTTGCAAACAGTTTGCATTGCTTAATACTCTATGCCAATGTTATGTTTACCTTTTTGAATGCCATTTGATAGGGAAGAGACTTTTTGAATGAAAAGTACAAGAAATTTGCCAAACAAACTCAAAAGAGTAGAATATTTTAGTTCTAAAAGGCCATTACAGTTGGTTAAAAGAAAAGCAAGCTATTTGATAAATAGCTAAGAAAATTTTTGTTATATCTCTTCAGTAATCTATAGGGATTTTGTCATTTCTCTTTTGTTGTTGTTGACAATAAGTTAAGCTTTTAAATTGAACGTCAAGTGAATGAGTTGTCACCGCCATCAGCATTGAAGAGGCGAGCTTGGGCGTGTCGGCTGGCTGTTAAAACAAAAAGTAAATATTTATATTCATATTTATATTTACTGTGTACAAACAGAATAATTGAAGACGTTGGCAACTCGTAACGAGTTGCTTGAATAACATGTCAAATTTTGACAAGCAGTTTAGCAAACTAGAGACTTAAAACGATAGAAACACTGTGCTTAAAATATAGTTGACGTATTATTAACTTGTGCTTGAACTTCAATTGCTTGACAAATTTATAGAACTTTTACAAGGTGGCAACGCTGTGACAATTTTGATTATGCAAGCATGCACGTGTTAGGTTTTATTTCTTATTATTTTAACAAAGCAACAAATCAGATTGAACTACTATTTATATATATTTATATATACCACATATAATAGCAACAAGAACTGCTGCATGCATGGCGTTGCCAGACTTTCAACAGGCTGTTAAATTGCCAATATCTCAACTTTTTTAGTTGACTATTTATTGCTTACTATTTAGAAGTTATTTCTTCTTGAAATTGAATTTAAAAAAATTATAAATAAATTTAAAGAAAAAACTTTAAGCATTTTTGTAATTCGTTACATTTTTAACTGAAACGCAAATCCAGCGTTTTGCCGAAGAGACTTAAGTGCGAATATTTATATTATATATATATGTATATATATATATATATATATATATATATATATATATATATATCTGAGTGTGTATATTTGTCTGTAGGCACCCAAAGTACTAATGAAAGATGATAAAAATGTCACGAGCTCGATTAATGCACATTTCGATGTAATTAATTAATGCAATTCCAGCAAAGCAACGCAAAGCAAAGCAAACTAAAGCAAAACAAGGAAAAGAGCGAGCATAATAAAGCAAATCAACAAAGAACAAAACAAACACACAAAGAAAAACAACTGAGAACGTTGCAGACGGCTGTAAGCAACTGCACAATACTCGTTCAAGGTTGCAGAGAAAAAGAAATGTATAAGCAAAATTATATTATATATATTATAGTGACTGTAGAGCAGCTCAATTACTGGCTTATAAAGCTTTAAAAGATATAGCTTTTTGAGTTTGGGTGGAAGTGCTTATTTGGATGGGATGATCTACTAAATACACTTGTACACAATATGCTGAGTTTTTTGCTGAAAAACTATGAGACAATTGGACGATTTGACACGTCTTCAAAATCCTTCCTAAGCTTCAATCAATATTGTTCCTTTCGAAAAATATATAGCACTTCTCGATAGGCATACACTTGTTATGGCGAGACAACAACTGAGTATAAATTATGAATTCTCTAGCTCTCGATCTCTAACTTCTAGTTGTAGTTCCAGTTATAGTTTGTCGAGAATATATCAATCCAATAAACTCTCTTTTCTGACTTCATGCACGAATATAAACGAAACAAATATGAATGCTAATCTTTGCATTTAGCTAAAATGTCACTTGTTGCGGAAATAATTCCATTCTCTTAACTAATTAAAGAAGCGGTGGAAGAAGAAAACACATTGGAATTAATTGTATTAAGTCCATAATTTCTCATTATTTTTGTTGTATTTTTATTTATCAGGTCATATATCATTTGTTATTTGTGCCATTGTCTTAGAATTTGTTCTTTAACAATGATAAACGATCCCAATTTCGTAGTCCATCGGCACTCAAGCTGATTAGCAACTGCTTACGTAGAAAAAAGTAGAAAAAAAACGCGATAAGAATTGTTTTGTACACAATTTGTTTTCATTTAGCAGAAATTTTGCATAACGAACGAAGAATATAAAAATAAAATCACTTTTTGAAGCGGTTCGGGGGCATAAAAAATACAAATTATGTTGTTAGTTTGATAAGGCGAGTTCGATTTATTAAGCTTTGATTAGTTCTAGGAAAGGAAATCGAACCTGAGTTTAAGATAAAGCGATGAGAGGCTATATGTCATTGAATACGGTTGATAAAGGCGTAAAATGCTTGAAGCCTAACTAAAATGAGCTGTAGAAAGAATGAATCTTTAGGCTCACGATATTTGCAAGTCGGATACGCCCGACTATTGCGATCTGACTTGTTTTCTCTCAAGGTTTACAGTCTGCATTAAGGGAAGTAACTTATCTTTCGAGTGATAAACAAATTCGGTGGCAGAAGTGAATACGACATTTAAGAGTTTTTATTATGATCTAAACGGAATTATTCACGTTTTATTGAAGCTTTCATTCAGCTGCTTTAACATTTGCTTTGGCTACGACCTAAAGAAATTATCGACTTGATGCCAATTTTGTTTTGTTTTTTATTCAAATGGTGCTTGCTACAGCTACACATTTTGTATCTCAGTTTCAAATTTGATTTTGGCAAAGGCCGAAAAAAACAACAACAAAAATTGAAAATAAACAAATTTCAATAAATGGCAAAAACGTTGAGAACAAGTTTCGAGAACGAATATTCGCTCGAATTGTGCCGACATTGTAAATGTTTAGCAGAAAATTAACAGCAATTTAATTGAAACAATTTTTCGCTCGTCTTTTTGTTTTGGCTTTTGTTTTATGCCTTGCCTTTGCCTTTGCTTTTGTCCGCCCATTTCGAAGGCAGCGCCTGTCTATAACGCATAAAAATCAATAGAATAATAAAAAATTGAAAAGCATTTAATACGCCAATTGCCACACACACATACACAGACACGTATTTATATATAAATAAATACACGCACACACACACAACAGCTGCCCGCAGGCACGCGCTCTTTTCTAAGTTGGAACTGTTGGATGAGCTAATTCGCATTCGATCGATAATTGAATCATTAAATCAGACGACAGGGCTTAGTCAAGTGTAGCAAAAGGATCCAATATAAGTATACACATATGTTAATATATCGTATATAAATATATATATATCTCAAGTGATTTCCTCTATTAAATAATTGTATAAAAAATATTTGTTTGCACCGTCAACAATTGCAAAAAATAGACCTGCTATTAAAATAGAAATGAGCACTTAAATACACTTATATTTATACCTATTCAACAATAATTTATTTGACATTTATCAGCTATATACAGTCCGAATGCTGACTAACAAACACAGCGCAGAAAAAAAGTTTTACGTGAAATGCTCGACTAGAAAATACCTCACAGTGCAGGATGCGCAGCTGTTACAAAGATGCTCGATTATATTTGTGCGTAGTTAAGCGGGTTGATGTCATCAAAATTATGTGAATTGTTCAATAACAGAAGTATTTCCTATGTATATTTATATACTTTGATAGAATCTTCCAAATTATATGTAGTGAGTCAAGCTCTCATTAAAAGAAATAAAGCATAAAGTTTATATGGATCGATTTTAATACATTTCCCACAAGCTATCGCTGATTAAAGTTTTTCAAATTGTAGTAATTTCAAGAACTTTTGAAACTGTTTAAATATATATGTATAAATATATTTTGTCATCAGAGTCAAAGCGTCACATATTTGCTCATCAAATTATGCTACCCTCTTCAGGCGTATATTCTAAACCAAAAAGTAAGCAAACTTTTTGATTAAGTTTATTTTTTATGTTCATTTTAGTTCTCTTATTTATATTTTAATTTAAGTAAACAAAATGTATTTTATCGTCATGAATGCGATAGGAGCGTAACAAAAAAGAAGAAACTAATTTTCTGTTTTGTATTTTTGTTTGTAGAATTGAATTGAAAGTGTGTTTCGAGTCTAATTTCTGAAATTCTCATAGTTTATTTACATTTGAAAGCTGTTTACGATGCGAAATACTTTCATCTTGTTTTCATATATTTTGCATTATTTGGGCCGTGTAGGCCCAGTTTTTGCTCATACCCTGTATTTTAGAGTCTGCGGGCAGCGGGCATGCCAAACGACTTGGTTTCCAGTTAAATAGTAAATATTCCAAATTTTTTATAACTTTTTAATAGACGGCAGTCAGGCCTTGCGCACATAATGATTGATAATGAAACAAATAGTACAATTTCGGAAATTATTTGAAATGCTGGAGCAAATCAAATCAAATATACACTTAATGTTGACAGAGCAAAATATGATTAATTAAACTATTATTAACTATTAGTTAGCACTGAGTTTCACATCAAAATTTCTTTTTAGTAAGTCACTTATTAGAGTGTTAAAAGAAACTAGTTTATACTGCTTAAAACTTTATTCAAACTATTTGAATATAATTAAAAAGTAAACAAATTAACAAATATGACGTCATAGTTGGATAAATTATATATTCATGATATTTGTATGTTTGATTACCATTTCTAGCTTAATCAAACCAGATTTGTGTTCCTCAGTTGAGTTAATCTTGATCTTTCAGGAAGAATAATTTCATTATAATTTTCCCATTTCATTTGACTTATTCCATAAACAGAGAAAATATCGATTGGTAGTTCTATCATAGTCAACTAGAAACCTCTACAAAAGCAGTTAAACATTAATAAATTAGTTGATGCATGAATAATTTATTATGAACATCGAGGATATCATTTAATGGGTTTTATGAAATTTTGTTCATTTTTATGCTCGTTCTCACAGTAAAAAGAGTATATTGGTTTTGTGGAGTGCTCTCTTGATGCTCCTCTGTTCGTATATCCATAAAGATAATTGAAATTTGAAACATACTTGTCAAATACTTTATCATGTATTATCTAAGATGTCAGAGACTTGAAGTATATACTCATTTAAACATCTCCAGATAAAAAATGTATAGTACATCTATCTACGTCCAATGTAGGAATGGCAAAAATTATATTTTCTAAAGCTTTGGAGAGAAAATAAGATTTTTGACAGTGAGCGAGTATTGTGCAGTAGATAACGGCCGACAGCAACATTCTTACTTGATTTGGTGTATTTAATTACACGAAAACTAAACAAAAAAATTGCTAACAAACAATACAAACTAATGCCATGTGAAATTGACAAACGTAAACCGCCGGGAGCACTCGAGGCATTCATGGAAAATATTTTATCAGTTGAAAAAAATTATTTACAATTAACTGAAAACACACAAAAAGCGCAATGCTGAAGCCGGACGACACATTGTCTGCCAGCACAAAATGAAAAAGCAGTATATGGTATATATATATATTTATATATATATCGTATGTATATATAATAATGTTTCTGAGGAATTGATGTTTTTAGTGTGCATCCGAGCACTAATGAATCATTTAACAGATGTCCGTCTCGTATGCCACAAGCTATGAAAACTGAGCGGTATGAGACACATTTTGAATGATTGCCAAAAAAAAATATTTTTTGTTTGAAGAATAACAAAAACCAACTAAGAATAAATAAGAGTGCATTTGGACAAGAAGTAAAGGACTAAAAGATACCCTGAGTTTAGGTCAAAGAAAAAGATTTGAATTTAATATGTAAACATTTGAATGGGCAGAGGTATGAAGATATTGTAGATTAACAAATTATTCATCAGTAAAATATGTAGACAAATTTTCAGCGGTTCAAGCCTGAGAAATATGGTGGCTGTATACATTTTATATACAATATGAAAATATCGAAAATGTACTATATTTAGTCTGCGAAAATTCAATAGAAGAAATGGAAGAATAGCCTTTACATTAAGTTTGTGGTATCTAGTTATCAAAATCAATTGTTATCAAGATTAAATAGAAAAAGTAAATATTTATCTCAAAATTTCCAGTTTTATTAATATTTTTTAAAATTTATTATATATATTTTCATTACATCCACATAGAAATTGATTAGACATATTTACTTCCTGGTATCGTCAAGTTCTGGAGAGCAATAACATTATACCCTGCTTAGGCATCGCCATTATACAGGGTATCACAACATTTGTGCGAGCATTTTTCGTGTTGGCATCAAATTTTGTCATTGATTTAAAATGGATCGTTTAATTGCCTGTGCTTTGAGGCTAGATAATGCAATGATAGATTAATCTGTTTACATTTCTCAAGAAGAACTATTTTTAACATGGCTTTGTGTCGTTATGTCTTTCAATGCACTTGGCATTTGGCACAATTTACGTTTCTTTGTCGCCTAGAAATGTTTAAATTAAATACGATTTGATACGCCCCCAAAAGCTGAACATTTTCTCTCGCCAATGTGCCATACAAACATATAGTTTATACGTTAGCTATGAGCCCCACCTACACTCTTATCAAAGGGGAAATATTCATTTGCATTCAAGTTTCGTTATCGTCTGTCAAATTATCATAAAGAGTATCTAAATTTAGCTGGAAATTACTTGTCTAACCAAATAATAGACGACAGCAGCAGGTTCTTCGGACTTGCAAATTACAAGTTCACGACTTGGAAATGCCGCAATTTCATTTATCTATATTTATATATATATATTTGTTTTTTTTTGACATTTGCGGACAATTTGTCTGCGTCTTACGACTCATCTAGATGATGATGATGATGTTGATTGAGATGATTATAATGTGCTTGGTTGTTTGGGGTAGACACGCACGCGCCATCAACTTGTCTCGTGTACATTCGTGTGTAAATATGTTTTAGTTATGACAAATGCTTGAATGACTTCATCTACCCTGCAGCCAAAGCGACAAGGGGCATATATGTGAGCAGTTGAGCCAAAAAAAATTTTAAGTTGTAATAAATAATTAATTAATTAAAGTTATTTATAAACCTTAACTAATTATGTCATACACATTTCACTGGGTATTCCACAGTCGATCAGTTATGCTTGTAAATATGTTGGCATGTATATATTTCGACGTAGTTGCTTTGAAATTGTCACATTGCATGACAAACGGGAAGAGTCAACAATGTTCTTTGTTTTTTATGTATTTTTGATCAGAAATTGAGGAATTTTGATCAGCTGCGGCTGTTGAGATATATATATAGATGTATATAGATATAAATAATATATATATATATATATTATTACTAATATGCATATATACACTTCCAGTTATGACGTGTGCGTGCCTGAGCCAAATAGAAAATACAAATATAAATTGTATTTTATACGCGAGCAATGGAAATGTGTCTCAACTTGCTACATTTTCAAGCATTTATTGAATACCATTCAAATATTAACTAAATATTTAAATATTTAAAAATTTAAATACGATTTATTGAAAATGCAATAGACTCTGTAAAATTTTTAAACAATGATTTGAACTATAGAATTATGAGTGCAATTTTATGTTCTCATTAAGTTCTTAATTGACAAAAATTCTCTTTTAGACAATACAATATTAATAATTCATTTGAATATTCATATTACTTTTGTGGCTTTCAAGATTTTTTTGATTTGTGATTCGAATTGAAATCTTATGTCAGCAAAAAATCAAAAATAAGATTTTATAGCTTCTGTATTGGCGACTTTGGCTGTTGATATTTATTTAGTATTTGTCTTAGAAGCCATTTCCAAACGACGTTACACCTGAGTCGAGGTATCCGCATGCCACGCCTGTCAGCCCAGATATCTTTTCGTAGCCCAAAAGCTACTGTGTAGAGTTCTCTCTATCTTTTATACTTTTGAATCAATTCACAATTGGACGAGTGCCCAATCGTGTGTCCATTTGAAGTGACAGATGCAGGAATAGCTGCTGTAGGTCTCCACTTGAGCAACATCAAGTAGCTTGGCTTTGTCTAATGTTAGTCATAATAATAATAATAGTAGAAATAACTAAGAAAAATAGTGACACAATTAATAATAACGATGAATACTTGTTTATTGCAGTTTGTCAGGTGTCGAGCAAAGCCGAGATCGCCGATCTGTATGTGAAATCCTGTGCTAAGCACCGCACACAGCCGCTGAAAAACATTCTGGAACACCTGAATGCGCTGGACTTACACCTGCAGCGGCAACCGCTGCTATCGCTCAAAGGCATTCCGCTGACGCCCAACGACTGTGAGCCGCTGGAGGAGATATTCATGCGGGTGGGTGCCGAAGCTTTCATTTTGGAATGCAATTACTTAATGCTTTATTCCTCATGAAACCCGCAGGTACAATACAAGGTCATCGATTTGTCAGAGTGCCCGTTGAGCGAGAGCTGCCTGAGCGCGCTCTGCCAGATGATTGAGTACTATGAGGCTGCCAATGAATTGGATATTTCGTACAATAAGGAACAGATGACGCTTCGTGGCTGGGGCCTCTGCACGCACATGGTTGGCCGCAGCCAGGAGCTGCAGCTGCTGAATGCCGAAGGCAATCAGATATCAAAGGTGGGCGCCGAGAATTTGGGCAAAGCGCTGAACACCTCCAATCTGCATACGCTTAAGCTGGAGCATTGCGGCCTTAAAGGACGTCCACTCACCAATTTCTGTAAGTGTGTGCGCATTGGCATCTGTGTGCGTTAAATGGGTTTTAACATTTCAACCATTTTCAGGCTGCAAGCTGTACCACAACAAGGTACTGAAGGAGCTGTGGCTGGGCTACAACGATTTGGATTGCACCGATGCGCAACATATTGCGGATATGCTGCGGTTCAACCACAGCATCGAGCTAATTGACATTAGCAACAACAACATACGAGACGAAGGAGCCATGTACCTGGTGCAGGCACTGATCCTGCAGGCCATCGAACTGGAGCGTCGCAGTGGCTTGCCGCTGCAGCGTGCCCGAGCCATTGAGGATGACGAACTTGTGTCGCCCATGGAGACTACAGCGCCGGTGCCATTGGACAGCCACATCGAGCAGTCAGAGGCAAAGACGATAATAGCCAGTACAGCGCCAAATTCCGTTGAAATTATGGAGACCGTAGTGGAGCAGCTGCCGCCAACGCCGGCGATTTCGGCGACATCGCTGTTGGCAACTGAGGAGCTTAGCAACTGTGAACCAGCCGTTGCCGTTCTAGTGGATGTGGATGTAGAGAATGATGTTGATGATGACAATACAGAGGACACGGTGCGCACTCTGAGGGGCAGCGGCAGTCAGGGTGCAACTGGACAATCCATGCTGGACAAACTGCTTTCGATGAACAGCGATAGCAGCAGCGAGGAGGCGCCATCCAACATATCCACCGACACTCTGGCCGCCTGCTGCTCCGAGGACATTAGCGAGATCAGCAATGATATTTACGATGTGGCTGACAAATTGTCCTCAACAGCAACATTGACAACATCCATGGATGAGTCAACAGCGATGCCGCTAACTGCTAACTGCATGTCGCCTGTGGCGCTGGTTAGCCCTAGCCTGGAGCAAATAACTCCACCAACCCAACAGCAACAACAGCAAAGTTCCCAAACTGAACGCAACTTATGTGGTAATATATGCATTTTATTGAAGGTTTCTTCAAGACACATTTTTTATATACCTCATAATAATACTAACAGAATGAAACTGACATTTTTCCAGCTGATTTTGCAGGTCACTTTGGGCCTATTTCTATTTAAATTTTTGGGTTTTGAAACATTATCTTCTTTAACTGTTCCTAGATTGTACAAATTAGTTAACATTTCAATAGCATTTAAAATTGTGGCTTTGAGCAGTTTCTATGTATGTAATGTTTGTGGCAAAAGCTTATGCATGAAGCATATTTGAAAGTTTTCACTAAGACGTTTATAAGCTTTAGTAACTGTTTGAAAATAGATTACGTTGGCTTTGAGACGGTAATAGTAGCTTGCAAAGAATTTAAAATTCGGCTTTGATAAATATTTTTTATTTAGAAAAAAGATTTAATAATATTCATAAAAAAAGTAAAAATTATAGTATTAAAAACATATATATATTTATGAATATATTTATATTTATGTTTATGTATTTTAAAAATATTCTTAAATTCGGTAATATATTAAACAAAATATTCAAGTAAAAAATCAAAGGAAAAAGTAAAAAAAATCATTTTTATATATTTAAAAACAATGAGCAAAACACTAATATTTTTAGACACATTTTACTTATAATATTTGTACGAAAAGATTCAAATTAATCATAAAAAGGCTTGAACAATGAAATATTAAACAAATATAAATACATATGGAAATGTTCCACACACGTTTCAAACATGGCACTTGTCCACGAGTCTAAATATAAATTTCAAAAAATTATAAATAAGTAAATTATTTGTTTTTAGAGAATTTTGCTTTAAATAATATATTCCCAAATACCTTAAGAGTTGTTAGATATTCAAATTAGATAATTGTAGCATATTATTGTATTGTTTTTATATTCCCATATATATTTACACCACTAAATTTTAATGTTTTTTTAACACCCTTTCATCCCGCTCCGTCTTATTATTCATAAATTTCTAATATGGTTTCTTCTTTCAGATATTACTCCCTCAACAGAGGCTAAAACCGTTGAACCCAATGAAACCTGTGTACAGAATAACAACAATGCTAATTCCCACAATAATATTAACAACAACAACAACAATCATAATAATAATAATCAAGTTATAAACCAAATACCAGCGGCTGAGGCCGACGTCGCAGCCGGCGAAGCAGCACCCATATACGAGGTAACCGCCGAAGAGAGCGACTGCATCAATGGCATCGAGGGGCCGAGTGGCTCACGACCGCTGGACATGAATAAGAATGCGAAGACTGGAGACGATTTCGAGGATACGCACAGCATGGATTCGGCATTTGAGAGTGCATCGGAGGGCGATATTAGTCGCCACCTGCCAGACGAGTTTAGTCGACTATCTGTGTCGCTGGAGAGCACGCGACTAGATGATATGGCTAAGGAGATGGCCATTGAGACGGCAACTATAGCCAGTGAGTCAACAGAGTGCTTGCTGGTGGCTGAGGAGGCAGCCTCGGCTGCCACGGTTGCCTCCGAGCCCGCACCAGCTGTAAACCTCAAGCCGCCGGTCGAGCCGGTGGCACCCGAAGTGATTGTGGCGGCGGCGGGGACAAAGGTAAAGATTGCCGCTATTGATAAGGAGCTCAGTGCCAGTCCAAGCCCCAGTCCAACACCTACGCCCCCACCGCCATCAACATCACCGGGCGGCATCAGCAGCGGTCTGCGTCGCGTGGAAACCAGCTGCACCTACCTCAACCAGTCGACGCGCAATCGTTCCCAGAGCTCGGATAGCCTGTACAGCGAGAATTCGCTGGACTGCAGCACAACCGCTGCCGATCCACATCTCGCCGAGAAGCTGACCAAGAACGATACACTGTCGCGCCGCCAACTGGTCGATCCCATGTTGGAAGCGGCCAATCGCCAGCCCAGCGGCCTCAAGGCGCTCGCCCTGTGGAGCAATAATTTGACCAAGGATTGCGGTCCCTGCATCGCTGAGCTGCTCTCGCGCAGCTCGTCGCTGGAGCTGCTCAACATTGGCAAGAACTGCTTGTCCAATGATTTCGTGGCCACCATCAAGGATAGCCTGACCAAGAACACAACGCTCACCACTCTCGGCCTGCAGAGCGCCCATCTGAGTGCCAAGGGCATCGAGACGCTCGCCTCCATCCTGACCTTTGGCGGCAACAGCAAGCTGCAGCGCATCGACATTCGTGACAATAAACTAGAGGTGGAAAGTCTGAACATAATTGCCGAGGTGCTCAAGTCCAACAAGACGATCACCCAAATTGATATCAACGATGAGCCCAAACGTCTAACGGTAAGTCACCCAAACATAACTGTTTAATGAAGCTCTCCTTGAACGCTCGCCGAACCCAACGAACAGCCTAATATATAAGCCATAAATATCTCACACTTTGATACGATTTCAATGCAGGAGCTGAAGCTGAGTTGTTGAATATGTTTAATTTTGTTTTTGATTACGTCTATATCAATGTCAATTACACGATCTACAATCAAGTGTGTCTAAAGCTTTGCTCAAGTAACTCTTTGGTAAGACATAAATAATTTATCTTGATCATAGCTAAATCAAATCTCTGGTTTAAAGTTCGTTTCTTATGGTATATAATTCTATGAACAATATAAAAAAGTTTAAAATTATTTTTAAATGTAAGTAAAATGTATAGTATAAACGTTTCTCTATTTTTCATAACTACGAAGAATTCTAACAAAAATTCTATACATTTCTAAAAAAGTCTGTAACAGTTCTAAATTCTAAAAAAACATCTTTTGAAATTTCAAAAAATTCCAGAAGTTTTTTTTTTTTCATATAAAGAGGATAACATATATTTTAGTTTTCTTACATATCCTCTATAAGTTCAGTTCTCAAAAGCTTTATGCAGCTTTAAATTTTTTAAAAATATTTATTTAATATTTTCTTTTTTTTTTTGAAGATGAGATAAAATGGAATTAAGATATATTTACAATTGAGTACAAATTTAATTTTGGACTGTGATAATTGTTGAAATCACATTTTTATAATTTAAAATCATATTCAATTTAAATTATAAATTTATATAAATTATACAACTATTGTTAGGAATTTATATCACAATCAAAAAGTTTCTTTTACTCAAGTCTAAACATAATCAATGCTTAGTAATTAGGATAGTTTTAAAGTTTTAGTAAGAGTTAATAAGAGTTATGTTCGCTCTTCAGGCCGTGTAATTGACATTTCAGACTTTGGCTCTAGCCGAAGATTGGATAATCGTTGTCGAACAAATAGTAGTAGTTGCGCGCAGTTGTGCGCTTTGAGCGTTGCGTTGATTGTTGATTGATTTTTATAATTGAATCATTTTCATTTCGTGCTGTTTATTGTTGTTATATACTATATTACCAACTCCTTCATCGCAAAGTTGCCAATAGTGCCGATAGTAAAAGTTATACCGCCAACGCCAATGCCCCAGGATAGCGTAAGTAAATCCCATACAACATCAAAGCAATTTCTTTCTCGTTCCTCGCTCTCGCTCTTTCTTGCTCTCTCTCTCTCTTTCTGTACTTCTCTGCCGCCTGCTAGGCATAATCGCAACGAAAATTGGCTTTGCTACCACTAATAAAAACCCGCTAACAATGCTAACATTGCAATAGTTCAACAGCTGCAACTTCGTTTATTAAAAATCACCTTAGTTAATAGAAAAACAAAAAACTGAGCACGATCAACATTATTCCTTTGACAACTATTTGTGAGTGTGCATAACTGAAGGACACGCTTCCTGAACAGCTAGAAATAATAGAAACTTAACCCTGATGTTTAGTAATATGCATATGACAAACACAAAATCATATTTCTCGATATCAAATTCAATTAAATTGAAGTTCGAAATGTTTTTTTATTTAATTTGCTTAAAAAATTTTTATTTTTGATTTAAATAAAACTAGTTCCATGAACTAGTTTTTCTTTTAAATATTCTATGCTTGTAACTTGTCTATATTTTAAATAAGCGAAAAAATTTCAATTGAGAACCTGAACCGCTACTTTAAATTTTCGGTTCATAAAACTGGTTCGTTAAAGTGAGCTTTACAAATTCTGTTTGCAAATCGTATTGCTTAGATATGCACAATATCTGAAAACAAAAAATTGAACAAATTTTCGTCTAGCTCATATATTGAATCGATTGAATATTGAACATATGAAAAATCAAATATAGAAAATCTAAAGATTATTGAATTCTTGAGATGAACTAGCAGAACTTGAGTCATTTATGAGCTGCCCAACAGATAAATTAGATTAGTTTATTAACTGGAAACAGCATATCTTACAGTTAACAGTGCCGAACTGTAACAAAATCCAGCTATTGTTAACTCATTTGTGGGGATTGTCTATGAATCAAGAATTCATATTTTCGAGTTGATTTGTTAAGTCACTAAGAAGTTGCTTAATGGTTACATTTTATTCACAATGATATTCCCTTACAAAAATCTGAGTTATTGACTGCATGTGAAACAAACTCTGAGCAGCTCTATGACTCACACAAATCTGAATTTTCGAATGACTCAGTGGAAACGGAGTATCTGAGAGTCAATAGTATTCAATGCATCTCTAGGGTTTAAACTTCCATATCACTTCTCTCCGTTTCTTGAGCTGCAGTTGAGTCTGCTTAACTTCCAATTAGAGTTTTCAAATACAAAAATTACTAAAAATATTTAAGAATTAAATGCATCGAAAACATTCAAGTGACAGAATGATCTTTACTTTAGTTGTGCACATGCTTACTACAAATATTCGTACTCTGCTGAGACGAACGTTATGTAAAATCTTGAAAAAAAAAATAAACCGAAAACAAATTGGAAAGAAAGAAAACTAATGCGTTCCGTATGGAATTATATTTTTGATTTTTGTTATTGCAGATTGGCAGCGATGCGCATTTGGATTATACGCGGGTGTTGGGCAAGGTGCGCTCCATGTGCTCACGCAATGAGAAGATGCAGGCGGAGGAGCTGGAGCTGGCGGAGAAGGCGGCGAACGTGGGCGGTAATGGCAGCAGCAGCAACAACAATAGCAGCAGCAACAGCAGCAGCAACGGTGCCATCGGCGGCAACAGCATCATCAATCGGTGTCGCGGCGGTTACTACTTGGGCTCGCGGAAAATATCGCTGACGTGCCACAGTCGGCCGCTGGTGGACGCAGCGACTGGCACTGTGACCGCTGCGCTAGCAGTAACCGCAATGCCCACGCCGGCTGCCCAACTGGAGGTGAAGCGCAAGACGAATGCGCGTCTGCGCTCGCCGGGTCCCAGTCCGCCCACGATATCGCCGTCCTCCTCGCCTAATCGCAGCCGCTTTCATGTGTCGCGCGTTAACGAGATCAATAGCCCGCTGACCTCGCCGCTGGCCCAAATGCCACCGCAGCATCCGCCCACGCCGCGCTCGGCCAGCAGCTGCATGTCCATACCGACGGCCACCGCCGGCATCGGATGCAGCGGCAGTGACGCAGGCGTCGGCGGTGGCAGCGGCCAGCTACTCAGTCCGAGCAGTCTGAATGCCATTACCACGTTGCCGTTGCCGTCGCCGTCGCCGTTGCCAACGTCCAGTTCGCTGCCATCGATGGCATCCGTGACCTCATCCACACAGACCATCAAGCGGCTATCCGTGTCGCCGCGTTCGCGTTTTCATGTCTCGCGCATCTACGAGGATCCGCAGACGTCACCAGTTAACTTGCCCCCAACGCCGATGCTTAAGTCGGCGCGCAAGGCAGCCGCCCAGCTGGCTGAGGCAACCAGCAGCGTAGCAGCGACCACAATAACAGCCACAGCGACAACAACAGCAACAACAGCGATGCCCATCAGCAGCGTGATTATTGTGGAGCCATCGCCACCCACCGTCGTCGCCGCCGCCGACGCCGACGCGGACGCCGACAACAACGACAACGCACACCAACAAAGTACAAATGGGGAGCAGGAGGCGATACAGAAGCTGTCGCCCAACTCACCCAGCACCTCATCTAGTTCATGCAGCACCTCGCCCGTATCTAGTGCAACAAATAGTAGCAGCAGCAGCGGGGCCTCCACCGATCTAACAGATAACTCTGGCTGCACAGAGCCAGCGGCAATAGTTGCTGTCAAGAGTTGTCCCATTGCTGTGTTTGGTGACAATGATATCACGCTCACCAAAGACTCGGCAGCCGGTGCGGCACTCTCAGCAGTTGCAGCAATTGTTAATGAGGTAGACTCCACAGCGACTACACCAGCAACGGGTCAACAACAGCAGCAGCAGCAGTTGCCACAACAGCAGCAACTGCAACCGGCGATACGTGCACGCAAATCATCACGAATTGTCAATCCAACCACTGCTCACAAGCTGCTCAATCAACTGTTCAATCCGAGCACCATGTTCCAGCGCAGTTCATCACCGGAATCAAAGCCGCCGGCAGCTCCGGCCTCAGCCATGGCTCCGCTCGCAAACAACGCACAGAGTTAGTCCAAAGTCACTACAAATATATCGAATTTCTCTCAAGCTCAATACAAATAGCAAAAATGAGATTATATGAGGATTATATTATAATTTGTCCGTTTGCCTCTTATCAAGACATTTTGGCATTTGCTGTTAAGGAACATGAATAATGATGCAGTCAAGAATTTATTTAATATTTAAAGGTTTTCTGACTGAGAACTAGGCCTTGTTACAATGCACTTTTACCCAATGTAGAAAATGTATAAAAAAATGTTTGTAAAAAGTTTCTTTTGCATACAATGAGTTCGTATTTGATGTGGTTTTTAGAGATATATTTAAAAATTCTTGTTGATTCGCATTTTTGGGTGGCAAATGGCATGAGAGAAATTCTACTCTTATTAAATTACTTAAATACAGTACCAACTGAAGGCATAGTTCAGCATTTTGTAGTAAATGCTTGAAATTCAATTGGAGAGGAATTTATAATTTTTTAAATTTATTATAGTAATTGTCAGAATATATTGCAACTGTTAATCTTTGCCTGTAACGAAAATTAACTAAATTTATAAATTGAATTAAGTTTTTTGCTTACTATTCTAGATAGTCTAGCTAACTTTGGTTTCAGTGAGTAAAGCGATATGCTTCGGCTATGTTTGTATACTTATCCTATGCAACAGGCATTATTAGTTTGGCACAATCATTGGTTCTGTTCTCAGTTCTATGTTCATGCTTGAACAGTTAACTTACTTCAAATGGTTATACGAAGTTAAAGTTTATACAAAGGTTTTCCTAAGACTGGGCGATAACTTATAATAATGTAGCTATAATTTTAGACAAAAGTTATTAAACTATTAACTATCACAAATGGTTAAAGAGTTAACTCATAGAATTCACTTACTATTCCCGCGTAGCAGAGCCAGAAGAAATATACCTTTAAGCCATATGTTTGCAACAGAATTTAGCATGCTCTATATGCCACTGTGCTGCATTGTTTAATTCCTTATGCTTTTTACAGATACAACAACAAACACCGCAATGGGTAACAGCGGCGATGTGAACGTAACGTTTATGGCGTCGCGAAAGACAACGCCGCCATCGAGAAGCAATAGCTGCTGCAGCAGCAACACGACAATGGGAGCAGCAGCGTCTTTGGCAGCAGGGATGGGTGCAGGGTCGGCAGCGACGGGTGCATTTGGCTTGGAGATGAGCGGTGGCGGCAGCTCGTTCCTGGACACGGCGTCGCGTCAGTTGCGTGATTTGAGGAAACAAATGTTCCGGCCGAACCTCTCGTTCAACATTGGTAACGACAGCGTGAGCAGTGCGGGCCAACTGGATGTCAATCCCAGTGCGGTTGCCATGACGATATCGCCAATATTGAGCAATGTTGCCGAGTCGCCGTCGTCACCTGAACGCAATGCGGTGCACATGCCGTTGTGCCTGAAGCGTGAACTCAAGGAGAACATCTCGCCGGAGCATACCATCAACGAGGAGACGTTGCACACGCTGCAGAAGCTGTCGCGTGTGGAGGATATGGCGCTGAAAGCAGAGGCTGCCGCCGAGCTGGGTGACATTGAGATTGTGATGCACAGCGAGCTGGCCGACATGCCAGAAGCCGATCAGCAGCCACAGCAGCAGCAGCAGCAGGAGGATCTGGGGGCAGGTTTGGGTCATTAAATACTTGGCCCAATGAAAGCAACAAAAATGACGTGTGCAATTTGACAATGTTGAGCAGGAAAATCAGCAAATCAGCAAACACCCACCTCAGCATTCCCTCTCTCTCTCTATCTATCTAACAAGTAACTCTCTATCTTTCTCTCTGTCTGTCTCTGTAGCCCACCCTCTGTCAAGATACTAAAAAGCAAAGGCCATATTATTGCTGTGCCCCTTTGCTTCTCCTCAGCCCAACCGCACACACATAAACTGTTAACAATAAGAAACAACAAAAAGTACACAAGTTTTAAACATAACTTTGTTTTATTTTACTATTTTACTATACAAATACACATACACACCCATACACGTACACGTATATGTATATGTATGTATACATATATACATATATCTATATTTTTTTTGGTTAAATTCTTTTTAAGTTTTATATACGTATATATACCAATTATACAAAACGAAATATATATACAATATATTTTAACTATGATATCAAATGGCAAGTGAAAGATGCAAACTTGAAATGAGATGAAATGAAATGAATTATGAAACAACTACTTATATATGTATGTATAAATTAGGCCAGCAAAATACACAACTATATGATTATATAAATATATATATCTAATGTTTCGGGCAAACTTTCGTTGATTGACACTTGAAAAGTTGTATAAGATTATTGTTAATTTTTTGTACTTATCTAAAAGATGATCATCGAAAAGATTGTAATGCCTACTTAAGTTCAAAAAGGAACACCAAATTCATTACTTACGAGAGCCTATATATACTTACACCTCACACCTTATAACGAGACTTTTGTTGTTGTTCAGTCTGCCACAGGCTGCCCCAAACAATTGACATTTTATTGGGCAACGTGCATATGCCTTATTTAAGAGAACAAGAACAGTTTGCTCGAAGAAGAATAATATAATTGAATGATAAACCCACCAGTCAATCAGTAGGCAATGTTAAGTTCAAATGACATCGTACATTCTTACACACATATATATAAACAAAAAAAAAAACAAACAAACAAACAAAAAACCCAAAATAAATCCAATTGATCTCATTATGTGATATTTGTCGTAGTGCCCAAAGCGTTCACTGTATCCATGTTAAACCAAGCATACGAATTAAGTACGCTCTAAGCGAACAGAACCCAAGAAGAAGCAAACGATGTTCTCTTGTTTTTCTTAAATAATATATATTAAATCATATTCCACAAATTGTTCAATAAACTGTTGCCTGAGCGCAGCCTGTTGCAGACAACAAGCGAAATACAACTTTTCAAGCTGTCAATAAAAAAATTGAAAAAATTCTATGAAAAACTTAACACTGAATAAAATATTCATACATAATTAGAATGATATATATATATATAAAAAGAAAAAAGATCTTGTAAATACTGATACATGTGTTAGATGATGCCCCAAATTTAAACTAAAACAAAAACAAAATAAATTCTTTAGTTTTTCTTATATATTTGTTGTTAATGTTGCGAAGTTTTTGTTTATGTTTTTTATTATCAGTTTATTGTTTAATCGATTTACTTTCATTCGTACTTAATTTACAAATTATATTAATTTTTCCTTGGTGCTCATTGCCTACCTTCGGACACTGTAAATTAATGAATTAATTAATTGTTTTTTGTTTTGATTTCATTGATTTCCTAAGAAAATATAAATTTAAATATAATTTCTAGATCGACCATTCTGAAAACGAATACACTTTGATTGGCTAAATAATTGTGCATACATTTTTTGTATAATTTAAGATCATGTTTAGTGAAACCAAGAGAAACTACTAAAAAATTACTGAATAAACTTTTGAAAGTTAAAATGAAGTCAAGATTTAATGCGTTTTCTTTGGGCTTGCGAAGATAAAGAGTTGAGCAGTAGTTGATTCAATTTGAAAGAATTTTGCTGAAAGAACCTAATAACAATTATAAAAGACTAATAAAATGAATGGGTAAGAGTTAAACTTTTTTGTTTCTAAAAATTGAATTCTACTCAACTTAAACCTCAACTGATTGCATCAAAATCTGTCACAATCTTAATTGTTTTCAATTTAAAAATAATTTGAGCTAATTAGCAAAATTGTGATTTTATGATGAATGTCTTATTTCTGCATTTTTTATGCCTAAATAAATTTCTTTTAAATAATTCATTTCGAATTTTTGGCGAGCTCTTCAAATAATATTTGCTGCCTCTTCTGAACACATTAAGATATTTTTAAATTAGAATCAAATTAAATATCTTGACAACTGTTGATATGCGAACCATACGGAAGCAGGGGAAGGCGAGCGTCAGGCATAAAATTTCATTCATAAAGTTTGTTTACGCCAGCAGATGTGAATGTAGATGTGTGTGTGTGTGTGTGTGAGTGGCTGTGTGCGCGTGTGTGTGTGAATGGGGTTGCTTTTGGCTAGCTAACAGAGCTCTGTTAAGTCCTGCGCTGTTAAGCGGCGAGCATCAAGAAACGTCTGAGGCTGAGGCAGAGGCTGAGCTCTGGCTTGGCGCAATTCAAATCTGTGCGTTCAGTTGCAGTTGGCGCTTCGTTCGATGCGGATCGCAGCAGTCGCGAGTTCCAGTCAAATTTATCAAACAGTTATCAAATCCAAATTCTGAATAGAAGATGTCCACATCTCAGGCAGTTGATGAGGACTCAAGTAACATGTCAACCATTTGCTCATTGGACACGAGTGCGGCAAAGCTCGGGAATGGGAATGGAAATGGAAACATGAATAACAACAACAGTGCTCGGTCCAGCCGCGTGGGCAGCTCCACGGGCAACAGTACGAGCATGAGCACGGATTCGACATGCTTGGAGGAGCCACGCTTTGGCTGGCGACGATTCCAGCCGCAGTGGCTGCAACGCTTCTGCACCGCCAAGTGGGCGCTCTTCTGGCTCTGCTGGGGCGGCGCATTGCAGGGTAAGTGGGGGTCGAGTGGGTCGGAAGGGGATGGGGGATATTTGGCACACAAATTCTCATTGTGGCCCGTGCTTAATTCATTTAATAGCTCTGTCTCGCTGATCCGCCCACATCCATGTCGTTTCTGTTTCAATTCTGTTCTTTTAGCATGTGCATTTTTTAATAAAAGATCAACAAGATTCTTGTTAGAGGAAAATAAAAAGTATTCAATTTGTGTGTGTGTGCTTATGTGTGTGTGTGCTTATGTGTGTGTGTGCTTATGTGTGTGTTTTTTCATGAATGGCGGCACGTGACCGAATATATTAAACTGCTGACATGGCATTAACATAAATCATGCTCTACGATTTGAGATTATAGCAGCACTGGATTCTCGGAGACCTTCAAATGCCGTATGTTGTGCGTGGTAAAAATCGTGTATTTATTTAAGTCGAATTATAATGCCATAGTGAACAGCTTGAGAAAACACAAAAAAACAGTTTTAAGTTTTCCCTATCAAATCTTAATAATTTATCTCAATATTACTATTTATCAATTATTTTTTAATGTTTTCAAAAATGTTTTAAAAATTTTTTTTTGTTTTTATTATTTCTAAAAATTATTAAATTATATAATAATTGTTTTGTATATTTTTATATATTAAATATATTTTTATGATTTTAAAATCCATAAATTTAGGATTCCATGAGGATTCTATGGGAAGAGCAACTTAAATATCGAAATGATTTTAAAAATAGAGAAAGATGCAGAAACAAAAACATTTATTAGTTTCTGTTGTTATCCATTGTCGCTTTTTTGAACATTTTCAAATTTTCCTTTGATGATTTCATCTTTTAGCTTAAGCTGAAAACAAGCGGAAAATTTCTATATAGTTGGTATGAGTTTTTCTATATTGCAAGTCTTAGAATTCATAGTTCATAGATACCGTTTTATATATGAGATTATACAAATATTATTAATAATAAAATATATAAAAAAAAATTATTAATAATAATAAATAAAGCGTTTTGTTATTTTTTAAATGTATTTAATTTTTCAAATTTGTATATATTTTTTAATCTGTTAAAAATCTTTAAAAAAATTTATATTTTTGTCAATTTTTTATATAATTTTTTAAATCTAAACAAGCTGCTCTAGCTTATTATTATTTTTATTATTTTATTAAATTTGTCATTTTTATTATTATTTTATTGAAACTTTTTGTTTAAATATTTTTGTACTATATTAATATCTAGTTTTTGGATAATCAATAAATATGCATATGAAATCCCAGTTCATATGAACTCAGTCAAGAAGTGAAAGAAAAATTCACATTTTCAAAAGCTGCACGAGGATGTAAGTAAAAGGTATTAAAATATATATACGAGATATTTATAGTTTTACAGTTGTTCAGTTTTTGTATTACTTTAAGAAACGATTTGACGCTTGAACTGTGTGAAATGTTGTGAAATATTCAAAAGGTACGCAAACGCCGCTGGATTATACAATTTATTTTTGTTAATTAACCGCAAATTTAGCCACCAACTGTCAGCGGCCAAATTAGAAACTTTCGACATATGTACATCTACCGAGAATGTGCTATATTTATACGATATATTTCAACACAAATATTCAAAAACAATCGAGCAAAGTATCTGGCAGGTACACACAGTCCGTTGTCTGAGTGTGAGTGGGTTTGTGTATAAGTGCACTCATTGCCATGCCACATACATCGACACCCACACACACGCACACGCGCACACACACACATACGTAGCCAACTACATACAAGTGCTTTCCAAAGTGCTTCACGTTTTGTCATAAATAATAAAAATCAAATTGCCTTTGGCTATTGCCAAAAATGCCGCACAGAAACCAAACCAATTCGTCAGAAGGTTATATAGAGCATATACACACCCACCCACTCACACACACGCACACACACACGTTAAGGCCGCCTGCAACACCATGCCTCCCGCTCGACCTGTCCACTGGGCTTGGTGCACGTCCAACAATTCTGATGTCCATTTGCCAGAGCTGAAATGCCTGTTTGTTTATTTTAACGCAAAAATCTAAAACCACATCAACATTTTTGTGTATGTTTTTGTTGTTGTTGTTTTTTTTTTCTGAAAACAATTTACGCGCCCGGAGGAGAGGTGAATTTTAAGCGCTCCGTAACTATGGCGGCAGAGCAAGAGCATCGCCATCGCCATCGCCATCAGCATCGGCATCGTCATCGACATCTGGCCCACTGCTCATGATCATTTGGACAAAAATTGCTATAAAGTACTAAAAATACAATTACCGTGAGAAATTTGCGCTGATTTTGTGACTGATTGTGAGGACGTTTATAGCCGATTTTTAGTGACTGACTCTGGGGGCGATCTTCTGGGCAATCTGTGCTGCGCCTCTTCGGCTCGACATTGTAGAATTTTATACGCGTTCATAAATCGAACAAACTGTAAAATGAGTATATTTGCAGTGTCCACTAACTGTGCTGAGATTATGCAATCTCTATGCCTCGATCGTTAAGCCATTTATTCAAATGAACTCGAGTTGTAACTAGAATCGATAATACCTCTAATGCTGGTGGAGAAATTTGATTAGTTAAAGCTTGAATTTATAAGCGCTAAGCTCGGGCATACTTTACTTTATGCTATACTAGACTATAATATATTATATATTTTATACTTATTTATAATTATCATATATCTAGCCTTCAAGGATATGCAATTGACTTCTCCATTTGTCATTAGAATTATTTAAAGCTAGATTTAAGGCTTCAATTTACAACAAAGTTTACTGATGAAATCTTCATTAAATGATAAATATTGCTTATCTATCTATATAAATTAAGCCTAGAAGACTTCACATTAATAAGGCAAATATTATGTAGGTGATATGCGCCAAATTCTATTCATGTTATGGATGCTTGGACCCAAGTACAGTTAGATAGTCGACAGATGTATAGCCGAAGCTGAATTCCATTTTAAATAAGATTCTAATTTAAAGAGAAATAAATCTTGGTATACTTTCAGTTAGCTCCTTTACGGCATAGGTCGCTAAGAAGTTCTTCACATAGACATAGAGAGAGCTTTACTTGGGCCAGCCAGCCAGCTAAAAAGATCTTCGTCCTGTTTGTTCTCAAAGACAACTTTACAACTGACAGTCAACAGTCGACCGAAACTGTGCTCAGACGATTCAAGTCCTTGGAAATTAGTTCGACTGAGATTTAAGTTGCTTGGAAAACTGATTCAAAAGGCATTGGTGCAGACATCACAAGAGCTCGAAAGAAAAGTCCTTTGTACCCACTGCAATTGAGTACAAATTTCAATTTGAAGTCACTGAATCGTGAACGAGTATTAGGCAATCGAATACGCTCGATGTTGCTGCAGATTCACTTGTTTTTGCTTCGTTTTCGCTGCATTTTGTTTGGTTTTTTCCGGCACTCGTAGATGACGTCGCCATCCGGGCTGGTGGCAGTGGGCGACCTTAGTCTGACCGATAGAAAGATCGAAAGATCGAGCGATCAACCTGGTCATGCACCACTTTGATCTGGTCGAATGTCTGGCCAGCCTCCGCCAGCACATTCCAACAGTTATATGCATGTTGGCTATATTTTTGGTCAGCTTCAATAAGGCGTTGCGGCCGAAAGCCTAACAAACAACAATAACCCCAACAACATGAAGGATGGCCAAATGGCTAAGGTGTGAGAGTGTGTGTGCTTGTGTGTGTATGTGTGTGAGTGCGGGTGGGGTTGAATTGTGCGCTCTGTGCTCAGCGTGCTGCGTGCTGATGACGTAGTCACTTAACGAAAAAAAACTTTTTTTTGTTGTTTATAAATAATGATCTTGGCCAGACGAACGGATTAGTGCACGTTCGCGGTCCAACGCAGCAGCAACTCGTTGATGTACAAAGTCAGTTGGCCAAATACCACTCGCATTCGGTATACCCCACATTCATAGTCGCATCGCTCATCCAAACGGAACAACCGGCAGCGAAATAATATTAAAATGGTACGAATCGCAGGCCCGCTGCCTGCCTGCCGTCGGCTATTATATCATTTAATATGTATATAGTGAGCACACATATTTTGCGTATTATGTATTCGATATTAGGAGGACGATGAGAAAATGGACATTATGCGCAAGGCATTCCAGATGTTTGACACCCAGAAGTCGGGCTTCATCGAAACGCTGCGGCTGAAGACCATCCTGAATAGCATGGGTCAGATGTTCGAGGAGAGCGAGCTGCAGGATCTGATCGACGAGAACGATCCGGAGGACACGGGCAAAGTGAACTTCGATGGCTTCTGCAACATAGCGGCCCATTTCCTCGAGGAGGAGGACGCCGAGGCCATACAGAAGGAGCTGAAAGAGGCATTTCGCTTGTACGATCGCGAGGGCAACGGTTACATAACCACATCCACACTCAAAGAGATTCTAGCCGCCCTCGACGACAAGCTATCATCCAGCGATCTCGATGGCATCATTGCCGAAATTGATACCGACGGCTCAGGCACCGTCGATTTTGATGGTAATTCTTAAAACTGAATAATTAATCTATATATATATATATATATAAATATCTATTCCGCTTGCAGAGTTCATGGAAATGATGACGGGCGATTAGAGGTTCCATTTGATTGAGGCCCATTCTAGAGAAAGACAATCTAAGAACTGCTTCTTCTTCTTCTTGTTCTTCTTCTACCTTGCTGAGAATAGCTTTTTAATATATTTAAATAAATTAACTCAAGATTTTAGCTCTTGTGGCTTGCCAGTGCGTCGTACAGTGGAATTAAATCAAATATTATTGAAATTTTCAATGAAGTTTATCTTAAAGTTATTCTAAACTTAAGCTTAAGTTTTAATTCTTCAATTAGTATTTATAGATATATATAGACAAAGCCCAGATATGGTATACTAGTGCAGCAGTGTGGAAAATGTCTATAAAACATTTAGATTTAGGTTCGTCTTAGAAGTGTCTTACTTTATTTGAATATAAACAAAGCTGGAATTAATATTCCAAATAAACAAATAATAGTTTAGTTAAATTCACATATATTTCTTATGAGGTTGCTTAGCTTTCGGGTACTATAGTGTCCGCTATAGTGCGCTTATACGAGGCTGGCCTCAAGGAAGATGTAAACTTGAAGAAAATATAAAGAATAAATTATATAAATTAACATAAATGTATAGAAATTTCTTGGTAGATGCCATGTCAAGATTAAGCTCGTATACTATAATATATATATATATATATAGTATATATCCTATATATAAAAATATATATATATATATATTATTATCTTTTATTTGTTTTTAATATAGGATATAGAACTAAAGTATCTGGAATGCTGTTCCCTTAGTACTCCTAAATTCTGGTCAATTTTATATATAAGCTTAAAGATTCTCAAGCTTGAGATTTTCAGTTTGGCGAACTAGCTCTTTAGATGTCAGATATACCCTTTAGTAAGCTGCTGCCAATAGAAATGCAAGTGCACATACTCAACAGCAAAAATTAAAAAAGTCAGCCCAACTAATAGCTAAATTTCAAAGTACTAAGCCAATGTTAAGTAGCACTTAAATTAGATAAACAAATTTCAGTCATTCGTAGTAGATATAAAACAAAAATAATATATTTTACAAATACTTGGCGAGCTCTTCAAATAATATTTGCCGCCACACATTAAGATATTTTTAAATTAGAATCAAATTAAATATCTTGACAACTGTTGATATGCGAACCATACGGAAGCAGGGGAAGGCGAGCGTCAGGCATAAAATTTCATTCATAAAGTTTGTTTACGCCAGCAGATGTGAATGTAGATGTGTGTGTGTGTGTGTGTGAGTGGCTGTGTGCGCGTGTGTGTGTGAATGGGGTTGCTTTTGGCTAGCTAACAGAGCTCTGTTAAGTCCTGCGCTGTTAAGCGGCGAGCATCAGGAAACGTCTGAGGCTGAGGCAGAGGCTGAGCTCTGGCTTGGCGCAATTCAAATCTGTGCGTTCAGTTGCAGTTGGCGCTTCGTTCGATGCGGATCGCAGCAGTCGCGAGTTCCAGTCAAATTTATCAAACAGTTATCAAATCCAAATTCTGAATAGAAGATGTCCACATCTCAGGCAGTTGATGAGGACTCGAGTAACATGTCAACCATTTGCTCATTGGACGCGAGTGCGGCAAAGCTCGGGAATGGGAATGGAAATGGAAACATGAATAACAACAATAGTGCTCGGTCCAGCCGCGTGGGCAGCTCCACGGGCAACAGTACGAGCATGAGCACGGATTCGACATGCTTGGAGGAGCCACGCTTTGGCTGGCGACGATTCCAGCCGCAATGGCTGCAACGCTTCTGCACCGCCAAGTGGGCGCTCTTCTGGCTCTGCTGGGGCGGCGCATTGCAGGGTAAGTGGGGGTCGAGTGGGTCGGAAGGGGATGGGGGATATTTGGCACACAAATTCTCATTGTGGCCCGGGCTTAATTCATTTAATAGCTCTGTCTCGCTGATCCGCCCACATGCTTCTCAGTTTTTTGTTTCTTTAGCATGAGAATCAAAGATAAACTTTGTGTCTTAAGACCTAGTGTGAAACACCTCGTACATAATATTTATAATAGTTAAAAACTTCAATTGAATAAACATAAATTTAATTTAAATATTTATTCATTAAGCAATTATTTTTGTGAACTGTTTAAGGCAGTGCAGTTCTTTATGAAAATTTCTACCCAGTGCAACTCAATGAACTGTGATGGCAATGCAAGCTTATCAGTTATCTGATAATATTATCTTATCGTGCTTAATTAAATTGGGCCATATTGCTATGCAAATAAAATGCAAATTTATTAAAAGTTAAAGTTGATAAAGTTGCTGCTGTGAAATGCTGCATTTATTTAAATTGCAATTGAAAACGTGGAAAAACTATTCGATTTCTTGCACGTGACAGGTGACAGGACTTTAGATAATTCCTATATATAAACAGATATATGCATTTATACGCAGAAATTATTATGTATATATGTATTTATAATATATATATATATTATATCATATTATATTATTATATTATATTATATATATTTTATTATATACATATATAGAAAGAAATCATTAAGTATCATAAATTTATATGAAGTATATACTTTATGGCGTCTGCCGCACCTTCTTCTGTCCCCAATTATTATTTTGAAAATCAACTAAATTGCTAGAAAATTAATAAATCTTTATTTTTAAATTTGTATTATGTAAATTTTTTTGAAATATATTTATAATATATTCATATTTAAATATATTTCATATATTAAATATATTTATGCTGAGTTAATATTAATATTAATATTAATATTAAATATATTTTAAATTTAAAACATATTCATTTTAAAATTTTTTAAAATTGTATTTATACTTAAATATATTTATTTTTGAAAATGCTGAATATTAAAAAATATTCTTATTTAACTATATTTAATATGTAAAATATATATAAGTTCTGGATGCTTAAAAAGAAGTACAGAACAGCGTCTACTTTGAAGCTAATTCAAATTTCAAATCTGAAATGTTAAAGAGCATTATAGAAATATTTCTTGGGATTTTTTAAGTTAAGGCCACTTTGTCTTCCTGTGCTTGGGACTGTGCTCAATGTCAAAATTAAAGGACGCAGCCTTCAAAAATTATGGTTAGACGATTCAAGTCACTTTAAAGTATTTCGAAATACTGAGATTTTATATAAAGTAAAGTAAAGTATATTATTCAATAATAAGCTACGAAATAAATGAAAGCTGATAGTCTGCTTAACTAATTCAAGAAGCTGCCCTTGCTATCATTTAATGACATTAAGGAAGTTAAATCAATTTTCATAAATAATTATCATAATATGGGAAACACATTTAATTTCAATTTCAATTAAATTGTTTATCCACAAATTATATCAATTAGTTAAAAGTATAGCCCAGCTTAATTAAAGCTCTGCAGTAATTGGGTGTAAGGCTGGCAGCTTTGGTCGAGCCCAAAAGTCTTAAATAGACTTCGTGGCAAAAGGCTGGATTTAGAACTCGTTGATAAACTGAAAGTGTGACGCGAGCCCGGAGGCTGGGCCAAGTGGAACGCTTCATTAGCATCGCTGAGCATTGCACGGGCAATTTTCCGGCTTTCCGTGGAGTTTGGGCTCCCAGCCGAAGGCTGTGTGCAACAGATAAGCGCCTTGGCGAGGCAAAAGCATTTTGCTGAATGGGAAACGAGTTAATAATTAATATCAGCCCCCGAAGCAGTCAACAGACACTGTTTTTTTTCTCTATCTAGCCTGAGGATGCATTAACCTCAAAAAAAGGAAGAAACTGTCGACTGTGAATAGTTTGAAAGGATATGTCTAACGGGGAAGCTTGCCTGGCGCTGGCACTGTCGCTGGCTAGCTGAGTGCGCGTTGTCATAGGCGTAAATCGGGGCAATGCAAATCGTGGAGCTGGTAGCCATGACAACGCTACGGCAGCTTCATATTCATGTGGTTAATTAAAATTCAGCAATTGCGAAAGGCTGCACGGATTAGGCACTGTTCCAGGGATTAGCTCGGCCATTTGGGTTGCCCCCAGCTACAGGGGCTTGCTGTATTTATGTCTTGCTAGTGCCATAAACAAGCCCGCACAGATTATATGCATGGATTCCCACAGTTTTGGCATCTGTTGCACATTGCGCTACGTGAGCGCATTTCCGACTTGGATTGGGCCTCCCTTCGTCTCTCTCTCTCTCTCTCTGTCGACTCTTGGACTGGTGTCAAAGTGATGACAAGGCTGAACGCCCAGCCTCCAAGTGTTTGCCAGGTCGCGTGCAGCGATAAATCTCCCTGCTGCCAGCCCTTCCACTCTGCGTCTCTCTCTCTCCCCACCCCTCGCTCTCTCTCATCTGGTTTTTTGGTCGTGTTTGTCCAGTACAGTGCAGTTCGGTTATGAATGGCGGCACGTGACCAAAAATATTAATCAGTTGACATGGCATTAACATAAATCATCCGCTACGATTTGGGATTACAGCCATCGCTCGCTTCCTCTACGGCTTTTCCCATTTCCACTTGCTCTTGTATCACAACAGTTTTTAACGCTTTATTGTTTTAATTACAAAGCGTGTGCTCACTGTGTGTTTAGCCGGCTTCCAATACTTATAACTATACCTAAGTAGATAGCAATAGAAATAAGTGTTTGCTGTGAGATTTCAGCTGGGAAAACTAAGCCAGGATTTAAAGTCTTAGACAGAATATTTATACAAACTCCAATCAAATTAACGAGATTAAAGATCTTTTAAATTGTTTTAAAAATTTATCAATTAAAAAAAATAAGTTAGGCTTGAGAGACGAAAATATGAATAATAAAAATGTTTTTTTTTTTAGTTTTTTTTTTAATATTAAAGCAAATTATTATTTTGTTCAGCTTAGAAATTATATAAAACAGTTTTAAACGGTTTGTGAATTATATTTTATTAGTTAGCAAAAATATATGTTTATTTATAAATTTTAACTTTAATTGGTTTATCATAATTTTAATACAAAACATTCGAAGATTTCAAATTTTATTTCCATTAAATTTTTGTTTCTATTTTTCATAATTTTTTTAAACACTTAAAAGAATTTTTCTTAAATGTGCTTTAAGAAGACTTTTAATTTTCTATAATTTTTTATAAATAAAACATTTCAAACGTATTTTTAAAAATATTTTTTGAAGGGAGTTTTAATATTGAAGGAAGGAAATAGTTTTGATGTGTTTACGGCTTTGCTTGTTCTCAAAATTAGAGATATTTTTTATATAATTATTTTGTTAATAAATTCTATGGAAATTCGTAGTTTCAAATATTCAGAGAATTTCGCCGCTTAAGACTCGAATCATTTTTGGCTTTAATGCAATCTGAATGTTGCACAGCCTAAGATTCATTTTCAGTTACAATTTAATGTAAATTTCGTGAGGAAATTAATTTGTTTTTTTTTTTTTTTAAGCAAACTCTGCTAATTAAAGGCTGTCACAGCTAAAGACGCTCAAAGGCCAATCGGTTGATTGTCACGTATGCAGCAAAGTCGACACAAAGGACACTTCACTTGACTTCGCCCCGAATCGAGGCCCACCTCCAGCTGGAAGGGGCATTAGACATAGGGAAATTGATCCATATTACAGCACTTTTCAGGGGTAAATGACTTATGAGTGCTTGAGACATTTAAGTCTCCCCAATCCTCAACCCGAGGCACTTTTGCCCACTCTGCAGGGGGCTCATCCCAATTGTCGTCCGTGTGTCCAGCGTGTGTGACTAAAAGGACATTTTTCAAGCAGCTCGATTATTGGAAAATAAATTGAATTTGTTGTCAACACAATGAGCTCAAACACCTTACAAATATCTATTCTATAAGCATATAAATATATATATAAATATATATATATTTGTATATATATTTATGTGTAAAATCAATTTGTCGTACAGATATTTAATTTATAACTCCCCCAGCCTGCCCCCTGCTGCTACTTTATCCCCGTTTCATATTGTATTTCAATCTGTTGCTTTTGCCAACAAATCGAGTCATAAAATCATCTTAGCTGGTCTTATTTTTTATGACATCCGCCTTGAGGGATGATGTTGGTAATAGTCCTGAATAGTGTTGGGGGGTTTTGGGCTCTGACTTGAGCCAGGTTAAATGCGACTGGCTTCAAATACAATTCCGAATTCGTCACAGTTCACAATGATTTACTCTGTGCAAAAAATTTTTATATTGATATATTTGATTTATTTTTTTTGTGCATTTTTAAAGATTTTTTTGTATATTTTCAATTATATAATATTAAAGTAAAATTTTAAATAATAGTAAAGACTTCCTTTTAAGTTAATAAATATCTTAAAGGGAAGTCCTAGAAAATAATATATTATATTAAATTTATTTTTTATAAACAACTTTGTGATTTTTAAAATTTATTTTTATATAGATTGTCGAAATTATTTTTTGTTTAATATATAAAATAAATATATATATAAATAATTTAAAAATATAAAATATAAATAAATAATTATACACAAATCCATTTCAGGTCTAATTGTGAATGGCTTTGTGAACGTGAACATCTCGACCATCGAGCGACGATTTGGCTTGCGTTCGCGTCAGACGGGTCTGGTGGCCAGTGGCTACGATCTGGCGTCGTTTGTGTGCCTGGTGCCCGTGACGTACTATGGCGGGCGGAAGGGCGCGTCGAAGCCGTGCTTCATTGCCATTGGGCTGCTGCTGATGGGACTCGGTTCGTTGATCTTCTCGCTGCCGCACTTTCTGGTCGGCAGCTACCGAGCGACCATAGCCGAGGCGAATCTATGCGAACGGGATGGCCAAGCGAATGAGACGATGGTGGGCAATGCGACAGGTTTGTGTTGGGGGCTGGTCAAATAGCACTAAATGCGATGCGTCTTGCAGCTGGGTTGCGGCGCTGGCCTGGATGAGGCGGAACTGGAGCTGGGCGAGAGTCTAACTTGGACGGTTTGGCTGTTCTTTGCGGCACAACTTTTGCATGGCGCCGGCGCCTCGCCGCTCTTTACGCTGGGCGTAACCTATCTGGATGAGAACGTATCCACAAAGATGTCATCTGTTTACTTGGGTAAGTTTAACTGTCGCATTGATAAGACATTTTTGGGCAAACTTTGAGACGGCTGCTGCGCAGTCTGTCTGCTCAAATAAGCAAAACGCCAGCTCCTTGCGGGCATATCAAAGGATCTATTAGTTCCACACACACACGCACAGACACTCACGCACACACATGCATATTTATTTTTATTTGCTATATTCCAAACGATGCCAGCTACAAAGGGAAGTGAATATACTATTTACTATTTGCACCCCAGGCCCCAGTATCTTCCCCATTCCTGCTTGCACATCTGCGTCTGGCCTCTACCGCCTGCCCCACCCCTGGCCGCCTCCACGTCGCTTGTTGACCCAATTTTAAAGCTGAGTCAGGCGCAATTTGGCGGGGCCAGGACCAGTACCAGGACCTGATGTCAGCCAAGGGCCCAGGACACGCGCTAAGCCTGAAGACAGCAGGCGAAATTTATTGCCTCTTAGTTAAGTTTATCGTGCCTCCCATCCGACAGGATTCGGAATTATCAAAGCCCGTCCAGCTACGTCGTCTGCGCCCTTTGAAACAATTGAATTTCGTTTTTGGGGATTTTCTCAATATTTTTCTTTTCGCTCGTTTTTCATTTATTTATTTGTTACTCCGCCTGCAGCAGCAGCAGCAGCAGCATTCGAAAAGGATAAACACTTTCGCACAGAGCAGCCAAGTTATTAGTTTCACAGTTGCCTTTGCCCTTGCCCTGCCTCTGCCATGACACTCGTGCCTGCTCTTCCTTTCTTGGCTATTGTCATGCAAATTAAGATGCAGCCAAATGATAAGACATGCATCGACTTATTGCCAAAACAGTCAGCCAGCCAGCTAGTCAGCCCTCTGCCCTTCATTCTCCTGGCAGGCAGAAGGCAGCCTCTTTGTGGCCTGACAAAATAATTGATGCCAAACGACGCAAACAAATAGTGGCACAACTGAAAAGTGTCTCATTTACTTAACAAATTCTGGGAGATCTATGCACAGCTCATTTTTTGATTAAAATATTATAAATTTAGTTTCATATTTCCCTTCTAGCTTGTAGAACTTTTATCTATCAAAATTGTTCAGTTTAGAGTTTTATGCAAAGAGTTTTTGCTTCGTTGCAGTTCTAAGTTGCTCTCAACTATCTAAGACTTTGTGTAGAGTATCACTCAACTGGCTATACCCTACTGCCAAGCTGTAAAAAGGTTGCACTCTAGCCAGCTCAAGAGTCCAGTCGTGCTTTAAGGATATCATAATGTTTTATGTTTTATATAGTCAAATTTGATCACAATCGCGATCAGTCGTTCGACCTGTAAAGACGTGAATTCGAACAGCCTTCGCTTAAGCTCTACTGCTGCAGAGTTCTAAAAATAGAACTTTGCGGTGCATTCTTCAACGCAACAGCAACAAAAACCGCACACGCAGCGTTTTCTTATCGCTTGCTTCCGCGTAACTCAATTGCTTTAATTGCAATTTACGAAATTTCGTCGCTTGGCGCGAGTGCGCCTGCACTCAAAAGCACAATCCGCGATGACATCTAATGTCAATAACCTCGCTACAGCTGTAAAGGTAAATGCAGAAATGCAAGCCCAGCTTAACGTTGTGATGGCAAATAGGCAAGCCTCCATCATGCCAATAAACTCAAAAATAGATATCGCCTCCGTGCAAGGCATCACTAACAACAAAAACACGAAACGTAAACAGCCAAATTCACCAAAAACCATCAAGAAAAGGCTCATCTTCGACGAACCAAGCACCAGCAATGCAGCATTAATATCAGAAAATCGATTTTCACTGCTCGTAGAAGAAGATGAAGACTACAGCGAATCACCTGTAGCTCCAGAAGCCCCAGTATTGACCGACCAGCAAACTACACCGAAACCTCGTCCGCCCCCCATATGGTGTCCAAACATCAAGTCTGTGGCCCTACTTCAACAGATAATAGATAAAGTAATTGATGCTAAATCATACGTAATTAAGCCAAAGAAGAATAACATAGGTGTATTAACCCAATGCAGTGAGGACTATCGCAGAGTTATAGACCACTTTACTAAGCTGGAATTGGAGTTCCACTGCTACCAGCTTAAGGAGGACAAACCATATAGAGTCGTGTTCAAAGGGCTTCACTCCAGCACTGATACAACACTAATTAAAAAGGAATTGGAAACCAAAGGCCACACAATTACAAATGTGCACAACCCACTGAGCCGTATGGACAAAACACCGCTAAATATATTTTTTGTTGACGTGGCTCAGGCCCCCAACAACAAAGAAATTTTGGACATTCGAGTTGTCTGCAGGCAACGCTGCACAGTGGAACTGCCAAGAAGATACAACGACCTGACACAATGCCATCGCTGTCAAGAATTTGGACACACACAACGCTACTGCCACAAAGCTCCCAGATGTGTGCGTTGCGCCGGGAAACACGCATCCAAAGACTGCACCCGCGAAAAGGACCAGGCACCAACTTGTGTGCACTGTGAGTTACAGCACCCAGCCAACTATAAGGGCTGCCAAGTATACAAGCGGTTGCGCAAATTGCAATCCCCAGCACAAAAAAGGAGTCCCACACAAACACCGTCTACGGGTCCGAGTACTGCTTCCGAAATTACAAGGCCCCGGAGCATTACCCAAGCCACGAGCTTTGCAACGCCTATTAGTGGTGTTTCTTACGCACAGGCCGCTAGAGGTGGACCGTCAAATAAGAATACCACAAGTGACACTTTGTTCACTGAAATGCTTCAGCAACAACAACGTCAGTTTGACGCAATTAATGCCGAGCTCAAAGCGATGCGAGAAGTACAATCCCAACAAGCAACCATGCTAAACAGTTTAATGGCCATCATAACCAAGCTTGCCTACAAATAATGGCTTTACGTGTGGGTATCTGGAACGCCAATGGCCTGAGAAACAAGACTCAGGAACTGGCTGCGTTTCTCTCACAAGAAAACATAGATATAATGTTAATAACAGAAACTCATGAGTGCCCCACTACACAAATTTTCGGATACGAACACTATCAGGCTCATGGTGAAGGAGCAAACTGCTTTGGTGGATCCTCAATCCTCATACGAGCAACAATACCGCATACACCTTTACTGCCAATTTGCAACGCAACAATGCAGGTCTCAGCCATCACCCTGCCTACGTCTATTGGAGCGATCGAAGTTGCGTCAATTTATCTTCCGCCAAACACTGGTCTGTGTGATCATCACATGGAACAGGTTCTAGGCCAAAGGTTGAATAAGACCCTCATCGGCGGCGACTGGAATGGATGGCACCCATTTTGGGGAAGCAATAGTGCGAATCGTCGCGGAGAAGTCATATTTGAGGCGATTCAAAACTTACAATTCAGCATATTGGCGACTGGAGCCCCCACCCGTTACCCAATTAATGGACACAGGCCCTCGGCAATCGACTTCGCTGTCTACAAAGGCATCTGTGACCGGCAATTGACCATTGAAGAATCCTTGGACCTATCCTCTGACCACCTGCCACTAATAGTCACAATCCACGCGCAGCCACAGCCCTTGCCCATTAGGAAACAACTACTGCCAGCAGGATCAGATTTAGGAGTCTTTAGGCGCGAGCTCCATTACTCTTTGCACATAGAAATGGAACTTAACACTCCTGAAGACGTGGACTACGCAGCAAACAAACTGCAGGAAGAAATAGTCAAAGCTGCGCACCAAGCCGCCCCACCATCTTGCCAAACAAGACAACAGTCTCCGTACAACATCCCCCTCACCTTGGAGGCCCAACACCTACTAATACACAAAAGATGGGCCAGGAGACGCTGGTTAAGATTACGCACGCCTGATGCCAAATCCATGTACAACGAAGCCACGAGGCATCTTAAAGCTGCTCTCGCCCTGCTTCAAAAGAGGTGTATCAGCGATGCGCTGGTACGAGCTGAATCGCCCACTGACGCAGAGTTTCAATTATGGAAATTTACAAGAAAGCTCAAACGGCAGCCAATACGACGTCATCCCATTCGGAGCATTTCTGGTTCCTGGCACATTGGAGACGAAGCTCAAGCTGAGGCTTTTGCAAACCACCTTCAAGACCAATTCACGCCGGTGATTACCGCAGAGGCCTCAGAAATCGAAGCAACAGAAGACATCGTTCTCTCGCCCCTCCCAGCTGAAGACCAGATAACTGGATGTACAAAAGAAGAGGTTCTTGAACACATCAGAAGAGTGAAGGCAAAAAAATCCCCTGGATATGATCTAATAAACGGCAGAGTCCTTAGAGCACTGCCTGACTCCACCATAGACTACATAACTATGGTGTACAACGCCATGCTCCGCATCCGGCACTTTCCAGCCTGCTGGAAGCGCGCCGTGATTGTGATGATTCCTAAGCCTGGCAAACCCGTGGGAGAAATTGAGTCGTACAGACCAATTAGCCTGTTGCCAGTACTCTCCAAAATATTCGAAAGAATATTTCTGGAACGAGTACTGACACATCTGGGACGCCAGGAGGCCATTCCAAACCATCAGTTTGGCTTCAGGAGACAGCATGGAACACCGGAACAGGTTCACAGAGTTGTGCACCATATCCTTGGAGCCTTTGAAGAAAAGATGTACTGCTCTGCCGTCTTTTTAGACATCAAACAGGCGTTTGATCGAGTTTGGCACCTGGGACTGCTGCAGAAAGTGAGGACCACCCTTCCAGCCCCATTTTTCGCGTTGCTATCCTCATACCTTATTGGAAGAACCTTCCAAGTGTCAAGGGGGCAAACAGTATCCTTGACTAGACCAATTATGGCTGGAGTACCACAGGGTAGTGTTCTAGGCCCAACACTTTATACTTTATTCACAGGAGATATGCCAACTCCCGAGCCAAATATAGGAAGTACAGATGCAGTACTCATAGCGACCTATGCAGATGACACCGCCATCTTATCACGTCACGTATCTGCGCAAGAAGCTTCAGACTCACTACAAAAATATCTGGACTCTTTCGGACGCTGGGCAAAACGGTGGTGTATCACCATTAATGCACAAAAGTCTGTACATACTACCTTCGCCACTAGAAGAGGAGATTGCCCAAGCGTTGCATTGGGGCCCACTATTCCCAAAGCCTCAAAAGTAAAGTACCTTGGTATCACTCTTGACAGAAGGCTGACTTTTAAAGCGCACATAAGTCAAGTAACCTCAAAATGCAAAAGCAAGCTAAAAACCCTCGACTGGATGCTGAGAGCTTCAAGCAAGTTGTCTTACAGCAGCAAGGCCGCCATCTACAAGGCAATAGTTGTCCCAACCTTCGTATATGGTATCTCTCTATGGGGCTCCTCGGCGAAGACTACAAGGAACAAAATTCAGACCCTGCAGAATAAAGCACTACGCAGATGGACTGGAGCCAGCTGGTTTGTAAGAAACTCAGTCTTACATAGGGATTTAGCAATTCCCACAGTTGCTGAACTCATTGGGCGACACAGTTCAAGATACGCGGACAGACTTGCAGCGCATCCTAACCATCTCGCAAGCAACCTGGCTATAAACAACAATAGGCGAAGACTGAAGAGATTGCATCCTCTAGACAATATTAGAACTAATTAAGATAGTAGCTACAAGTGCAGAATAATTGGCATATCTGCCCTCCCATTAGTTAAGGTTTAGAGCTAAATGCGCTATAGAGTCTAAGACAATAAGCTGCAACAAAATAAAGAAATAAAAACGAAAAAAAAAAAAAAAAAAAAAAAAAAAAAAAAATTTGATCAGCAATCAATATCAATATGGTTAGGCAATTAGTATATTGTTTAAAATGTGTTTACAGGGTATATTGGCTTTTTGAAAATGTATGTAACAAGCAGAAAGAGGCGTGTCAGATTCCATAAGCCATATATGTATATGTCCAATCAGTCCGAGTCGATCAAGATTCGTCCGTTCGCTCGTCTGTCTTTCAATTCATTTATCCCTCCTATATATTCATATATTCATATATTCATATATTCATATATTCATATACCTCTATATATATTCTTCCCTTACATACACATATGATTAGACTCTTCATACTCCTTTAATTCGAGGCAAAGAAACAGACAGAAGTATTTTGTTTAAGGTCTTAGAATTGAGTTAGAGTCTTAGCTAAAAGTGAATTTATTTAAACATAACTACAGTAAGCTAATGATGTTTATACTCTACAAAAGAGCATATTAGTTATATGTATTAATATTGAAAATCATATTCTTTAATATATATATAATTCAGATACAATTTTAGAAAAGTTGAATGAGTAGAAAAATTAATCGATCAAATAGAAAGAATTTTGAAGAGAATCGCTCCCTCGCTCCTTCCCTCTCTCTCTCTCTCTCTCGCTCTCTCTCTCTCCCTCTCTCGCTCTTTCTCTCTCTCTCCTTCCCTCTCTCTCTCTCTTTCTCTCTTTCTCTCTCTCTCTTCATTTGAGTAATTAGACTCAGACATTTCGCCATTATCAACTGTTTAGCTCCTCCAAGACTTTGTGTAGGGCATCACGCAGCTGGCTATATCCTACTGCCAAGCTGTTAGCTCTATGAACATCCACTCATACACACACACATATTATTGTTCTCTACTTACTTGTTTAATTAAAGATTCAAGGGTGTCGCCACTTGCTGATGAGCATTCAATATTCGCAGGTATTTACTACACGATGGCCATAATTGGACCTGCAGTTGGCTACGTTCTGGGCGGTCAGTTGCTGCTCATTTATACGGATTTCGTTACCGTGGATGCAGCCGAGTAAGTAGATATATATATATGGATATGTAGCTTTGATAGTGCTTAAGTAACTGATAAATCCGCGATGATTGTTGATTGTTGATTGTTATTAATCGCGCGGCACACTTGAAGCCTGAAGAGGGCAGCAACTGGCAGCAAATGGCTTTAATGGCGGCTCCTGTGGGGCAGTCAGCGTGGTTCAGTGGCTGATTTGTTGCCCGGGCAACGGCAGCAGCAGCAGTGGCAGCAGTGGCAAATGCCACAAACACAAAGCACGCCGTCGCGTTAGCATCTCCGGAGACTAATAAAACAACATTTCGTGCTGACAACGAGGCAAATAAGGTGCGAAGGCGATTGGGAGTGGAAGTGGGTGTGGGTGAGGGTGTGGGGCGTTTGGGCGTGGGTGTGCGGCATTGGTTTGATCTGCCAAGCACTGAGTGCTGCTGCTGGAGTCGTGGCGTTGCATTGCACGGATAAGCCGCACGGCTTATTGTCAAGGTGATGCCATAAGTCATACGGAACTTGGAACTGGAAGCTTGGCGCTTGGCGCTTGCCTGGTAAATCTCGCTTGCCACTTTTACACTCGGCGAGCTACTAAATTATGCGAAGATATAAAAGAATGCACTGAATGGAATTTGGAAGGCAGTGCATGACTAAAATATACCCTGAACATAACATGCTTTGGCTACAATAAAATGGTTTCAATATTTGCGAATTCAGGGAGTTAATTATAAAATAATTTTGATATTTGAATTGATTTTAATCAATTTTGATTTATTGGGCCGAGGCCGTAACGTTTTTTAATATGTTCAATCTGAACTTGCTGCTTTATAAAAGCTGTTAAAAGTTGCAAGTCAAAATCTTATTGTCTGAGATATTGCTGGACCAGGGCGTAGTCAGATAGCCAGGTAAGCAGAGAGCTGCCAGTGCCTCTTAATCTGTTTGTGGATCTGTCTATGGATCTGTTTCGATGTCTTGTTCTTTTTCTGCCTTTAGCTCTGCCTCTCTCTCTCTCTGCTTCTGCCTCTGCCTCTGCCTCTGCCTCTGCCTCTGTCTCTGCCTCTGTCTCTGCTCCTGACTGCTTTGAGTTCAGCTTCTAGGTCTTGCTCTATTTCTGCTGTTGGCTTTGACTCTCGCTCTGCTTCTGCCTCTGCCTCTGGCTCTGTCTCTGCCTCTAACTCTGCCTTCAGCTCTGCCTCTGCCTCTGCCTCTGCCTCTGCCTTTGCCTATGCTTCTAGCTCTTGCTCTATTTCTGCCTTTGGCTCTGCCTCTGCCTATTACATACTTACTCATGCAAACCATATACCCCATTCTTACACATTTTCATAAGATACAGGGTATATGAAAAAGCTTGTTTATGCTTGTGACAAAACGTAGCTTACAACAATATTTCGGCTTATAAATGTAAATGTAAATTAACGACAATTTATGCGAGGAACACATATACAATTTAAGATAAGTTAACGAATTGTGGGTAATAAAATATTTAATATAAAAGCAATTGGAATTTGCAACAGATCTTCAAAAATGTTGAACCTGTGAAATTAATAATATATATATATATAATAATAATAATATATATATTATAAAATTATTAATATTTTCATAATTTTAATTTTAAATTAAATTTGTTTTATTATGAAAATTTATTTTAATGTATAAAAAAGAATTTTCTATATATTAAAATAATTTTTCAAATTTATTTTCTACGTTTTCTGCCACAGCTTAAGCCTGACCAGCGACAGCAAGGTGTGGATTGGCGCCTGGTGGATTGGCTTTGTGTTCGCAGCTGTGGTATGTGTGCTCATTGCTATACCAATCTTTGGCTATCCCAGAGCTCTGCCTGGTGCTGAGCAGCTGCAGCTGGCTAAGGTCTCCGAGGCGTATACAAAGCAAACGGCTCAGGCCAATGCGGGTGGGGCGGAGGTGGAGCCCGTGACAGATAAGTTGAAGCCACGCCGACGTCTTGGCGAGCTGCCACACGCTGTGCTGACGCTGTTCAGGAATCCCACGTTCTTCTTCCTCAATTTGGCTGGCGCCACGGAGGGTCTGGTCATAGCGGGCTTCGCCGCGTTTCTGCCCAAGCAAATTGAAAATCAATTCGGCATTTCTCCTGTGATTTCGGCTCTGGTGATGGGCCTCATCACAGTGCCCGCTGGCGGGGGTGGCACCTTTCTGGGCGGCTACATGGTGAAGAAGCTGAACTTGGCCTGTGGCGGCATCATCAAGATGTGCCTGCTGGCCACGCTGGTGGCCACCTTCTTCACCAGCTGCTTTCTGGTCACCTGCCCCAATGCGGCATTTGCGGGCGTGACCACGGCCTACGATGACAAGCAGCTGGGACTACCCCTAACACTGGAAGCGAGCTGCAATGCCAATTGCGGCTGCAGTCGCAGCAATTATGATCCCATTTGCGGTGCCAATGGCGTCATGTACTACAGTCCCTGCTTTGCAGGCTGCGGCCAGGAGGAGCAGCAGGACACATTGAAGAGCTACAGCAACTGCAGCTGCATCGATCAAAATGCCGACGCGACAAATGTGATGTGCGAGTCCAGCTGCCAGAGTTTGCCCTACTTTGTGGCTCTGTGCTTTGTGCTGATGCTCTTCACCTTTCTGGCCACAATGCCTGCCCTCTCCGCAACGCTGAGGTAGGCTGCCTGATCCTTGATTAGCTGAGCGTGCTTAATGTAAGCTTCATTCTCATTGCCAGATGCGTGGAGGATGAGCAGAGGTCGTTTGCCTTGGGTCTGCAATGGATCAAGGTGCGCTTGATGGGCACCATTCCAGCTCCGCTAATCTTTGGTGCACTCATTGACGAGTCCTGCGTGCTCTGGCACGAATCCTGCGACACGCAAGCAGGCGGCGCCTGTCTGGTCTATGATAATTTCTACATCAGTCGGTTAGTATGAATAGTTAGTGTATGGTAATTTAGCTACTTCACCTGCTTCTCTTCCAGCTACATGTGGCTGCTGGCCTTGGTGGGCAAACTCTGCTCCGTGTTGTTCTTTTTGGGCGCCTGGTGGTTCTATAAGCCGCCCAGCAAGACTTTGAATGCCAAGAAGGATACCCAATCGGAAATTTAAGCTAAGCATAACAGAGAATCGAAAGTAAAATAAGTAACGTACTGCCATTTCCAACTTTACTTTTTAATAATCCATCAAAAATCAAAAAATTGCAAAATTAATCTCTGCTCAGCTATAAAATTTGTATTGGTCTCATTAATATTTGTAAGCGCTATTAATGTCTATTTTAATCAAAAGAAAAATAAGTATAACATAAGTGAAACGTGTATTTTAGTATTAACAATTTATTATAATAGAGTTTGCATAATATTTTAAATGCAAAATTTAAACTCATTAACATTTCCCGCTTCATATAAATTAACATAATGTTAAGATAGCTGCGAGGGCATATTTGAGTCGCATGAAGTTGGCTGCACACGCTCAACAGCGATGTAACAGGCTGCCATCTGGTCGCGATTGGTTAAGCACACCGTCTGGCAGCACTGGTCGCATTGTTTTTCAATTTGTTGTTGGATTTCGTACGGTACGGTTGTGCTGCGCGCTGTTTTTACTGCTTAGAAATATGCCAACTTGACGCATTTACTGTGTTTTTAAAACAACAACAACATTCGTAACGTAAAGCAAAAACATAAGAGTGGCAGCTATTAAGGTGTTTAGACATTGTATAATTTATAAAAAATAAAAATAATAGAAAATGAATTGATTTAGCCAGTGTGCGTGTGCGTGAATGTGTTTGGGTGAATGTGCATTTGCTAAAAAACAAACAAAAATCATGTGCAATTAAAGGGTCAATCACCCAAAACAACAATAAAACAATAACAGCTATTAATAACAATGATAATCCAATGTAACAATTATAATTAATAAACATTTTTAAGCTGCGAGCAAAAGCAGAGAAAGAGGTAAACTGCACAAATAACGGAATCCAATTTAGTTCAAAAATCCCCAAACACACACAGGCACACACACAGTCACAGTGATGCAACTACAAGCCAAACAAAGTATTGTGTGTGTGTGTGCACATGTGTGAATACATTGAGAAAGCAACCATAAAAGAGAGGTGCAAAAACAATAACAAAACCGAAGTGCAAGTGTTTTGCATAATGCACAATAAATGCAGCAATATCAGCTGAAAAGCCAACAAAAACAAAGATATATGAATATTGAATATGAAAATTATATATCAATGCCAGGTGATTTTATACTTTTAATCCACTTACCACTACAAGCCTGCTATGTGCAAGTGTGTAAGTGCCCCTACATAAACACACATACACACACACAAACACTTAGAGACATGTCTCGTCTTTTCTTTCTCTTCTTGGCTTCTTGTCTTGTCTGACCAGAAGCCCAGTCCGTTGCCCAGTCATATGTTGTCCCCCTCGCACCTACTCGCCCCCCTGCGCAGCTTCAACTTTTTCCAAGACTTGTTTTGCCTTACATACATATGTGTGTATGTTGTGTAAGTGTATGTGTGTGTGTTTGCGCGTGTGTGGGTTTGTATGTATGTACACTTGCAGGCGCACTTGTTACAGATTCGATTCGAGTTTTCTCGCAGCTCCCCCACAACGCAAACGGTTTTTCTTTGTTGTCGGTGGCATTTGCCTTGTCTCATTATATATTTTCTTCTTCAAACACCCAGTACGCTTTTTAGCATAGGGTGCCAAACTACAGCCATTTGATCTCCTGTGCTTGGTAATTGATTTTAGTTTGTTGCGTCAAGTTTTCTTTAGCCTTTGCCTCATTAATTTTATACTTTAGTTTTATTCTTTCAGTTATTGAACATATTTTATAGTTGAATTTAGAAAACACGTTTCAATTGAGTTCTGACAAAACTGTTTTCCGAATTTACGACTTTATTGTTCGGATATAAAATAATATTTATATCAAATCATTATCTGTTTTGGGCGGTTTTAATTTATAATTTCTGTGTTTTTAACTCTTCGTCTATAGAATCGAGCTTAAGAAGCTACACTGCAAAGCTATATGGAGTCTTTAGGTCTTCAATAAACACATTTCTGATTTCATATATAGAATTCCCAATTTCTTACTTATTTAAATATATATTGTCATATGTTATGCATTCCTCGTGGCTTTTCTACTTTGCTGCCAATTGATTTGTTTTTGCATAATCGTTCTTCGCAAGACGAACACGTCCAAATTTATAAGTTTAGAGCACGCTAAGTACTTTGACCTTGGCTGCAAACCCATTTTACATATTATGAGCTGAAATGCAAATATTTTATTGACATATGAACTATCTAATATATATATATATTAGATAGTTCATATGTCAATAAAATATATATATATATATATTTATCTACCTTCAAGCAGTTGCTAAATATGCCTCATAATAGCGAAAAATTCGCATACTAACATCGTTTAGCTAACTTTAATGGACATTTATGAGAGTCTTGTGAAAAGGTTATTTTTATTATTAAATTAGTTAGCTTGGCTGGCATAAACAGTTAGTTAATGTTAGCTTTTAGCTCAGCTTAATTTTAACCATAAAAGTCACATTTAAATATGATATTTAACTTGTGCTAATTATTTTATTTATCTGGATCGATTTATCAATATATTTTAATGAGTTATTAAAAATTCTGATTTATAAATTTGAATATTCATTAGTTATTGGTCGAACATCTTATATACATATATTATTTCATTTTAAGGAACAAGATAGATAAAGTTTGGTATTTTGAAAGTTCGCTTAATCCAAAAATAATTCCCTTTTTGTGAAACGTGGCCTCCACTTTCACTGCTGACTTAAAAAAGAGACAGCCACTACAAATAAGTCCAAAAGTTTTATGTCTTTTCATTTTTGTCACCTATGGAATTCCATTTTAAGATTATTGAAATTCCTATATGGCATTCAGTTCGTTTCAAGTGGAGTTTTTATATTTCCAAAATGCAAAAAATAGATTTTCACTTTTATTTTTTAAATTAAATTATAATTATAATATAATTGTAAAAAACTTAAGGCAAGTGTGTGTTATCTAGTACAAAGTGCCGCTTTATCTATTTCTGTTTCAGATTAATTAAATTCTATCTTATATACCTCTAAGAGGGATAGATCCTGGAGCGCTCATCTTATATCTTCTATGTATAATGTATCTTATCTATCTCTTAGAGAGACAGAGAGAGGGGTAGTTAGAGAGAGATAGATGCTTAGTTCGTATATATATATATATTCATATATCTTGGGTATATCTTAAAGAGAGAGTCCCAAAGCCCAAATTCCCAATTCCTAATCAATTTCGAAGCGTTTTGTCTTAGATTTGTTCCACCATTTTAGCCACATTCATTTGACTTTTAAGTGGTATGATTCAATATACAAACGGGTGTATATATATTTTTTTCCACTTTCGTTCCGCAACGAGTTCTTGAGTTTGGTCATGGCAAAAGCTATAGCGGGTTACTTGTTTGCTTTTCTGCTGTTTCGCTGAGCTGAGCCTGTTGACCAAGTCGTTCGACAAACTGCAATCAGATCAGGCGACAAAGAGAAACTGGTTTTTTGACACTCGACAACTTGGTGCTACGAGCCGAGAGACTCGTTCCTTAAGCAGTTGGCTGAATCATCAGTTAACATTAGCCAGATTTACATATGCTCAACTATTAGATAAATTAATGAAATTAACGTCATGCGAAAACGTGAGTAGAGTTTTTAATATTTTTTGCAGTGAATTTGTTTACACAAATTGTTATTTGTTCATATTTACAAGTGAACGAAACGATTTTCTTTCCTAGAAGCATTCAGCTTGGGCAAAAAACTTTTTTGGTAATAAAAAAGCTTAAAAAGAAAAGAACAAAAATTTAAATTTATTGGCCTATACCAATTGTTTATAGCCATACAAATTTTTGTTATATATTGCAAATAATAAGAATGTTTAAAGATGTGTTTATTCGATTGAATTGATTACCTGGGGTAAAGCAGAGAAAGAGACAGAAAATCTCTGAAAGAGAAAAGTTTCAGCTGTACGAAGACATTATTGGCGCACTGTAACGGCATTATCTGATGTGTCTAAGACTATTTCTATATATTTCTATAACACGATATACGTCTAGATTTTACTCTTCAGAACTACCATTAAAAGTGTGAGCTATATTTGAATTGTTTGTTTGTTTTGGCTAACAAGTTGGCTTACCAATTAGAATATCTGTATGCATATACAGTTAGAGTCACATAATCCAAATAAACATTACTTATGACTTCATATGGTAAGCTCTATCGTACAGTCTAGCTTCATATATACACACATATGTTTGTCTGCATTTACATGTATGTGTGTGTTTATATTGAATTGTGGCCCAATATTCGTGCAGCTGTTCCCATTTTCTTGCGGTTGGCTGCCTTCAAGATGCCTCCCTCCCTCTCTGTCTCTCTTTCTGTCTTTCTCCCTCTCTCATTCTGTCTTTCTCCCTCTCTCAATCTTAAATATTTGTGCTGATCTTTTGCTGCTTTGCTTTTCCTGTTCCAGTTCTCCACGTGTGTTTGGCTAAGCTTGCAATTAGCCATTGTGGCGGCAGCGATGGCGACGGCGGACCTGTTGGGCTCGCTTGCCAAATAAATAAGAGAAGAAGAAATGAAAAAACTCAACAACAGCAACAACAAATTTGCACGCAACACAAATGCAAAAATCAACATAATCAACACAATTCGTAGATCTAACGGTGTTTGTGTATCTCATTGGTACCATTGAGAAAACTTAAACCGGTTCCGTTTCGTTTGGTCGGTTCATTCGCTCATTTGCTCACTCGTTCCAACGTTCGTTCGTTCGCTCGTTCGCTCGACTTGCTCATTGAACCGAGTCTCTCTCACTCAAAGAGCGTGTGTTTGCGTGTATGTGTGCAAATCTCATTTGGCATGATCTAAGCAATTATTTAATATATACATGAGAATATATATATATATACTTATGGGCCCAAATCTCTTTTAAAGAAATGCAATAAATTAAAATCAACATTTCTTTTCAGAAAAATAAAAATAAACAAATTTAATTTTTGCCAAAGTAGCAACAATTTTTTGTTTACAAATTATAAAAACGAAAAGAAAAAACAAAGAAAATCATCGGAAAAGTTTAAGTGA